TATGTGAAGATGTTTTGCATATGTGAAGTTGAACTGGATTTTCGACATTCCTGTAGACTCGAGCCCTGGTCAATCTAGTTCAATACAGTTCAGAAACTAAGCAGACATTCATCAGCCAACTCCATTATATTTGTAAAACACGGAGAAAGAAAGTTTTCCCCCATCATAAATTTGTATTAGCAATATCGTGAGAATGTGTTTTATGTTTTAAAAGTGTCGCTACTGAATGCTAAAGTTTAAAGGATTGACTGGATCATGGTGTGCCAAACTCTGGAAGTTTATTTAAGTTTCTCTCAAGTTCCACTGGTTTACTTTGTTTCCTTCTCTCAGACAGAATAAAGGCAGTACACAGTTTATATAGTCATTGTCACGTCACACATCGAAAGACATACGTGTCACACAGAGACAGTCACATCATAGTCATAACATGGAGTCCTTGTAGAGTCCTTGTACAGTCCTGCACGTAGGCCATATTGCTATCTAATACTAACACCCTCCCCTTTGATCACATTATCACATGTGATCACTCAATTTGATCAATCAATAAAGTGGAAAAAGAAAAAAAAAAAAAAAATCTAAAAGAAAAACTTTACAAAATTATTAAAAAACAAAGACAATGTATGCATTAAACTCATAATCATCCAATCAATATCAGTGGATTTTATCCTCTATCCTGGGAAAAATAAACAAACAAAAACAAATCAAAAACAATCAAAAATAAAAAAACACTATATTTTTTTTTTTTTATTGGACACACAAGAACTCAGCAGATTCAGTCAAAACACAGACAAAAACGAGCTGAGTCTCAAATTTGAAGCTAATTTAACTTTTCTTACTCTACTATTATTCTAATGCTGATTGTTTACACTACACCACTTATTATTATCACTTTTCAATCTTAGACTGTGTACTTTACTTTCATTATCACTATAGTTTAAAACTATTCTAATCTATTTACAAATATGTTTGCATATTTGCTTCTATTGAGCCATATTCTTAAACATATATTTTAATCTAATAAATCTCTCTGTGGCATTGCACTCTCATTATCAGTGGCTTATTATCAGTGGGATTTTGCTCTATGTCTATTCTCATTCTCAGGAATAAAACTGTGAACACAGTAAGGCAAATGGTAATATAAACATTATTATGGCGGTCAGTTTTCCAAATACATTTGTTGAACCAGGAAGTACTGTCACTTCCTCCTCTCAGGCAGTTTGGGATGAATGTACATCTTTAATCAAATTAGTATTATCCAGTGATGGGAATAACGGCGTTACTAGTAACGGCGTTACTAACGCCGTTACTTTTTTCAGTAACGAGTAATCTAACTAATTACTTTGACAGTAACTATAACGCCGTTATCATTTCCGACATCCCGTTACTGCGCGTTACTCAAGACGCACAATGAACGTGTTGTCATGAGAGAAGGGAGGATGAGAAAACCTCTCAGCAATTATTGGCTGATGTAAATCATATTTCCTTTACAATCTACATGTCTACAGTTGAGAGGATGGCTCATAAATTGTGTTTTTGAAACAAATATGGGTTCTTAATCGCGCTCAACCACGGCTTGTATCACCGTGAGGTCAGCCACAGAGGAGCGCATGTGAGCGCAGAAGTCGGCTGCATACAATTCCATCGATAAGCTCCTTGCTCTTCCTGGTTTATCTGCTAAGGACAGCAACAGGTTTGGCTAACATACATATAACACATTTTTACATAATCTAAAATGCACATAGGGTATTTTTTCAATTACTATAGGAATGATAAAGAGAGGTGAAGTGTAAGACGGTTGATTTTAGAAATTGGATGCAGCCGGCTGCAGCAAAACAGAGGAGTTTACGGAGGACACACGCGTTTTTGTTTTACTTTTTAAACTCATTGGACTCATTTCCAAATGGAGGATTACATATCTACGCTCAAACCATTCACTGGATTTAAACAAGGAACTGGTCTGAACCGAAGTGGACTGTGCAGGTCATTTATAAGGTATAGCTATAAGGTAAGACTCATAACTCATAGTTTTGCGTTTTGTATGAACAAACAATGCGGGCATAAAACATATTTTGCTGTAGCCAAACAAATTGTCCACTTGATTTATATGATGTATATGTTCATCTGATTGGACTGAAGTCAGTGCTTCACCAGCCTCACCGCTCGTCACCGGTGTTTCCACATTCACAGTGGCGGGCTTTACAGCACAGACAGAGATGAAGAGTGAACAGGACTTCAGCAGCAAAACAGACTTTTCTAGATGGAAATATTGGCACTGTTAAAGGTAAAAATGCGCACGTCGGGTGCACATTATGTTCCAGAACAAAACGAAAAAGTAACGCAATAGTTACTGAAGAAGATGACAAAGTCTGGGATCGCGTCTTTATTCAGACAGAAGACATGTTTTATTGTCGATGGTAGAGACAGCACGAACAAAGCACACAATCACAGATACAAGAGAATGCAAGTGTATTATACAGAGCGGAGGCATGGAGACCTCCAATCAGCAGCTGCCACGGTGCCATGTAGCTTGGCCTTCAGATAGACAAAACATAAAGTGGAAAAGTACAGGCTTCTGCACATTGATAGAATGATGAGTTTAACTTTAACAAAAGTTGCTTCAAAGTGTTATGAAATCTCATATTCCCCCCTCTGGTCATACATCCACGTGTGACCATCAGGATCGATAAACAGCAACATAACATCATAACTCAATACTTCAAAAACTCATAAACTCGGTACTTCAAAAAACTCAGAACTCGGAATACTTCAAAAACTCAGAAAACTCATAAAACATGTTCAGATCTTTCATAAAACTTGTCAACAATCTTCAGTAAAATACCAAACTTCATCAGTCGATGGTGGTTCCAGATATTGCTTTGAAAACAGTCTCTCCCACTTCTCCTGTTGGTTTCTTCAGGCTGCATTTGTGTCGAGCCATGAATTCTTCTGTGACGTGTCTTTCAATCACACGTTTCAGCTTCAGTGTCCAGATTCAGCAATTCAATTCAGTCCAAATTATGTCCAAATTCAGAAATCCAGATTGTTCCAAATTATGTCCAAATTGTGTAATCCAATTGTTCCAAATGGTGTCCATGCAAAAGAGGACGATGGTGTTGTCCATGTCTCAGCAGCTCACAGCCTGACTGGAATCAGGGGGTGCTGTGCAGATTGTCCAAGTGTGCTGGTCCAGATGCATTCTCTTGAGGTTTTTCAGTTTTGGCTTGAAAAAAAAAAACACATTTTTGTGTAAAAAAAAAAGTCTTCTGTTCTCTAGATGTTACAGACAATGCCCGCATTCTCCACCACCTGAAGAAGATGACATAGTCTGGGATCGCGTCTTTCATTCAGACAGAAGACATGTTTTATTGTCGATGGTAGAGACAGCACGAACAAAGCACACGATCACAGAAACAATAGAATGCAAGTGTATTATACAGAGCGGAGGCATGGAGACCTCCAATCAGCAGCTTCCACGTTGTGCATGTAGCTTGGCCTTCAGATAGACAAAACAAGGGAAAAGTACAGGCTTCTGCACATTGATAGAATGATGAGTTTAACTTTAACAAAAGTTGCTTCAAAGTGTTATGAAATCTCATATTACTTTTACTGGTAACTAGTTACTTTTATAGTGGAGTAACTCCGTTAGTAACTCAGTTACTTTTTGGGAGAAGTAACTAGTAAACTATAACTAATTACTTTTTTCAAAGTAACGTGCCCAACACTGGTATTATCCTTACAAGAGCTAATCTATTTTAGCAGGTTTGGGTTTGGGGTCAGTTATTCTTCTACAATGGTGTTTGATTCTAATCTGTGCTGGTGAATCAACAACTTTTAAACTTCTCAATATCTAAATATCTACTATTTTGTTTTTGGGCTACACCCAAATGCATCAAAATGCTTTTGAATCTCTGTTGGTTGTAATCTATCTCATTAATCTAGGCTACACTCATGACCCTTTTTGAGACTTCCTGCTTCTCGAGAGAGCGGTCGTGTCTCTCTGCTCTGCTCTGCTTTTGCTTCGCCTTTTAATCTCCTTGAATCATTTTATTTACATTTTTTGTTTCTCCTTTAATCATTTTATTTACAAAACGAGGATTACTCCTTCTACACACTTCAGCTTTGTGGAATTTATCAACTTTAGTCATGTCGGGACGAAAGAGACGGAGAAGCGTCTGCAGCGGCTGTTGTGCTCTGGAAAATCAGCTCAAATCTCTTCAAACACGGATATCTATTGTGGAAACAGAAATGGGGACTAAACCCGACTCTTTCCAATGAGTGAAAATGGGATGAATGGACAGACTGGAAATGTAAGTTATGACGTCATTTCTTTTCCCAAAATCAACAATGAGAATTATTGGAACAATTGTGGAGCTAAACCCAAAGTTGACAAAGCTAAGAATGACAATAGGAGTGAAATAAGGCCACAACTAAATGTTCTGAAGACTTCAAACCGCTTTTTACCCCTTTCTGAAACAACAAAGCCGCTAACAACTGCAGCGCCTCCACCAAGGACAAACTGTGTCCTTATCGGAGATGGTTCGGTGAAAAATGTAAACATGGAGTCCATGCTCACTGTCTCAGTTCACTCTGCAAAAGTTGCTGAGATAAGGACTCTTCTGCCTAGAGTGTTATCTGAGAACAGTGGTGTGCGTACATTATTGATCCACACGGGGGCGGTAGATATCTATGAGGAAGGCAAACGAGAAGTTACGAATGGATTTAACGCTGTTACTGGATGACCTCAAGAAAATGGACAGCACACTTGGCCAATCTGCACAAGCCCCTGATTCCAGTCAGGCTGTGAGTGCTGAGACATGGACAACCCATCGGCCTCTTTTGCATGGAACCCCATTTGGAACAATTGGATTACACAATTTGGACATAATTTGGAAACAATCTGGATTTCTGGAATTTGGACATAATTTGGACTGAATTGAATTGCTGAATTGGACACTGGAAGCTGGAAACGTGTGATTGAAAAAGACACGTCACAGAGGAATTCATGGCTCGGACACAAATGCTAGCCTGAAGAAACAACAGGAGATGTGGGAGAGACTGTTTTCAAGAATATTGGAACCCATCGACTGTTGAAGTTTGTATTTTTACTGAAGATTGTTGACAAGTTTTATGAAAGATCTGAACATGTTTTTATGTGTTTTTGAGTTTTTGAAGTATCCGAGTTCTGAGTTTTTTGAAGTACGAGTTTATGAGTTTTTGAAGTATTGAGTTATTGATGTATGTTGATGTTTATCTTTTTTTAGACTCCTGATGGTCAAACGGGATGTATGACCAGAGGGGGGAATATTGAGAGTTCATAAACACTTTGAAGCAACTTTGTTAAAAGTTAGTTAAAATAATTATTCTATCAATGTGCAGAAGCCTGTACTTTTCCACTTTATGTTTTGTCCTATCTGAAGGCCAAGCTACATGGCACCGTGGCAGCTGCCTGATTGGAGGTTCCCATGCCTCCGCTTGTATAATACACTTGCATTTCTCTTGTAATCTGTGATTGTGTGCTTTGTTCGTGCTTGTCTCTACATCGACAATAAAAACATGTCTTCTGTCTGAATTAAAGAGCGATCCCAGATCGTTGCTCATCTTCTACAGTAACTATTGCGTTACTTTTTCGTTTTGTTTGGAACATAATGTGCACCCGACGTGCGCATTTTTACCTTTACAGTGCATTATTTCTTTAGAAAGTCTGTTTTGCTGCTGAAGTTCCTGTTCATCTTCATCTCTTGTTCTGTGCTGTAAAGCCCGCCCACTCGTGAATGTGGAAACACCGGTGACGAGCGGTGAGGCTGGTGAAGCACTGACTTCAGTCAATCAGATGAACATATTACATCATTTAAATCAGTGGACAATTTGTTTGGCTACAGCAAAATATGTTTTATGCCCGCATTGTGTTTGTTCATACAAACGCAAAACTATGAGTTATGAGTCTTCCTTATTGCTATACCTTATAAAGGACCTGCACAGTCCACTTCGTTTCAGACCAGTTCCTTGTTTAAATCCAGTGACTGGTTTGGCGTAGAATATGTAATCCTCATTTTGGAAATGAGTCAATGAGTTTAAAAAGTAAAATCAAAACGCGTGTGTCCTCCGTAAACTCCTCTGTTTTGCTGCAGCTGCTGCATCCAATTTCTAAAATCTACCGTCTTACATTCACTCTCTTTTCTTCCTTATAGTAATTGAAAAAAAATACTATGTGCATTTTAGATTATGTAAAACAGTGTTTTCTGTTATGGGTTAAAAAAGCCCAAACCTGTTGCTGTCCTGAGAGATAAACTAGGATGTGCAAGGAGCTTATCGATGGAATTGTATGCACCGACTTCTGCGTCACATGCGCTCCTCTGTGGCTGACCTCACGGTGATACAAGCCGTGGTTGAGCGCGATTAAGACCCATCTTTGGTTTCAAAAACAATTATGCGCCATCCTCTCAACTGGTAGAATGTAGATTGTAAAGGAAATATGATTACATCAGCAATAATTGCTGAGAGGTTTTTCTCCTCCCTTCTCTCATGACAACACGTTCATTGTGCGTCTTGAGTACGCGCAGTACGGGATGTCGGAAATGATAACCGGGTTATAGTTACTGTCAAGTAATTAGTTAGATTACTCGTTACTGAAAAAGTAACGGCGTTAGTAACGCCGTTTACTCGTCACGCCGTTATTCCATCACTGGATAATACTTAATTTGATTAAAAGATGTACATTCATCCCCAAACTGCCTGATGAGGAGGAAGAAAAAAAAACTGACAGTACTCCTGGTTCACAAATGTATTGAAAACTGACCGCTTTAATAATGTTTATATTAACCATTTGCCTTACTGTGTTACAGTTTTATTCCTGAGAATGGAGAATCGACATAGAGCAATATCCCACTGATAATAGCCAACTGATAATGAGAGTGGCAATGCCACAGGAGAGATTTATTAGATTAAAATTATGTTTAGAATATGGCTCAATAGAAGCAAACATATGCCAAAACATATTGGTAAATAGCTTAGATTAGTTTTAAAAAACTATTGTGATAATGAAAGTAAAGTTCCACAGGCTAAGATTGAAAAGTGATAATAATAAGTGGTGTAGTGTAAACAATCAGCATTAGAATAAATAGTAGGTAAGAAAAGTTAAATAGACTTCAAATTTTAGACTCAGCTCGTTTTTGTTGTGTTTTGACTGAATCTGCTGAGCTCCTTGTGTGTCCAATAAAAAAAAAAATAATATATAGTGTTTTTTATTTTTGTTTGTTTTTGATTTGTTTTTGTTTGTTATTTTTCCCAGGATAGAGATAAAATCCACTGATTATTGATGGCATGATTACGAGTTTAATGACTACATGTCTTTGTTTTTTAATAATTTTTGTAAAGTTTTCTTTTAGATTTTTTTTTTTTTTTCTTTTTCCACTTTATTGATGATCAATTGAGTGATCACTTGTGTTAATGTGATCAAAGGGAGAGGGTGTTAGTATTAGATAGCAATATGGCCTAAGTGCAGGACTGTACAAGGACTCTACATGGACTCATGTTCTGACTATGATGGACTGTCTCTGTGTGACACGTATGTCTTTCGGATGTGTGACGTGACAATGACTATATAAACTGCTGTACTGCCTTTATTCTGTCTGAGAGAAGGAAACAAAGTAAACCAGTGGAACTTGAGAGGAAACTTAAATAAATGCCAAAGTTTGGCCCACCATGACCAACCTCATGTCCCAAACCAGTCCCAATCCAACCAACTTGATGTTCAAAACCAATCCCAATCCAACCAACTTGATGTTCAAAACCAATCCCAATCCAGCCAACCTCATGTCCCAAACCAGTCCCAATCCAGCCAACTTGATGTCCCAAACCAGTCCCTTTCCAGCCAACCTCATGACCCAAACCAGTCCCAATCCAACCAACTTGATGTTCAAAACCAATCCCAATCCAGCCAACCTCATGTCCCAAACCAGTCCCAATCCAGCCAACCTCATGTCCCAAATCAGTCCCAATCCAGCCAACCTCATGTCCCAAATCAGTCCCAATCCAGCCAACCTCATGTCCCAAACCAGTCCCAATCCAGCCAACCTCATGTTGCAAACCAGTCCCAATACAGCCAACCTCATGTTGCAAACCAGTCCCAATCCAGCCAACCTCGTGTCCCAAACCAGTCCCAATCCAGCCAACTTGATGTCCCAAACCAGTCCCTTTCCAGCCAACCTCATGACCCAAACCAGTCCCAATCCAGCCAACTTGATTTTCAAAACCAATCCCAATCCAACCAACTTGATGTCCCAAACCAGTCCCAATCCAGCCAACCTCATGTTGCAAACCAGTCCCAATCCAGCCAACCTCATGTCCAAAACAAGTCCCCTGACCCAACCCAATCCAACAAGTCTCATGTTAAAAAACGGTCTCAGTCCAACAAGACTAATGTCAAAAAACAGCCCCCTGCACAGACCCAATCAAACAAACTTGATATCATAAACCAGGCCCCTGCCCAGACCCAATCCACCCCACCCCATGTCCCAAACCAGTCCCAATCCAGCCAACCTCAGGTCTCAAACCAGTCCCAATCCAACAAGTCTCATGTTAAAAAACGGTCTCAGTCCAACAAGACTAATGTCAAAAACCAGGCCCCTACACCGACCCAATCAAACAAACCTGATGTCAAAACCCAGGCCCCTGCCCAGACCCAATCCAACCCACCTGATGTTCAAAACCAGGCCCAAGGCCAGACCAAATCCAACCAGTCTCTTGTCATAAATCAGACCTCTGTTCAAACCCAATTGAACCAGCCTGATAAAAAACAGGCCCATGCCCATACCCAATCCAACAAACCTAAGGTCATGAACCAGTCCCAATCCAGCCAGCCTAAGGTCATGAACCAGTCCCAATCCAGCCAGCCTAAGGTCATGAACCAGTTCCAATCCACCCAGCCTCAGGTCATGAACCAGGCCTCTGTACAGCCCCGTTTGAACCAACCTGATGTCAAAACCCAAGCACCGGATCAAACCCAATTCAACAAAGCTTATGTCAAAACCCAGTCCCCTGCCCAGATACAATCTGACTCCCCTGATGTTCATAACCAGGCCTCTGTGCAGTCCCAATCTAGCCAGGCCATTGTTAAAAATCAAGCTCCTGCTCAGTCTCAATCTAGCCAGGCCATTGTTCAAAATCAGGCCCCTGCTCCTGCTCAGTCTCAATCTCGCCGGCTTCGTGTCAAAAACGAGCCCCCTGTACGGACCCAAGCTAGCCAGCCTCAAATTAAAAAACAGGCCCCTGTCCATATCCAACCCAAGAAAACTCATGTTAAAAAAAGGGCCCCTGTCCAAATCCAACCCGAGAAACCTCATGTTCAAAAAACAGTTCCTGTCCAGACACGACCCCACCAGCCCTTCGTTTCATCCCAGTTCAGCAATTCTCTGGTTCAGACTGAATTCAACCAGCCTTATGTCCCAAACCAGTCCCCTCCATTATCCATGTCAGATCAGCTTCTTTTCGACTCCCCAACCCTAGATCTTGCCCCGCCACATTTAGTCCAGCAGATCTTGGATTCATCAATAACAGCTATGCTAGTAAATGACATAGTGTTTCCAAACCTGGAGCCTGGCGAAGATTTGACTCAGAATGAATTTTACCGGAGGCCAAAAACGAGTGCATGGAGATCTGCCCAAGGTAGGTTGTGGGTCACTCACGAATCAGAAACTCGAGGTGTGTTCCATCTAGTTCACTTAATTGTACCGGATGTAACTACACACTAGATGTATTGTGATCATTTATGATTTAAATGCCTTAAGTCGTGTGAAGATCAGTTGTATGCACAGATAAACAGAACTGTTTTTAACCTGGATTTGAACATTTTCAGAGAAAGCCTTTCTCTCCTCATCAGGAAGACTGTTCCAGATTATAGCAGCATGAATCTGTAATGCTTCCTCCCCATGTTTACTCCTGACTCTAGGCATCAGCTGGAGGCCTTTCATTTTTACACAAGGAAGGACAAATGGGGCATTCAGACTGTCAATGCTTGAATGCAGCTTACACGCGCACTGGACGCACATTCTTTAAATTTCCAACGCTTGAGTTTAGAAAACCTGAAGTCCTGCCCTACGGTGGGAAAAAACGCAGGGCGGAAGTGGCGGGCGGGCTTTGATGCTAGCGGCTTTTTGTGTAAAGTTCTTATCCAAGAATGCATCTCTGCAGCGTCTCAGTGTCCAGAGACTTTATAAAACAGCAGTATGTGTTCACGGAGCTGCACCATAAGTTTATTTTATCATTAAACTGTACTTCCGCATCGGTGAACCCATGAGTGGCACTTGTTTACGGTCACGGGAGCATGAGAACTGGAAGCATATGTTCACAAACACTGTGTCCCCCATTGTCAGTCCTGGTTTAGCTATTGTTTTGGCTGTTTACGTGTACAGTGGGGCAAAAAAGTATTTGGTCAGCCACCAATTGTGCAAGTTCTCCCACTTAAAGGAACAATATGTAAAAATCTGGCCAAAAGTGGTACTGCAGTTACAGTCAATAGTTTGTAGTCCTCTCCCACTCTCCCTGACTCAGGTTGCCAGATTCATACCAAATCCAGCAGCAAACACAGGGAATTATTTTATCAGTTGTTTGTCCGTCTCCATTCACATTGCCATGACATCCGTGCTAATGCTGAATGAATGTTTTGATTAATGCCATTCATTCATCCATCCATCCATCCATCCATTTTCTTCCCCTTAATCCATTTCTGGGTTGGGGGGGTGGCAGTCAGAGCTGCACCCAGTACACAGAGCACCAGCCCCTCACTGATCCTCCTGCAGGTGGTGAGTCCACTGGAGCTGAGATCTTTCAGTGGGAGCTTCAGGCAAAGTGGGGTTAAGTGTCTTGCCCAAGGACACAACGACAGCAGTCATCAGTGGGAGTCGTGAAGTAGGTCTTCTGGTGGGCTTGAACCCACGACCTTCAGGCTCAAAGGCCAATGCTCTACCAACTGAGCTACTGTCGCCCTGTCGTATTTGGACATTTGAGATAAAAAACAAAAACAAAATAAAAGCAATGTAATTATACATAGTTTATGCAAAATAAATAAGCAATTGATGTCCAAAATAGGAGTGGGAAGAATGGATGTTGGAACGTATTTCTTCAGCGTATCAACATCAGGGTTTGCTCAAGAGGATATCACCTTTCAATTTTATTTATTCCCTATTTTTTAGACAAACATATAAAAGTCCCACATCAAAAAGAGACTAACATTATTTTAATTGGGGTACATGTGGTCTTAAATGATTATTTTTACAATTAAGCTATAATCTGCAAAAAAAACGTCTTGACCTTCATCTTTTACCGTTTTTAGAGCAATCTGTCATAGAATGTGATAACATGCAATACATACAAAAAGACATAGCCCGGGATCGAACCCAGGTTCCTGCATTGTAAGCGCACAGTTTAGTACACTAGACCACCGATCCACACGAAAAGAGACACTGTGAAGAACGGACTCAAAGTAGAAAATTCTGCATCACATCGTGAATTTTTATCAGCTGTCTCAATTGTTCAAAGGCATCCCGATATAAATCCTCGTTTTAGTCTTTGTTTTGTCATTAATGATTTGAGAGTCATAACAAGACGTTTTTTAGTTCTGCGCCACATGTTATTTTACCACTGAGATTAATGAGCCGCGTGGAGTTCTGGCAACCCGATCACGGACTTACATGACACTTCCTGATTGGCGAAACGGCGGAGGGTAGGACATTAAAATCAAAACGGCACGGTGGCTGAGTGGATAGCACTCTCGCCTCTCAGCAAGAAGGTCCTGGGTTCGAATCCCGGTCGGACCAGGGCCTTTCTGAGTGGAGTTTGCATGTTCTCCCCGTGTCTGCGTAGGTTTCCTCCGGGTACTCCGGTTTCCCCTACCACTAAAAATATGTCCAATAGTTCTGGCATGTGCCTCCTGTACTGGCGACCCCGCTCCCATCTCTGTGTGGAGTGAGAGACAAATGCCCAAAATTAACAATTGTAAACCGCTTTGAGACTCAGATCTGCAGTGAAAAGGCGGTATATAAATAAAAACTTACTTACTACTTACTAAAACAATAACAACTTTTACGGGTCGTAGAACTAATTTTGATAATCAAATATCTCGGCTGAACTACTGTTATCAGTTAAAGATGAATTCGAAAACAGTATGATTTAATAACGCCTTTTGAAATATTCGGGTCATTTAATGATGACTTGACATGCAAATATTACATATTGCTCCTTTAACCATCTTAATCAGACGCCTAAAACTTAACCAGTCACCACTTAAGGACTTTTTAGTCTAAAACTAATTCGAAAGTAGGATTGTTACTTCCGGTTTCGTCCCGATTCTGTATATGATCTAGTGCCGACCGTGCTCTGTGCTGTTGTTAGCTTTGGAGCTAGCATCTCATATATGGAACCATATGGCACTTTATTACGTGGATGGCGTGACCATAGAATGATAGAACCAGGAAGCGCGGAGAGGACGAGACTTTTTTTTGGATGGATGTTTTGCTGTGTAAGCAGTAACGAAGACACAGGAAGTTTCAGGTTAGCCTCTGCCGCTTGTTGTGCTAACTCAGCTGTCGGTGCTAACCTGAGACCATGGATCTATTATAATAACTGGATAGGGTATTACTAGCTTGTAGCTGAATAACTCATGTGCTCGGGGGATTCTCGTGGTACTGCAGACTGAACCAGACTAAATTCACGTGGGCTACCCAGAAATTTTCCCCATAGAACTCAATGCATATTAAAACAGCTCGACCTCAGCTGACAGAGAACCTACAACTTTCATAAAGGTCGGATTTTGTGGGGATTTTAGTGTCCCTTGTCATCCTGAACTTTTTTTCTTCTAAAATCCTTCGGTTTTGTTTAAATCCACACTTTAGTGCCACAAACTCTGCTCGTCTGGCTCTCGCTCTAACTCCCGCTCTGATGAACTGCTCTGATTGGTCAGATCGCGGCCGAGCCCCTCTGTGCACGTGCGTGAGACCCGGTGTGAGACCCACACACGCGTGTTTGGCGCAACGCATTATGGGAGATCATCCACTGCGCAGAACCGGGAGGACCAGACGATGCCCAAATACAGGCGAGTTTCCCATAGATCTTTGCGAGTTTCAGGCAACTTCCGCTAATCTTTCAGCCCCCATGCCATCACAAAGCGCCACTGAGCACAACCATTCATTTGAATTGGGCGCCATCTTGGATCGCCGGGGCTTGCCTGAGACCTGTGGCATTTCTCAAGAAAGCGGGGGCCTGTGGTCCGCTGTGATTGGTCACAATCTGAGACCCGAAACACTTTCTCTTCCTTGTTTCATGAAAACTCGATCTAAAATATAATGTCACGCCAGCACAAACCTGCACAACTTATTCTTCAAAAGGACGTATCCCAATGCACTGCATGGATATGGATTGCACTTTCGTAATGAATACGGAAATAAATTCAGCAAGTGCAGCTTTAAAGACCTGTGTTTTTGGACCCGTATTCAGATTCAGATTCAGATTCAGATTCATTTATTTGCCATTTGCAGTAAAACCACATTGGAAAAACTGTGCAAGACTACCCCGGTGTGCACCAACGACACACACAAGAGCTCTTGCCACGGCGCCATCTTTACATACGCCATGTCAAATGCAGAGTCGACTCGTGTCAACAATATGAATGTTTTTTCGACCCATGTTTAAAGGTGGTTTGAGTTGACATGTGAACAAGGAATGAAAAAGTTAGACGTGCCTGGACATGAGCTGGGTAAAACAGGGGAACCTTCTGGGCACTGCATACCAAGAGTGTTGGATATACAAGCTTTTGTGTGTTGTGTACCTGGAGTCCCTCTCCGCAGCCCCTCCTTCGATCACAGTCTTCACAAAGATGCCAAGTTTCTCCAGCCCTGCGTCGGCTCCCACTCCCATGCCGATGATACTGATGCCCAGCCCATCCTCGTCTGAAACACACACACATGTAGGTTTTAAAGCTGGGCGACCTCACTTTTAATCACAACTTATTGATTATTGAAACAATTAATACATTTTCAAACCTTCCATAGACATGCTGAAAAGAAGAATTTTTCATCAAACAACTGGATGTCATGTCTAGGGCAATCGCAATTACAGGACAATCATTAATTACAGCACTACTCACCTTTTATTTGATGAACTTGAAATGAATAACAGTAAAAATGAGACCATAAAACGGAATCTTATTATAGTCCTATTTGTTTCTAAATTCCCTGTCTAAAAAAGTTAATTTAAGATGTCGACAACTCCCAGCGCTCAGACCATATTGTCCGAGCGCTGGGAACACGTCTGATCGAGTTAACGCCATAGCTCTATTTGCTTGTTATTTTAAAGTTATGTACCTCAGCACTCATTATGTGTTAGTCAGTGTCATGAGGTGAGAAGCAGGAAGGACCCAAAATGCAGGAATGCCAAAAAATTATGATTTAATGATAATAAAATAGAAGTCCAAGTGAAAACAAACTCAAAATCCAAAGGCACAAGCAACAAGGAACCAGGAACAGGACGGAACAGACGTTGACAATACAATACCCACCTGGACTTTTTTATTTTATTATCATTAAATCATTCTGATCCATTCAGGTCCTTCCTGCTTCTCACCTCATGACAGAATGGACCAGCCACAAATTGACTCAGCAGAATGGCTTTTTCCCCCCACACAAAATAAAAATCTCATGAACAGGGAGCAGCCCTGTTCATGAGATTTTTATTTCTATTGCCATCTCATCAATGCCTGCCTCTTAACCCGTTACCTGGTACCACCGCCAGACAAGTACTTCTGTCTGGGGTGGTTTTCCCTTCGTACCACCTGCCGGGCATTTGTTTTTGTCCGGGGTGGTCCTCTGTCCCCCTTCCTGACCGGTTGAGAGGTCTACAGTGATGTTCTGGTCTGAATGGTTCCGTCTGCCTGGATTTCTTCACCTGTTGCCAACGCCAGACATTGTTCTCCGTCTGGGGTGGTTCTGTCCCGTTCGAGTCACTGCCGGTCATTTGTGTCCGTCCGGGGTGAGCTAGTTCCCTGCTGGAAGGTCACAGCTGGGTTTCAGCTTCTGCCCCTAGTTTGGACTTTGCTCTGGACCAAAGGTTTTCACGGCCTCTATGCTGCCTCTATGCTACTCGACGGGTGAGGAAAGGATAAAAACAACTGAAGAAAGAGTGAAGTCAGTTGATACTTTCAGAATATGTTACAAAGAAAAGCTGAGGGGACTTTTGGTTATGTTGGATGTTTACATTAAATTGCGCCTCTTAAAAATATTAGTTAATATAAGTATTGTCCCTTGTGTGACTTGTGTATAGATTTATAGCCTTCTTCACCTGACCCTATGCAAAAAGTCTAGTTTGAATGCTGAGTCGGTCTTACACACCAGTCTGTGATGATGAGCCCAGTATGATGTGTCCTCTAAGAAGAGGTCAATAGAAGAAGTAATACATAAACAAATACATATCATCAGCAGATCATGACCTTTCTCCAGCTCGACAGGGAACAGCTCCAGCTTCTCCACCCTCTTCTCCAGCTCATACTCTGCAGACGAGGCCACAGGGTCCACCTCCTCGTTCCTGCGGTCGTAGTCCTCATTGGAGTAAGTGCTGAACACCTGTAGAACACAATGACCTTGTCACAGCAGCAACAAAACACCAAAACCCAAACCCATGAGGACGAAGGGACCCCAGCCAGGGACCCATCAGGCCTGACTGGTAAGTAATGGAAAACATTCTTTAGCAGTCATTATTCCCTTAAAAACATGGTCTTGTCTTGTTAGGTAAAATATTCCAAAACTAGAAGCAGTTTAAAGAACACATAACATAATGTCTGTCATTTAGTACATTTAGTGCAGGGGTGGGCCATCAGGGCCAGCAAGGCCTTCTCTGTTCCACCCATGCTGCCGTCACCTAAAGTGCTGTTGTATTTAAATAGTATTGTTAGCTATTTTTAGAATTATCTATTTATTTGTTTTGTTTGTACGGATGGATGTGTTTCTGCTGCTACTGGACACCTGGATTTCTCCTCAGCTCAGAGTGAATAGAAATGACCCTTTGGGGTTACCAAAATAACCTGTTTCTGCGTTGGCAACTGTTTTTTTTTGTTACAGTTTTCTCAGTCGCTTTGGTTATTATCATTTCTAACCAGACAAAAGAGCAAACAATATGGGAAATTCACAGTTACACTGCGTTTTCTTTCTGTATATATTGTCCAGAGTTGTGGCATCATTATGGTGGTAATAAGAGGTGAATTAATGTGGACTAATCCTCATTGAAGGCTCAAGTGGGAAAGCCCATCATTGCTAATCTCAATATTGATCTGAAATGATGCAATACACCGGGGCACTTGCATATTCAGTCAGTATCACTCTGAGCTCTGCCCCATAATTACATTTCCTTTAGATCTGTTTGCATTAAGGTGTGTAAGCAAGGTGGTAATATTGAAGAAAAGCAGCTGTCTGCATGGACTACAAAGCGTGTGTGCACTGCACTACATTTCCCATCTTGCAGTGGATGCAATGCGAGTGTCTGAGAGGTGATTGGAAATATTTGTTTGTATCAGAAACGTGGGTAGCGGCGGTTTGGCTGTGTTAATTTCTCCTGTTCTTCGCTTTTGTGCAGAAAGACAGGTCCCAGGCTGTAGACAAGTAGACAAGGTCATTAATATGATTGTGTTGATTAGTATAAAAGATTACTGAAGAGGAAGTCCCAGACCAAATTCCTTTTCCAGTCCTGGCCTGGCCTGTTAAAGAATCTGTCTTAAGAATCCTCTGTCTCTGCACGCTAATGACAAAATCAATAGTGGACCAGGCCGCGAATAAAGATCTATGGTTTATTTTGGCGATGAGAACCACAGCAGTGTTGCATTTCACAGAAATAAAATATTCATGTCCCAAGAGGATCAGGTGTTACGGGATAGCAGAGCCACATAGCCAAAGCTGCTACATGGTATAGAGGACACTTTTAATAATTTCACAGCAACCATGTTTAGCCACGCTATTATCAGGAATGTTTGGCACAAACGTGACGTCAGAGTCAGCTGTTCCTAATTTGTTTGGAAAATGTCTCAAGTCAAATAACATTCTCTATTAACTTGGTGCCTTCAACAACACCATTAATAATGTTTACCAAATGCCGCTTCTAACCAAATTAGTGGATTATTAATAAATGTAATACATTATTAAATAGTTACGAAAGGTTCTCCCAGTGGTAAACTACAGGTGCAGCTGCGCCACACATAAGGAAAAAGAAAAATATATCTTTTTCTGTCTCATCTGCCAAGTAGTATTGGGACGGACCCTGCTTTTTTCTCATTATCAGCTAATTTTTTTATGACAAAAAGTGGAGTAATGAGCACAAACAGCTGAAAAAACAAATTTGTTTGCGTTTGACTCGAGTACAGTGTGAAGCGCAACACGTCCCTGTACATCCTTCTGCACACACGCAGCTTACTTTAACATTGTTATACATTTCTAAAGAGGAAAACTGCATCCAACATGAGCAGGCAGTGGTTTCAGGTCAGTCTGTTTTTATCTTCAGTTCAAAAAGTGCAGCAGCTCAGGTCTGCTGTGAGCAGGGCCGGAGTACAAAGAGCTCAAATCTGAACTCATCAGAGCACAGCACCTTCCTCCATGTGTTGAATGTGTGCCCCACTTCACTTATTGTGGCTTTATTTCAACATTGACTTTCTATTTACCACTTGTTTCATAAAGTCCAGATTTGTTTTAGCGTTTATTAAGAGGAATAACTCCTTGAGATGAATTATCTCGTTTCCAAGGGGGTCCTCAAAATCAAATTCAAAAATAACAATACAGCAGCAACAGTCAATTATGTACAAAACAAAATGATTACATTAAATAAACACACACAAAAAAACAGGACAAAAGCTCAACACATTCACTCACATACACACTCAGCTCTCAGAGGTTACAGTACAATACAAATTAAATACATTATCATACTGATGGAGAATACAACTTAACACAACAGAAACATAATACAAAAGCCATTACAGACAGTTTTAAAGTGCTCCAACACAGCGTTCTTAAACAAAGGGAGAGCCGTGAGGGAGTGAATGGCAGGTGGAATAAGGTTCCAGTCCGTCGGGCTTTGTAATGATAAGCATGTTTTCCTATTTCTTTTTTCCCTGTTAGAGGAAACAGGGGGTGTGTCAGTGTGATGAAGATTGTAAGTGGAGGTATGTGGGATAACTTAAATAATTACATTTAAAAATGAAGAACAACCAGTGGGAGTGTCGACGTGCAGGCAGTGAGGACCAGGACAGTTGGTGATACATGTCAGAGTGGTGTGTCCTGTAGGGGCAGCGCAGAGCAAACCTACACAGGCTGTTATAGACTGTATTGAGGGGATGGAGACATGTGGCGGTTGTGTTTTGATAAACAATGTCAGCATAATCAAGAATTGGAAGTAATAAATGAGAAACAAGCTATTTCCTAACGGGAAAATTAAAGCAGTTGATGGAGCGGTATAATGTTTTTATAGAATGGTTGACGGTCTTATGAATATGAGTTTTAAAATAAAGGGTTGATTCCAGCCAAAGGCCGAGGTACTTAAACTCTTCCACACATTTAACAGGATCTAAATGTGAAGGTTTAGCTCTGGTAAATGTTTGTTTGTCTTCTGAAAAATCATGCAATATCATGCTGTATTTAAAATGAGTTTTTTGGACAAGAGCCAATGATGAACTAAATCAAAATCATTTTGCAGGGAGATGCAAATATCTGAGATGTTTTGAACAGTAAATAATAGTATCATCTGCATATATCTAGATGTCACAATTAGAACAGATGCTCGGGAGGTCATTAATGAAAATAGAAAAAAGTAAAGGGCCCAAAGAGGAACCTTGTGGAATACCTTTGTCTATGCCTGCAAAATTTGACTGGCTGCCCCCAAAGGACACACACTGTTGGCAAGAATGAAGGAATTGAACCAAAGTAAAGCAGATCTGAATAGACCCAAATTGTGAAGTTTGTTCATAAGTAAATAGTGATCAACCTAATCAAAGGCTTTGGTCAAATCAAGAAATATTGCACCTGTAAATAAACTTTTGTCAAAACTTTATCATTTGTGAATTTTAAAAGGGCAGTAGTTGTGGAGAAGTGTGACTTTAACGATACTATTGATTATTGAAATGGGTCTGTAATTGTTGATACTCTCAGGGTCACCAGATGTTTGTAGTGGAATTTGTGTAGTGTATTTTAAACGCCATGAATCTTTTGTGTCGTAATGGAAATGTCCTTTATTTAGCATGAGTAAAACATTTAGCGTGAGTAAAACTATTTATCATGTCAGGAATTGGTGAACTGTTCTGGAAAATATGTTTTGTGAGGGCACCAACCTACACATTTGAGACAAGCGAGTGACTTCACCAGGCTTGTTATAGGTCACATCTGTGAAAAGGAAAGCTGATGAAATCTAATTGTTAGGCCCGAGCCCCGAACGGGGAAAGGGCCTATTGTTTTTGCTCGAGAGATGTCAAATTCTGCACTTTGAGCCTTAATTTCACCCCCTGAACATGCATGAAAAGTTGTAAAATTTTGCCCAAACATCAGACCTGGTGAAAAATTTGATATTTTGGTGTTTATTTTTATTGGACTCAAAAAATGCCAGAACAGCGCCACCTACAACAGCCAATGGGGGTTTCAGAGGTCAAGTTTGTCGTAGAGCCATGAAATTCAGTACACATGTTCCTCAAGTCAAGATAGGACCAAAAGGTTATTATGGCTCTGCCTTCTGACAAACAGGAGGCCCATAAATTTCACTGCAAAATAGAAAAATGATCCGCAATCATTTTCATACATGTCGGTTGGAAAGCAACTCCTCCTCGGCCGTTTCACCGATTTGCCTCAAAATCGCTCCAGATCATCTCAACACATGTACCTTCAAAATGACCAAAGGGATTTTTGATCAGTGAAACGTTGTTTGAGCAGCGGAGCGGCAAAATGTGAGTGTTTTTTGAGCGTTTTTCACAATATTAATTTTGCTCCCGTTTGCACATACAAAGTCCGATTTGCACAAAACTTGAATCCAATGTTCAACTCCAGGGTTTAGGTCAGGTGAAAGTGAAATATTTGAAATTGGCCCAATAGCGCCCCCTACAGATTGAGGCAAAGTTTTACATGGGGTGCCAAACCAGCTCTACTTATCATATTCATTACAATTTGACTAACGTTCTTCTATGGCAACAGCAACAAATCATCACATGGCGGCCCCACCTCCTTTGCACGGTGCTGCGTGGTACGGTGTGGTGCGGCGTAGTGCGGGGGGTTGTGGAGCGGCGCGTTGCGGCTTGGTGCGGGGCGGTGTTGTGCAGATCCGCTTGGTGCGGGGCGGCTTGATGTATGGTGGCTTGGTGCATGGTGGATTGGTGCGGGGCGGCTTGGTGCGGAGCGGCTTGGTGCGGAGCGGCTTGGTGCGGAACGGCTTGGTGCGGAGCGGCTTGATGCGGGGCGGCTTGGTGCTGGGCGGCTTGGTGCGGGGTTGTACGCGCAGGGTGGTGCACGCGGTGCAGCGAGGGCCGTTCGACGCCGCTTGCAACTTTAATTCCATTTATATTTATCACTTTCATTTTTGACCAGTGAAAACAAACAGACATTCTACTATAATGAAAGACAATTATTGTCCTTAGGTAGTGGACCTCATAGGAAAAGTTGTGTCTCTTTAAGAAAAAGAAAACACCCAATAGAATAAAAAGTATGAATGCATAGTTGACACTGTTTTGAAAAATAGCTTCAGTAGAACAGAAAAGTGCCCTCCCAGATTAGAGTGTGGGAGTGTTTGAGCACTGGCTGTCCTGGTGAAATTCCTTAAGCTCAGAGGAAATCAGGACGAGGACTGAATTAAACTGGCATCAAGAGAGCAGAGGCTGAAGGGACGGATGAGACGGCTCAGAGGGGCCGTGGTGAGCGCTGAGGTGGGGGCCAAGCATGAGCTGTTGGCTTGTAGTGAGCTAGGACACGGCTGCCACCATCACTGCCTTTGTAAGGGCAGAGAATATGAACCACACTACAACCGGACTCGTTGGACTCAGACCACTCTAGTCTCAGTATACATGCAGGCTCAGACCACTCTAGTCTCAGTATACATGCAGGCTCAGACCACTCTAGTCTCAGTATACATGCAGGTTCAGACCACTCTAGTCTCAGTGTACATGCAGGCTGAGACCACTCTAGTCTCAGTATACATGCAGGCTCAGATCACTCCTGTCCCAGTATACATGCAGGCTAATTCAGATTCAGATTCAGATTCAGTTTATTTGCCATTTGCAGTAAAAAAACCACATTGGAATACATTAGCGAAAAGTCTCCAGTGTGCACAGACAAATACAGACATAAAACAACATTCAAAAGACAAAAATAAAACAGTATCTAAACAAGCGCTCACTGAAACAGATTTAGATAGATTTGTCTAAACCCATGTGATTAGACCTGTCTGGTAGACATTGGTCTATTGAGCAGATATACTTATAATTATAGGTTGAATCCATCATATGACATTTTTGCCCAGTATGTGTCTGTAAATATGCAGGATTGTAGCCAGAAATATTTCTCTACATGTCACCGCTGTCACCGCTGACCCCTCAGAGCCCACACTGTCCTGTCCATGCATACCTACCTCCAACCTCCGGAAAGTGGACATGACATAAGCATCCCCTTGGGCAGCAGTAAAAGAAAGGTGGGGTAAGTAAATTAGTATGGAAAAATTAAGAACGATTTTGAGTCAATGCACTGTAATTTTAGTGAAATGAGTAGTTGGGCCTGTTATTTCCAATTTAAATACATTATAGAGTTGGAAAAGAATGGATATTACCATGCTCATGCTAGCACATGTATTGCACACATTAACAGAGTAGCACCAACACTTAATAATAATAATAATTATGCCAATAATAACATTATTATACCATGATTATACCAATTATTTACCTATTGTTATTATACTTATTCAAAAGATAAACTCAATGCGTTACACTGCAGGATGACGGAACCAACCTGAAGGCCGCTGCTGGGGGATGGTGATCTGGTTTTGCAGGTTCCTGAAACCGTGAGAGAGCTTCAGAACATACAGTACAAATGTGTTCATTCAAGTCAATGGGCCAGGCTCTGCACCATTATCAGCTGGTCACGGTGCTGCACTGAATAATCATTACAACTAATGAATCTGAATAATTTATTGAGGTATCTTGGAGTCTAACATGTGTGTTTTTGCTGCAGGACAACTAGTTTTATCCTATGGGGTTTTGAGGTGTCTACAGTTGTGCGCTAAAGTTTACACACCTGAGTGTGTAGTGAGTTTTATTTAAAATTCTCAGAGATGGACAGAAGGGAGCACATTTATCCAGAAAGTGGATCAGCTGCAAAACACACAAGGGACGCATTGGAAGCATAATCACTCGTTAGTCTCAGCACATAGGAGAGAGTCTGTGGGTGACCGTACACTGAATCTAGCACCAGGATTGTCTAACGATCATCTTTCAAACAATCATTGTGGATTTATTTCCATATTTTTGATTAACTGCTCCTGGTCCATTTCTGGTTGAGTCTGCAGACCCATGGTCCAGATCTGAATTCATTCCCACCAGCAGAGAGAAGGCTGCAAAATACCCATCAAAACCCTGCAGTTAATTGGCTTTTTGCAGCTTTCTACCTGCTGTGCTGCAACAAATGGCCATATCAATTCTGAATGACCACCAGAGGGCGATGCATAGTAGTGAATGATTCCTTGACCCCATACTACCGTCACTTTTACCTTCCAGGATCCCTACAGCTTCTCTCTGAGCTCTTGGTATTTCGAGAGGTCACCATCCTCTGCCCTTCCTCCACCCCCACAATGTCTGGTTGGTTCACCATTATCATCTTTTTAATCTATATGTGAAAGTCCCTCAGGATCTTGGCACGCTCATTCTCCACCACCACTGGAGGATTTTCCAATTTAGAACTTTGTGTTTGCATTGTTGGCTTTCCTTGCCAGCATCTTGCACCCTGCAGTTAAAAGTTGGATTGTCTCAGGTGCCTCTTTGCACAATTAATGAAACTGAAGTTTAGCCTTATTTTGTCACTATTGCTTACAAGGCAATGACATATCAAACTATGCTGAAGTTTAAAATGCCTCTGTTAGCTCAAATAATCTCAGATTTCCCTTTGGGGAATTAGCTCTATTATTATTAGCTCTCAGGGCCATCAATTCGCTCTTTACTGACTACACTCTCAGGATCAAGGAGTCGCAGTACTAATGGGAGTGTAGCTATGCTATGATTGTGGAATGCTGTGCGTATCGGGGGGATGTCGTTTGACACAACAGCCTCCAACAATTGAGCTTGTATCCTGATTGAACAGGAGCTCCAGAAAGATCTCCTGTACTTTGCTGCCATCATGTCCTCGAGCTGCTCCTCGCTGCGGCTTTACAGCGATCATGGTTCGAACATGTTTAAGTGCTTTCAAGATCGCTGGCAACACATCGACCAGAGCCAGTTTGAGTCAATATGATGGCCTACTCTAAACTCCATCCAGCCTGGACCTAGCCAAGGCAGCCCTGAACAAACAAGCTTGTCGCCCTAGCCCTTTGTGACAGCAGCAGCTTTTTTGCAGCACATAGCAGTTATCAACGACCACGTCAAGTGCAGAGTCACCTTATTTCATGGATACAAAGGAAAGCTAACTCTGAATGAGGAGCAACTGCAGTTTCTCATCATTGCACAGTTTTTCCAGACTCCAAAAAGAAGAGCATAGCTGCTGGTATAGTGCCTCAGCAGAAGACAGAGGAGATCTAAGCATTTTGCCAATAGACGGGAATATTGCTTTTTATTTGAGGATTTTGTTTTTACATTTAGAGCAAACAAAAATATAAACAATTAAGCATACGGTCTACTTAGACATATTTTGATTGTATCACCATTGATATTTGTCCTGTTTCATACATGTAAAATTGTAGATTTAATTTGCTTGATTTCAGTTCTGATGTTAAACTTAAATTTGTATTCAATTTGTTATTGTTTTATGTTGTATCTGTTCTCAGACAATAAGCGCATCAAGGAGGAGGGAAATATTAAAAGGTCACCGTGGGAGGTGTAAAGGTGGAACAATTGATACAAAAATTCATGGAGAGGAGAGTTTTCTCAGTTAATCCAACAAATGTCATCGGTTGGAGCTTAGAATGACCAACTTTCCTATTTAAGGATCACCCTAATATATATACACATATATATATATATACATATATTTAAGTATACACATTTATAGCTACATATTTATCTACTGTACATATATTTTGCGTGCTCCTCTTGTGCCCTGTATGTGCGCTACAACACCAACATTTCCCCACTGTGGGATGAATAGGTTCTCTTTTCTTATGTCTGTGTCCTTACGTCTGCGTCTGCATCAGGGGCATGCTGGTGGTCTCGTAGCTGTCCGGGTGCAGGGGGGGCACCACTTCTCCACTCACTGGGTTGAAGACGGGCAGAGTGGACAGGGGCCATGAGATTTCCCGATTCTTGGAGAGACTTCGCAGCTCCTTAGACGACTTCTGGATGGTATTGTGTTGGACAAGCTGGATACTGCACCACAGTTATAGAAAAGGAACAAAAAGTGAGTGCTACCTCCTTCTATTTATATTCAACATCCATTATGTGTATTTTGTGAAGGATGTAATAGTAACTTTCAAACCACAAGAAAAGAAATGTAATAAAATCCATCAAAGTTAAGTTCCATCCGAGTTACTCGCACTCAGGCTGTAATTAACAATTACATTGATCATCAATCCATTGCTTTCCATTCTTTGATTAGTTGTTTGGATCCCGAAAGGTTGATATTGGACCTTTTTATACCGAGGGAACATTCTCTTTATGTCAAGTTATAACGAGATGACTTGTTTACAAATGGGTTGTTTGATTCTGCAATCATTATAGAATTCTGTTCAGTTGTTTAGCCGTGCATACAACTGTGGGATTAAATATCCATCCATCCATTTTCTTCCCCTTAATCCATTTCTGGGTCGGGGGGGTGGCAGTCAGAGCTGCACCCAGTACACAGAGCACCAGCCCCTCACTGATCCTCCTGCAGGTGGCGAGTCCACAGGAGCTGAGATCTTTCAGTGGGGGCTTTGGGCAAAGTAGGGTTAAGTGTCTAGCCCAAGGACACAACGACAGCAGTCATCAGTGGGAGTCGTGAAGTAGGTCTTACGGTGGGCTCGAACCCAGCGAGAAGGGACATGAGCTGCTCTTGCTCCTCTCAACATGGAGAAGCAGCGGCTCTGAGCTTCTCCCGTGTGATGGAGTTCTTCACCCCATCTCTAATGGAGCGCTCAGTCACATTGACCGTTTGGATAATAATAATAATAACGAATCATCAAATACAGATAATAATTGGGGCTGTCAAACGATTTAAATGTTTTAGTTGATTAATCGCATAGTAATGGTGAGTTAAATGACAATTAATCACATTTTTAACATTCTATTTCAAATCCACTCCAATTCAAGTTAAATGAGACTATCAATGACACATTGTCATTCATACCAAATGTACTTAAATCTGTTTGATTTGCTCACAACCTTCTATTTTTGGGCACAACCAACATGAGCTGTTAATGAAAGGGAAAATGTACGTACCCCAGCTTTAATTTAGCGAGTTTAGTTGCGTTTCAGGAGGATACACGGACACTTCCTGAGTTCAGCTTCAGCGGTGTATTTGCGTGCACAGGTTACGCACAGGTTACACAACATGCAGAGAATAGTTCTGTGCATGTATGGTCTTAGATCCCATTAACGCGGCGCCATTCGCCATATAGTTGTTAGCGGCTCACAGCCGCTGGAGGTGGGAACCGCTCTCCAGAGCAGGCCGCAGCTGCCATGAGTCAGAACGCTGCAACCACGGAGGATGCAGACTTCAGTTCATAGCAAACAACAGCAAGTGCCCCGCGGTCACGCAAGTATTCTTTTAAAACTTGAATTCCCAGAGCCTACCTGCTCTGTTGCCATCTCACACACGCACGTGTCCGCGGCATTCTGAGTGATGTAATGGTGTACATGAGAGAGAAGAGAGTTAACGCAATAATTTTGACAGCCCTAATAATAATACATTTATCATAGAAATAATTTTAGTTGATCCAATGATGCCGTATTAAAACTCTGCAAACTTCTCTTTGCTTTGAATTTAGCATAAAGTCCATTTATGACTTATGGACCATAGAATATATAAAATGTATACAGTCTACTGATAAAACACAGATGTTCATGTCGAGTATCAAGTCTCACTCCAGTCTGACTGCAGTCCAAGTCAAGTCCAGATTTCTGCTCATAAAGGATAAAAACCACACTTGAGTAAGTAGCCTACCACCACAATGTGTATGTGTTCACTATAAAAGAGTTTGATTGTATCTCTGGCCCTGGACGGGTGTGGTCAGGGCTCAGAACTCAGAGTGGGAGCAGCATGTACAATGAAGATGAGATGGACACTTACTCTGGGGTTTTCATGTTTCTTTTGACCCTGGGAACAAAACAAAATGGATGAATTAAACAGTGAGAAACACATGCAGACAGTGAGGGGGGAGATGTGGACATGACATGGATTTTTAGGGATTTTTTTAAAAGAAATTACTACGACATTTAAACTAACATACTGCCCAACACACACTATTTTATAACATAAATCAACAATGGAAAATAGTTATAGTAAGAGTAGATAATGGATCTATATGCTATTTAATAATAATATATGTAGCAAAGTTAATATTTTGGTGATCTTTCTCAAAACTCTACAGTGATATTTTTTATTAAGGGTAATGCGCTATACAGTTATTAATGTTTACTGGTTAAAATTTGTTTATTTTATCTTTAATAACTATTCCATATTGTTCCCTTTGAGTTGCTTTCATCCCTGATCTTTAATTTGATGTCTTGGTCTTCCAGCCGCTTCTTTAAATTTCTCCTTCGTGTGTCCCCTCTTTGTCCCCCAGTATAAATTCTGTTTTGTTTTCAACCACAGCCTCTTCCCTTTACATTTCTGGTCATTTATTTTATTCATTCAAACCAAAATGCTGAATCATTCGCACATCACAGGTTATAAATAAGGAGAAAAAGGACAGAGGTGTATGGGTGGAGGTGGAAACGGGGGTAGTCAGAGCAATGGTCACTGTAATGCAGGAAGATAGGACTCAAACATGCACACTATGATCTTTGATTGGATTCATGAGAAAGGAAAATAGTTCCAACATGGGTAAAAATTCTAAAAAGTAGGTCACCTTTATGAGTGCCCCAGTTTGGCAGCAAAGCTAATTTTAAACACGCATGGGAACGGTCCCTCAGCAACGTGTCAAGATGAGACTTTTACAATATCCACAAAGAATAACTTGGTAGCTACTTTTTGATACAACTGGACAATGCATGAGTGCTATATGACACACAGACGCATGGGAATGTGATGCGGAGTGAAAAGCTGCATTTGAATCCCAACAACTAAATGCAGATCCAAACAAAGAAGTTTGTTCCAGTAAATCAGACAGAAAGATAATGATGTTATTGCCTCCTTTCCCATTATTTAATTGCTCCATACACTTTTATTGTGAACCACTGCAGCCATAACTGCCCAGGGCACATTGCTGAAGTGAGGGTGTTTGACTAAGCAGGTCAAACAGTCCTCAATTCACAGATGAGGCCAAATACATACTGCCGCTGTGCACTTACATCAGTATCTTACATTCAGTGTTTGATTTAACGGAAGAAACAAATGTAGGGAGGCTGAAAATGCATTTTGATGAAAGTTTACATGTGTGTAAGTATTCGTGTGCGCATGTGTGTGTGTGTGCGTGTATGTGTGTGAATGTGTGTGTGTGTGTGCATGTGTGTGTGCGTGTGTGTGTGTGTGTTGGTTGGTGTGGTGGCAGCACTTACACCCCCTCCCTCCTGCAGCACATGGCGTACCCCAGCACCACAAACAGCACCATGGCCACAGCAGCAGGAACCGCCAGCGTCACCACGAAGTCCGACAGGTAGTCCCGGCTGCGCAAGGCCTCGGAGGGCGGGTTGTACTCCCCAAACTCAGGCAGGATCCCGGGGCCAGGGTCTGGGCGACTAACGTACACCGGCACCACTTTAGTGATGTCCACCTGAAGACGAGAACAGGTCCACATGTTTCTGTGTCTCCTCACATGCATTCAGACAGGATTTCAACTTATGTAGTTTATTTCTACTTCTACTTCCACCTCAGAGCTCTGTCTTTGATGTAGCGATGTACTTTATTTTTGGGTCAAGCTACAATCACAGCTCATTGAGGAGGATTCTTGTTGGAATATGCTTTGTTTGTGGAGTCCCCATAGTCACTTACATAAACTCACTGTCTTTGAAAGGATCAGTAACGTCATGAGGGCTGGTGCGTTTGCTTCTGAAATTAACTTCTTGACAAGTGAAGATGCTCCAAGTTACACTTAAGTTACGACAAATGGATAGCAACTTCTGTCAAATATATGTAATTGAAATATTTAATATGCCAGTTCACACAGTGTGCAGCTACTGAAAAAACTCAAATTCTCAAACATCACCAGGTTAATGCAGTTTTTAAATAAAAGCATGTTTTTGAGCAGTAGTGGATCAGCTGCAACATCAGTAAACATATCTGTTTCATGTACAATAAAAGCATGTTTCTCTGCAGTTAACCACTGAGGATAAAGTTTTTTTTTGGTGTGCTCCTGCTTGGTTGGAAGTAAAACCTGCAGCCACACTGGCTCTTTGAGGACCGGTTTGACACCCCAGATTGAGAGCATTTTCCACGCCTACCTTTTAGTCAACGAATAAATCAACAGGGTCATTGTTGATGAAGCTAGAGAGTCACTAACTAATCTTTATTTTTCTTTGGGAATTTCACAGACTACACTGAAAAAAAATATGTTAAAAAACAACCCAGTGAAATGTGTCAAATCCAATTTGACGAAATGTTCAAAACAGCCTGATCAGCACAATCTTTTGTTATTTTGTCAGATTTTATTTTACCCGCATCAGCTTCACACCACGCAGAAGCTTCATTCATGCCGCAACCCTCCTCCTCCCTATCTCCGCCTTGTTCTAGGCCAGCTCCTTCATCCTTCTAGCTACCACCACCAGGGTCTAGGCCCCGGGGGATTTCATCTCATAATCTTTTTCCCCTTCTGCAATCGTGCAATGCTCTGCCGGGGTCTAAGCGCCAAATCCCAACCACATTCTGTTCAGCACAATAAATGTAATCTTGATAATAATGTAATGTATAATTGTAATAATATCTTTGGTGTCATCTGTGTAATTCATGCAGTGTCAGATTACCTGCCAACCAACATACAATTCTAATACCCCGTTTTGCCTGTTCGAGTCTCTCCAGATTGAAATGACACAGGCTGACAGTCATTGTATAAACAGAATTTATACATTATTTGTGGCACTCACCAAGGAGATCTTGCACCAATCTATGTTGAACTGTGCTCTGAACTTCTTGTCACAGCTGATGGCAGGCTCCATCTCCTGACTGCAGCGCAGCTGGTTGTGTGGGCTCTCCACCTCCCGCAGGCACGAGGAGAAGGGAACGTCAGCTCCCACCATCACATACACCCTGCACATATCAAAGACACTCCAGTTTTCCATTCTATATAATTTCTGCCTCTTTCCTTTTCCACAGGGCCACTCAAGTTTTCCTTCAGTTCTCTTCTCTACTTTTCATAGCATTATTTTTTTTTTTTTTGGACAAGGAGTGGACTACACTCAGTCAACTACAACCTGAGTGGATCCTGGACTACCTGACAGACAAACCAGGGACTGCGTGTCTGAGGTCCTGACGTGCAGTGTGGGGTCCCACAGGGGACAGTCCTCGTGCCGTTCCTCTTCATAAATCAACAATTTGTGAAGAGGAATGGCGCAGACACCCACTTGATACTCGTCAGAGAACTTCTGTAGGACACAGTTGTCTGTGTTGTGTCTGAAGTCCGCAGACACAACACGGACAACTGTGTCCTACAGAAGTTTTCTGACGACTCTGCCATCATCGGACTCAGCTCCAAGGACAATGACACAGAGGATAGAGGACAAATACAGGACTTTGTGGACTGGTGTAAGTGGAACCACCTCCTCATCCACGCAGGGAAGACCGAGGAGATGGTGTTGCATTTCTGCGGACGTCACTCTACAGCGCCAGGCCCAGTGGACATCCAGGGAAGGGATGAGAGAGTGGACTCTTAAGTACCTGGGTGTTCATCTGAACCACAAACTGGACTGGACTTAAAACACAGACGCCCTCTTCGAGAAGGGATAGAGCCAACTCTACCTGCTGAGGAGGCTCAGGTCTTTTGGAGTGCAGGGGCCACTTGTGAAGACCTTCTATGACTCTGTGGTGGAGCCTCTTGTACGGTGTGGTCTGCTGGAGCAGCAGCATCACAGATTACTACTTACTACTACATCACAGAGAGGGACAGGAAGAAGCTGGACAAGATCATCAGGAAGTCCAGCTCTGTCCTGGGCTGTTCCCTGGACTCAGTGCAGCAGGTGGGGGACAGGAGGGTCCTGGACAAACTAACATCTATGCTGGACCAAGACTGTCACCCCCTGCAGGACACTCTGGCTGCTCTGGAGAGCAGCTTCAGTGACAAACTAATTCATCCTCGCTGTGTGAAAGAGAGGTTTAGCAGGTCCTTCCTCCCTGCTGCTGTCAGGCTGTACAACAAGAATGTATCACAAGAACTGCTGAGTCTTTACAAGTGTCACTGATAATAATTCACTAGTAACTTAGTCACTAGTCACTTTACCTGTTATCATTATAACTGCATTATTCATCCAACTGTGACTAGTGAATGGCAAACTAGTGTCATTCACTAGTCACTACCTGTTGATTACTGCTGTTTATTCAGCTCATATTATCCACTACTAAAGTACAATATACACATCTGTAAATACTTTTGAACCAAATACAATTATAGCTCCAGTGTTTTTTTTTTTACCATCTTATTATCTTATTCTGATTATATTGTCTCTTATATTAAATAATAGACTGTATTGGATGCGTGCAATCTGAGTGTTCTTGTTTCCTTCTTTCTTTTCTATAACAAAGCACTCTCTGCTGTGAGGTGAGAGTGCAGGACTGACCCCTCCTTTAGGTTGTTGATGGGCAGGGGCACGCGACCGCCTCTGTCCAGTGCAGACGTTATGTTGATGGCGTTGAGGCGCTCTGGCTGCCACACATTCTTCACCGCTCCCAGGAAGTCTCCCAGGACCTCGCTGGCCAGCATCTCCTCCACGTTCATGTTTTTGATGTAAAACTCTGCCTGGTACGGCAACGGGAACTCTGCGCCACAAAACCGGGACATGGTATTGGCCAAATGTAACTTCCGACTTGTATAAAAGTGATGTACAATCTAGTATATCATAGTCGCACTGAACCAGCATGTATTCATTTCATCACAAACATTTTTAATTTGGTACAATCCCAATACTTTGGCTTATAGTACCAGAAAATGTGAGAACTGTTCATTTTTTTTTAACTGTTAATTCATCTGCATCTGAGGAATGTTTAGCAAATGTAATTGCTGGTCAAGATTGTGGCGCTACTCCCCACGGGCTCCGTTAGCGGCAAAGGAGGTGGCTAGGCTAAATGCTAAATGCTAACAACACACTCGGGCGCATTACATTCGTCACGGTAAACTCAGATCCAATCGTTTCAATCTGCAAAAGGAGTTAACCCCTCCCACCTGTTCACGGAGCTCAATGGAGCAAATCCAGACCTTAGTATGAAATGTAATTTGTACTATGGTGTGGTACGACCAGGCTACACTGTCGCAAAAATAAGACTTAATACAAAGTATTTTTGGAAGAGGTAAGCATGTGCCTTTTGTCAATAAAAGCAGAGGAATGTACTTTGGCTGCCGCCTACTGCTTCTGATTGATCCGCAATAGGGCATTACAAAGAAAATCTATTCTTGTGCATAAGCCAAGCGGCTCTCTGTGCTTACATCCCCAATAGGCGCTGAAGACGATAGGTGTAAATTAGGAGTCTTTCCCAACATTGCCAGCAAACAACCGATCAGCCAATTCTATGACGATCTTGTCCCTTTCAGTTTGTAGATTGTTTAATCCATAGCCGCTATCCTAATTGGCTCTTTCAATTTGTGTATTTAACAATTCCACAGTTCTGTACCTTCTGTGCCCATGATGTTGATCACCAGGTTGTGGCGAGCGGTCTCAAACGTGCGGCGGTTATAAGCTGTGATCTACAACACATACACACACACTCATTCATCAAATTGAAGGTCTTTGAAACTATACTTAGGCCAATGCCACCTGAACGATCACTTAAACAGAATTAGTACAGACTCAAAGTAATGCAAAGTAGTATTAAGTAAAGGAAATACATATCAAAACATCAATACTTCTGTGCAGACCAAAACCACACACACCGCTATTACAGTTGGCCCAAGTGCTCCACCATGGGAGACCTGTACACACACACAGACACGCAAAAACACATGCACCCACACCCAGGCACGCACCTCTATCACAGTCGGCCTGCCCGCATGCTCCGCCGTGGGAGATCCGTACAGGACCCCGTCGCTCAGGGAGGTCCTCTGGATGTAGCGCAGCCAGCCTGGTCGGTCGGGGAAGCCCTGCAGGTTAGTGCTGAAGGTGATGGGGTCGTTCCCAGCGTCACCTGAGCAAGCACATGTCACATGAACAGGTTACATGCTCTGTTAGACCTGGCCACCTACTCAAATATAACATGAACATTGAAATACATGTTCACATTTTCACAGAAATATTTGTGCACTTATGTTTAATTCATGTGGTACTAGAACCAGGACTAGGATTTTGTGTGTGTGCAATTATGATGGAACTGACGCATCATTTTAATATCACAATTGAGGTAATGCAAATATATTTGTGATATTGGGATTTGATTTTCAATATTTCCCACTGGGGTAGGGGTCATGTTTTAGGGAAAATTATTCTGCACATTTGTCTTTCGATATGGATGAAAAACAAGTTTTTCCAATGTAACAATATTATGAAAATAATAACTATGAAAATCAAACTTGGAGTTGATTTTAGCTCCATCAAAAATTATTTCAGGAGCTTTTGGCACAAACAAAATCCCGAGCCCCTTGTGTAAAAAGGTTCACAGAGGTGAATTCTGTCTTTACAAAACAAATGTTTTACGTTTGAAACAGTTTGGGAATTATTCATCAGATTAAGTTCTTTACAACTGACTTCAATTAAGTCAGGGTAAATTCTGTAACAACCTGTAATAAAATATTCAAGTCCATTCCATGAGAGCAGGGTATGGGTCAGTGAGTGGGTGCAGTACCAGACTTGGGGTAGGGGGGGAACTCTCCTTTGAAGTACTCCCTCTCCAGAACATGAACAAAGAGCACTCCGGCAGATGGGTACACGTTCCGGTCAGCGTGGGCCCGCGACACGATGGTGACCACTGCAACACAGCATAACGGTCTGGGGGTCAAAACATGAAGCTTGTGTTTGTGTTTATAATGGACAACAGCAAAATGTGAATAGAGCCACATAGTCCTGCCTCTCCTGATCCAGTTTCCGGGCTCCAGATAATGAGTATCTATATTTAAAAGAGACTGTGAACATCAGAAGACACCACAGTAGCAATAATCTATTTATTTGTGAACCTGTTTTTTGTTTTGTTTTCTTTTTCATATTTTTTTTTTTACAGATTTTTAGATGAAAAGGCGAAGACAAAAGGCTGATGTTACTTCCTGATTATAACTCTGTATCCCATGGACCAATGCGATGCAGCATACACGGTATTAGTAACTACAGCATATATTACATCCATGCTTGGACATTATTGTATTTGCTGTTAAAATTAGGTAGCATAATGTGAGGAAAGTTTAACCTAGCACATCCCCCCCAAGCTTTCTGAGTATTGTAGTGAAACCTTATTTCTTTATCAAACTAGATTGATCTCACACATGCTTGTTTCGCCAGCATCTGACTTTGAGATTATAACCATGTAGTTGGTTTCAGCCCAGGCTCAAGTACTCCAAAATCCAACGGATTGAGCGGATTGGTGAAGATGAAAAGTGATGATTGGAAGACTCCATGGATCAGCTGTGATGTTGGTGGGAATGTGCTTTCTGAGTGTACAATAGTGATCAGACAGACAGCTTATAATGACCAAGTGTACTGGAGGGTGCATGTGTGATTCAGGCGACAATAGCTCAGTTGGTATAGCATTGGCCTTTGAGCCTGAATGTCGTGAGTTCGAGTCCACCTCAAGACTTTCTCCACCGACTCCCACTGATGTCTGCTGGGAACACCTGATGCCACAGTGGGGCGGCTGCAGCTGTAAAGTGCCAAACTGCTGTTGTGTCCTTAGGCAAGACACTTCACCCCCGTTGCCTAGAGTGAATGTAGTGTGTGTGAATGGTTGGTTTGTGGTTGCCTCGCTTCTGTCAGTGTGCCCCAGGGCAGCTGTGGCTACAGTAGTAGTTTATCACCACCATGTATGAAGTGAATTACTAACAACATTTAAAGGGTCTTTGAGTGTCCAAAAAAGCGCTATATAAAACCGATGCATTATTCACATATTTTAAAGTACCAGAATTACTATTAGTTTTTAGTTTAAATATAGGATCTGTTAAAAACCTACAAAACCAAATTTCAATCTGGAGGGACTCATAACAGGATTTAAAACAAGCTTCCTGATGATATGAAGGCTTGATGCAGTATTTAATGGCTGCTGAAAGAAGATTGGCAGTGTGGCGTTGCCAGCTGAGTGTGATTGCTGTTGCCGCACAAACAGGGGGAGGACTGAGCACAGTGAGCTTAGTTCTTCCTGTTTTCCAGGCCGAACCTCCGCTTTAGCTTTATAACTTAGTTGCACCAGGTTGATTTTAAGTCAAAATTGTATTTATAGAATTAAGAATAAAGAAGATACAACAGAATTGTCCCACTTGGTCAATGTCCTACACCAGTTTGCAGACCTTCGCTAAACAGAACTCATTTTCTCTCTGACCAGAGCTAATAAATGACAGGTTCCAGTTAATGTCAAACCTCCACACAGTGCACATTATTGAAAGCATGTGCTTGGTTCAAACTGTATCTAGCTGTGTGGGATACTGTCATTATTAAATGTATTCTGGAGAGTGGAAGACCAACACTGAGACTCACAGCGGTCAGAACCAGCTCCAAGTGTGGTCAGCAGAGCAGTGAGCACTAAGGAGGAAGAATTGTGAGGTGGAAGTGAAACTAGGAAGCGGAGGACCTAAGACACGGTAGGATCTGTCTGTTATAGCGTCTTACACCTTGCATTCATGTAATCCAAAAGTATTGTCTGGGTTCACATTGGGTCCACGTTAGGGCTGCATGATTCAAGGAAAGGGCTACTTGAAGTTAACTTTGCGCAGAAATGCAATGTAATAATACACTTTCCTTCAAATAAGTAAATAAACAAACTAACAAGAACTTCTGGTACAAACACATCCTTCCGCCCCTTCTGTCTAAATGCTCTGTTTTCAAACTCATCCAGGACTCTTTTGAAAAAGCTATCTATATGGGACTTTCCTGGTTAAATAAAAATAAATACACTATTATGAATCCACAAACAATTGACAAAGCTGTTTTCTAACTTGTAAAACTGAAGTGTTGGTCGTAATTTAGTTGTGAAATGTAGGCATTGATTGAAGTGTGTATTAAAAGAACCATATTGGATTATTACAGAACCATTTCTACCACAAGCTGGGGGTGTTTCCCTACACTATTTTACCTTTATACATGTTTATCCTAATATTTTCAACTTCACATTTTAAAGCATGAAGTACATCTTCTCTAGCTTATGTCTAGGGGAAAATGGAACGCAGATGATGCACACTCTGTTATTTCATTTCTAAAAATGTCTTAAATTGAAAAAAAACCCACATAAATCCTGTTACTTGGAAACAGTGTAACTTGCGTGACAAAAATAAATACATAATGTCTATTTAAGTGTCATTACATTAATAAATATTATTAGACCAGATTATATGAGAAAACACACACTGCACACACACACACACACATCACACGCAAGCACACAAACTGCACACATACACACACACACACACACACACACGCTCACTCAGCAGGGCACGCATGCACATAAAAACTGTGGCTCCATCACAGACACAATCCTTCCCTCCAAGAGATATCATAAGGTAATATACGTATCACATTTAGCAAGTACTGTGAGAAAAGTTAGGGCAAGCATTGATATTATAGGATCCAAATAAGAATCATTGCGACACTATAAACTATAAAAGGTTCCACTGTTTACACAAAGGGAGGTTGTCACACAATATAACAGTTTAGTTTGAGTTTTCACATGCATGTATTTTTAGCCTCTGTTACATTTTGAGATGAGCTTCTTCAGACAGAAGTGAAAAAGAGAAAACCCTCACTCAGCCAATACGCTCTCAGCCCATAGTCAGTCAAATAGTCTCTCACAGGGCTCTCTTATGCAAAAGAAAACATATTTTCTTAAAAGACAGCATGTTGTGGAATTGTTTAAAAAAGGTTTTTTTCACTCAATGTATTAAAAACAACTGTTTGATTAATCACACAAATTAATCAATGATCAAAGTAATCATGATTACAGCCCTACACAGTATTTATTAGAAAATATATAAGTGAATGGCAATCCTCCCACTCGGGTTCACAGGTGGTGGATGCAGTGTTAATAGGGTCAGTAGCCACAGTGTTATGCACAGGGGCCACACGACACTCACCATCTCTGTGGGCCCCCCTGGTGTGATGCGGGCCCCTGCTCCTCGCCACACTCCCACTGACAGCACCTACCACTGCACAACACACGCTCCTCAGTACGGGGCTAAGTGACAACCGCTCCAGGGGCTAAAGATGTCATTTACAACGTAACTACATCTTGTACAACATTTCTCTGTCCTATCCTTTGTTTTAACAGTTGTTGGTAACTTAAAGAGGACATAACATAAACATTTCCATTATAGTTTTCCCTTTTCATTTGCACAATTTATTTTAGGGCAATTCATACGTGTTTGAGTTTATATTCCTTTAGTGCAGACATTTTTTCTCAAAGGGAAACTCTGCTTGCTAACTTGATGTGTAATCTGTGCGAAGCATGCAGAGATACAACAGGCCTGAATATGCATATGTGCTGTCTCTTTTGTGATATAACATGGTCAAAAGCAGTGAAAAGTCACATTTTTATGTCCCCCCCATGGTGATGGCCAGTGCAGGATGTCAAGTGGAACGCCAGCTTCAGCACCATGCATGCAGCATCAACAACTAGAAGGACTGATACCTGTGATACCTATGTCCCATTATTGTTGTAATACACTTCCAAGATATCGCAAGGTTAAGACACTCGCTGAAGAGGGGCTACATACTGCGCCTTTAAAGTGGAAGTAAACATTCTCCCAGAACCCTTGATGAATGAGGCCCATAGTCGCAGCATTCCTCTGCGCCTACACCCGCGCGTCAAGAGAGGCACACCGCTTTTTGTACAGTTATGCGGACGTTTATCCAATGTCGTAAGCACTGGATCAGACCGTAGGAAGGCAGCGGTATCGACAAATAGACCCATAGACGTGCTAACTAGCCTGCTGCTGCTGCTCCTGCTGCTCCTGCTAATCAGCCCGTGCGCGCACGGACCAGACGCACCATGGCACTGTGCGCTCTTACCCGCTCCAAGCCACAGGGCGACAGCGGCGGCTGACATGGCTCTGGGGGTTCTGCTGCGAGTTCCACAAAGGCACGGATTCTCCTTGGGCCTCCAGGGGCCGGACAACAGTGACTGCACGGGCCGAAATAGCGCCAGCATCGCTGCCTTCAGTCTGCTGGGGCCGCCTACTCCGCTATGCAGTGGAAACAGGCGCGCAACCGGATTGGTCCAAACATCTGTCTGCGGAAGAACGTGATCTGGGCAACATCTGTGGAGGAGGATGGGAAGTTTCCAAGGAGATGTGGAGTAAACAAAGACGTTTTATTTGAGCAGTGGTGGAAAGATTTGTGTGACTACATATAAACATAAAGACTAGGCTAAAAATAAACATACAAGAAATAACCTACCACCAGAGGTGGGAAGTAACGAAGTACTTGTACTTCGTTACTGTACTTAAGTAGATTTTGCAGGTATCTGTACTTTACTTGAGTATTTTTTTTTGTTGCGACTTTTTACTTTTACTCCTTACTTTTAAAACACAAGTATCTGTACTTTCTACTCCCTACATTTTAAAAAATCAGGTCGTTACTTTTAAAATCTCCAAAGTTGAGCGACAACACAACGTAAAAACCCGGGCCAACCAGCGCTGAAAAAGAGGAAGCTAAAAAATAAATAAATTAATAAAATACAAACAGGAAGCTATAGGACGCAAGCTAGTCAAGCACATGGATAGTCACGCCGTGTTTTTAACTTGTGACTGTGAATGAGACGGTATGGAGGAAAGTGAGCAGGACAGCGTCATCGAGGATGATTCCGCAGACACCGAAAGACAAGAAACACGGCACCCATGGCCTTACCTGAAAGAACTTTTCGTTGTTGTTGGCTATAAGAAGGATTCGTGGCGGATGCAGTGCAACCTGTGCTTGCCCAAAAAACACGAACTTTTGGCATTCAAGAATTCACCGTCCAATCTGAAGAAGCACATTCAGGTTTGTTATTTAGATTTCGTATTGTTGTTACTAGTATAGGCTACATTTGATTAATTCTGGAGGTTTTAAAAAGATATAAGTGTGTCAGTAATGCTTTGGGGGCACTATTAGTTTGCAAGAAAGTGGTGCTAGCTTGTGGTCTGCCGCACTAGCTGTAACTCATGTCACGTTTGCATTGATACGATTTACACATTTTACACATTTATTCTCCCACTCCCAAATCATAACCGTAAAAGTAGCCACACATTTAGATTTTATTTTATTTTTTTAAGTCTCGTTTTGGCTGTGGAAATATGTTTAAAATCTCATCGTGTTATTGCTCAGTTCAAATCAAGCTGTTGAATAACTATCAACACTTTACAATACAACACTTTGTGTTGTATAGTAACTCAGTGTTACGAATATATGCTTGTATTATTTTAATGCAAGGAATACATTTGAGCTGATCTGTTTTTATATTTTGTTTGCAAACAGAGGAAACATGCCAATCATTTGGAAAGATACAAAAATTTCACTGCAGCTCCATTGAAAAGGAAGTCGTCCACATCTGATGAAGGCTCATCCAAACAGCTTAAATTGTGGGATGTCAAGAGGGTCTCGCAGAAGAGTGTGGATGAATTCATTTTGAACTTTGTCATTCAAGGTCTGCACCCAGGCAGCATTGTCGAGCAGCAGGGTTTCAAAGCTATGATCAATCACCTGCAACCAGATGTGACAATAATGTCCCGGGGCACAATGATAAACAGGGTCGAAAAAGCTACAGTAGAAATGAAGAAAAATCTTAAAGCTGCTATGAATGAGGTTGAGTTCATTGCAACTACTACTGATTGTTGGACCGCACACAGGAGAAGTTTCCTTGGAGTCACTGCACATTGGATTGAGACAGAAACTATGACTAGATGCTCTGTAGCACTGGCATGCAAACAGTTAAGAGGTTCACACACATTTGACAGCCTAGCTCGAGCACTGAATGACATTCACACAGAATTCAACATTCGGGACAAAATTGTACGCACAACAACAGACAATGGGTCAAATTTCATCAAAGCTTTCCGGGTGTATGGAGAGGGGGAGGAAAATAATAACCAGGAAAGGCAAAGTGAATCGGATGCAAGTGAAAACAGTGAAGGTGAGGAAAGAGAACAGGAGGGAAATATAAACTTCATTGAAGCAACAACATTATTGAACGAAGATGATGGCCTTGAATACCAACTTCCCAAGCACCATCGCTGTGCCTGCCACCTTCTCAACCTGGTGTCAACTGTTGACGTTTCAGATGCCAATGCAAATGCAACGTACAAACGACTTTCCCGGTCAGCCTTTTCAAAATGCTGGGGCCTGTGGAATAAAAGTGGGAGATCTACTGCTGCGGCTGAAATCATTGAGGAAAAATGTAAACTCCAGCTCCTGAGGCCCAATGACACAAGGTGGAATTCCATGTACCTGGCTGTTGAGAGAATAATAAGAATCATGAGAGAACAAGGAGAAGGAGCCATCACAGCTGTGTGTACTACACTTAAATTGCCCATGTGAGTAACTTTTATGATATTTATATTATATTAAGTTTAATAATCATGTAACATACAGTTTAAAATGTGTAATGTAGTTTGTGCTTGTTTCTCTTTAGTAGCCACTGATGTTTTATCATTATTATTTTTTTTTTATTATTCAGGCTCTCTCCTGCTGAGATTGCCTTTCTCAGTGAATATGTCAAGATAATGTGTCCTGTTGCAAAGGCAATTGATGTTCTTCAAGGAGAGACCAATGTGCAGATGGGTTGGCTCATTCCCACTATTACTCTTCTCAAGACTAAACTACAACACCTTCGACTCTCCTCCAAGTGCTGTGTGCCGCTCATAGATGCTCTTCAATCTGGACTTCAGAAGCGCTTTGGTGAGATGCTCAAGGATCCTGAGCTCATTGCAGCTTCCATTCTGGTGCCCAAATTCAGAAGATGCTGGACCACAGATGAGGGCCTTCTACAACTCGGTGTGTATTTTTATTTGTTTTATTTTTTTGTGCATTGATCTGTTATATTTACTTAAGAGACATGTATTTGAATGGTTAATGCAAAAATGTATGGTGTACTAATATTGCTGTATTTGCACTGTGTTTTTGATAGGCCTTGACTACATCAAAAGCCATCTCAAAGAGCTACCTGTGACTGTCAGTGACTCCACGCCTTCTTCAGAGGAAGATGACTTTTTTTCACCTATCAAGCAAGGGAACTTGCAAGAAAACACCAAACAGCTTGAGTCATACCTGGCCTGTCCCAATGACACCATGGAAATCTTGAAGTCATTTCCTGCAGTCCTGAACCTTTCACTACAGCTGAACACTCCACTACCTGCTTCTGCTGCCTGCGAAAGGCTCTTCAGCACAGCAGGACTCATTTTCCGACCCAAAAGGGCACGCATCCATTCACAAAACCTTGAAAACATGCTTCTGTTGAAGCTAAATCCAAAATTTTGGTAGTTTGCTTTTCCCCTTATATATCGGGATGGTTCCATTTTCCCATTGTATAGTTTGGTCATACTATAAGCTCCAAGTTATTTGGGATGTTTTTGCACTTTGTTTTTCTTGCACTTTTACAGTTTGTAGTTTAAGTTATAGGAATGATGAAAATACCACATTCTGCAGGCGCTCTTGAATGATCTTACGGGTATTACTACATTGTCGGATGTGCATTTAATTTCACACAAAGTGACATTTATTTTGTTCGGTGCAGCAGTACTCTGAGTTGAGTCTGAGTAAAAGAATAAAGAATTTGAAGGTCAAAACAAGTTTTGTTTTTTTTTTTTTTAAGAGGAAAAATATTGATTTACTTTTTACTTTTTTACTTAAGTACATCTAAGAGTATGTACTTTTTTACTTTTACTTAAGTAAGGCAGAGGGTGCAGTACTTTTACTTTTACCAGAGTAGTTTTTTGCAAAAGTATTAGTACTTTTACTTAAGTACTGAACACTGGTACTTTTGACACCTCTGCCTACCACTTTTCATTCTTGTGAAATTGTAATTTTGCCAAATAGTAATAGGCATGTTATACATTTGTTTTCTCATTTCAAAGAGACCGGATGTTGTGTTTGGCAACAGACTGTGACGTCATGAAGAGAGTCTTTCGGAGTCCTAAATAGAGTGGCGTGGAAAAAAGAGAAAGAAATAGGGTGGCGTGGTAGAAAAGTGGAGATCGTATAGTTTTTCCAGGCGCTCCGGTTTTCCCAACAACTAAAAACATGTAAAATAAGAGAAAATTCTCCTGCTCAAGCAGTCTTCAATTGACACTTTTGGAGTACATGGGCCACTCCTGAAGTAAAAATCTTCTAGGACTCTGCGATGGCGTTAGCCATCTTGTTCCGAGCGGTCTGCTGGAGCAGCAGCATCACAGTGAGGTACAGGAAGGTCAACAGGAAGTCCAGCTCTGTCCTGGACACAGCAGGTACAGCAGCATCCATGCTGGACCATGACTATCACCCACTGCAGGGCACTCTGCTCTGGAAGTCAATTTCAATATCAGCCTGTTCCACCCTCACTGTGAAGGAGAGATTCCGCTGGTCTTTCCTTCCTGCTGCTGTCAGACTGTACAATGATTAATAAACACTGCCAACCTGATCTCACATGTTATGCATCTGTATAATATTTTTAAATAATGTTAGAATGTGCAATATGGGATTGGGACTAGCTGCTATCATGTACAGTAGTATCACATGCTGCTATCTTGTACAACTGTTGAAACAACTGTTTCTATAAATTGTCAGGATGATAATTATGTCATAGGAACAGTTGCCATGGTGATGGTTCCCATGGTGACGGTTGCCATGACTGTTGTCATGGCAACTCTCAATATGTCACTGTTATCATGGCAACTGTTACCATGACAGTTACCATCCAAACAGTTACCATTCAAACCGTTGTCATGGTTAAGGTGGTTTTCCTGGCTTAATGTATGTGTTCAAAAGGACTATGTCCGTCTATTACCATGGTGATGTGATAATGGTTGTCAGAGTAAAAGTTGCCATGGTGATTGTTCCCACAGTGATGATTTCTATGGCAATAGTTGCCATAGTCATGGTTGCCATGGTAACAGTTGCCATGACAGTTGCCATCAATGCTAACTGTCGTCATGATTACGGGGGTTTTCTTGGCTTGATTTATCAGCTCGAAAGGACTGTGTCTGTTTGTTGCTATGGTGATAATGGTTGTCATCGCAACACTTGCCATGATGATTGTTCTTTTAGTCATGGTTGCCATGGTAACAGTTGGCATAGCAACAGTTACCATAGTGAAGGTGATCATTGCCAAGCAACAATGATCACCCCCTTAAATTCCCTGTATGTATTTCACGGTACTGAATCATGCTGATTGTATTATTTACATGTTATTGAAATTATATGCAGCAAACAAATGTATCCAAATACATGATTGTGAAGGTTTGTTGTGTATGATGATGAGATATGTTGATATTCTGTCATTGCCATGGCAATACAATAACACACAAAAAAATCTGTATACTTGAAATGTCTTAATTTGTGATCAATAAAACTCTCACCCTATGAGAGTGATTAAAGTGGCAAATGTCTGATAAGGATCTACACTTCTGTAGATGATCTGTTAGTAAGTAAGTCATCTTTATTTATATAGCGCCTTTCACAGGCCAGAGTCACAAAGAAAATTGTTGTGGGCAATTGTCTCCCACTCCACGCAGAGATGGGAGCAGGGTCACCTACAGGAGGCGCATGCCAGACTTTTTGTACATGCACAGAGAGAATATCAGCCTACAACATTAATACACTTTATTACACGGCCTCAGAGCAGCAGTAGAACGCTCCATTGATTTGAATGTAATTTCAAAACGTTATACCGGTCATTATTTCTTATAACGGACCTCTCAAAACAATAATGACCGCTGCCCACGGCAACGCACTCTGCTTGTAATTCAGATGTGTAGATTACTCCGCAAGTAGTTCCGGCTACTCCGGAGCTAACCACGCTTAATAAACGCAAATACCAATCAATCAACACATTTAAATGTTAATCGGAGAATACATTATACATTCTTAACACACATGCATGGAGGTTTTTAGAAGTATCTGTTAAGGTTTTCATGACAAAAATCCTGTTTTAATGCGAGAAAAAGCAATCGTGAAAAACCCGGAAGTTGATTCCGGGACATTTTAGAACACATTTGCAGAGGATCGAATTATGGATTTATGTTAGGTTTATGTTTGGGTCACTCACCGCTGATGTTCAGAATTCTTTTTCAGTTTTCATGCAGTTCGAGAAAGTTCTAGTTTGGAAGTTGCTAGCCTAAGTGGTGCTAGCATAGCCACGGGAAAGCCTTTGGGAACTGTTTTATTTTCCGTCATTAAATAATCCTTTCGGCATTCCTAAGAGTGGACTGAAGTTTATTTTGTGTGTTCTGTTGGTATAAAGCCGTATAAAAAGCGGGATTATGTATATTATGCAGGTCATTATCGGAAAATAAGTACCTTCAGGGCGGAATGATAATGACCTGTGTATTATACATTATCCCTTACGTAATGAATAGGTGAAAATCAGCTGCAACAAATAATATTAATAGACCCTACAATACAGAATTAGGCGCACATCAACATATTGAATCTACTAGTTGCAAACAAGGCAATTAATCATACAAACATTGACAGAGCGTGAAAATATACATATCCACATGATGCACACACTGCATTAATGCATATGATGCCCCCAACATACTCTTCTCCAAACACTGTTATAACCACCTCTGAAAATAGCCAGGGAGAATCATTTACAAAACAAACAGGTGCTTCATGAGAAATGTAGTGCTGGGCACTTACAAACTAATGGCCATGGTGTCACATGACCCAGGTGGGAAAGAGCACCTGCAGGCAGCTGCCATCTGCTAAACAGCACGGCTGATTTTGGAGGTCCTATTCCAGGCACAAAAACAGCAGAACTAGCTCCAGAAGTTGATAAGTTCAATAACCTGTGGGATCACTAAAGCAGAACTTGGCAGCAACTACTCAGAAGGAGTAGTGGACATGTAGCTCTTGTTCTAATGAACATGAATGAAGATATCCAGTCACATGAAGACATCCAGATGTTGTCGCTTCACATTAAGAGGACAGTTTATGTGTGAGAAATAATATTACTAATTTGTGTCAACACAATACAAAAAAAAATAAAAGCTTAATATTACACCAACCCTACAGTTGGTCATCTCCCAAGGGGTTCGTTGGAAGCAATTGGGACTTGGAAATGTCGCTTTGTGAGCAGTCCAGATAGATTCAGCCTACACATACAAAGTGAGACGAAGCCATTGGGTCTTCTGATCGGTCTGTGCGAACTGTGTGTGTGTGTGACGGGTGTGCAGAGAATGGAGAGCAGAGAGGCTGGGTGGCCCGCAAAAGCAGAGGCGAGTGGGCGCTCTAAGGAGAAGGAGTCACTTGTGCATGTGGTGCTGATCTAGTCATCAAAGACCAATGCTTTTCCTACTCATTTTGAAAGCTGTGTGCAAACCTACTTTATTCTTAATTCTTTACAATTGTATTTGCACAATTTTAGATTCAGATCTTAACCTCCTGAGACCATGCGACCTCATACGAGGACATTACATTTTTGCCTCTTGGCACAATGATACTAAATTTTTTACATCGTTGACCTGATGGCCACATTTAGGGACACTGCCCGCGCCATCTTGTGGTCATATGATAGAATTACACTTAAGGCAGTAGGAAAAAAAATGGTGGGAATATCAGCAAAAGACCAAGAGTTCACAGAAGAAAAATGCCCCAGGTAAAAATTCTATCAACATTTTATGAATGAAATCAATTAATTTATGCACAATAATGTCTCTAGCTTCATATGGAGTTTGAAATTTGACACATTTTGATTGTAGTAGCAGGCTAGGATATCAGTAAAAGCACTCGTTTGAGGACGCTAGGACTATGTACCGCTATCTGTTTAGCTAACCGTGTGGAAGATTTGGATGAAGTTACAGTTGTAAATAGTTATTTTGAATCACACATTTGCTTAGTTATGTGGTTTACAGTTGTAAATAGTATATTTAAGTACTAAGTGGTATGCTAAGTATTGTTTAGTGTTGCTAAATGCTTAATCATAAACAATATAGCTAGGCTATAGCTAGCACATGATAGCCAAGCTATGATGTGTCACTGATATACTGTAGATTTTGATGTTGGTTTTTAACATTATCATTACAGGCACACTTTCATTATCAAGAGCAGAACAATTGCTGTTGGCAATTGCAGACAACTCTGAGATAGAGGACTTCTCAGATGGGGATGATTGTATCATCCTCTCATACCTGTCAGTCAGCTTCTGGTGTTTCCCACGGGGAGAGGCGGCGAGCTGAGGTGGCCATACTCATTGCCCCCCATCTCAGCCGCCACGTGTTGGAGTTCTCCCCGGTGAATGAGAGGGTCGCGTCCCTCCGCCTCCGGGTGGGGGACAAGTCTCTCACTGTTGTGACGGCCTACGGGCCTAACAGCAGTGCAGAGTACCCGGCCTTCTTGGAGTCCTTGGGAGAGGTACTGGACAGTGCACCGCCCGGGGACTCCGTTATTCTCCTGGGGGACTTCAACGCCCATGTGGGAAATGCCAGTGACACTTGGAGAGGGGTGATCGGGAAGAACGCCCCCCCTGATCTGAACCCAAGCGAAGTTCAGTTGTTGGACTTCTGTGCCAGTCACAGTTTGTCCATCACGAACACCATGTTCGAGCACAAGGGTGTCCACCAGTGCAAGTGGCACCAGGACACCCTAGGCTGGAGGTCGATGATCGACTTTGTTGTCGTATCATCTGACCTTCGACCGCGTGTCTCGGACACTTGGGTAAAGAGAGGGGAGGAGCTGTCAACCGATCATCATCACCTGGTCGTGAGCTGGCAGGGGAAGAAGCCGGTCAGACCTGGCAGGCCCAAGCGTGTAGTGAGGGTTTGCTGGGAACGTCTCACTGAGCCCCCTGTCAGACGGACTTTCAACTCACACCTCCGGGAGAGCTTCTCCCAAGACCCAGAGGAGGGGGACATTGAGTCAGAGTGGACCATGTTCTCTTCCTCTATCGCCAATAAAGCGGCACGTAGCTGTGGTCGCAAGATCTCTGGTGCTGGTCCCGGCGGCAATCCCCGAACCCGGTGGTGGACACCGGCAGTAAGGGATGCCGTCAGGCTGAAGGAGTCAAAAACCAGGGACTGGGAGGAGTTCGGAGAGTCCATGGAGCATGACTATCGGTCGGCCTCAAAAAGGTTCTGGCAAACCCTCCGGCGCCTCAGGAGGGGGAAGCAGTTCTTTGCCAACACCGTGTATGGTGCGGGTGGAGAGCTGCTGACCTCGACTGGGGATATTGTAACCCTAACCCTAACCCGGAGATGGTAGCCTTGAAAAACCCCATGCGTTGCAGAGCACAAGACTGCATTGGAAAATCCTGTGTCCGATGCATGACATGCAATGTGTACCTGTGCTTGCAAAGTGAACGCAACTGCTTTGCAGCATTTCACACTTGCCAATAGGGCGCTTCCAAACAGGCAGACAAATTGCTTTCTAGAAAAAAAGAGGGGGCTAGTTTGAAAAAAGCCCCGGTTCAAAAGCTGTTCAGCAGAATTTTACTGTTTTAGGACTGTTAATAATATTTGCCATTATTTGTTCTAGTATTGTATTTATCAATTCAATTCAGCCATATTGAAGGCTTGAAATAGACAGTTTACACAGTATTTTGCAGTTTTATTTATGTATAGCCAATTTTTTGTCATGTGGATGAATGAAGAAAAAGGGTACCCAAATTGCAGGACTGAAAATTAAAGTAATTTAATAAAATAAATCCAAGGTAATGTAAAAACAGAACTGAAGACAGGACAAACGTGGTGGAGACAATGGACGGACAACAAGTGAGGAAGGGCACAGGGTATATATACACACACAGGTGAATCACATTAGGGCGGGGCAACAATCAACAGGACAGGCAGGATTCAAACTCAACCAGGTCAAAATGTCCACACCATGACATTTTTAGGGTTTGAAGATAGAGCTGTTTGGATTTTATTTCTAACTTTGATGTTTACATTTTTTAAATAAACTGTTATATACTATTTTAGACCAATGGAGTCTATTTGTATTGTAAAGTAAGGTCGACCCACTGTCCTCATGTGAGGACATTGATTTTTGAGAGAAGTACTAATTGGATCAAGCTGAAATTCTGAATTTCAACTAATTAGGACCTTCCGGCCTCAAAGAGCATACATTTTTTCTTTAGGTTATGAGAGACCCACTGTCCTCATGTGAGGACATGTTTTTTCTCAAAAACTACTTCCTGTACAAAATCACAATTTAGGTATTATACTTATTGGGTCCTACTTATCCTAAATAGCAAAAAAATATATAAAATGCACACCAGACAAATGCTCGGGTCTCAGGAGGAAGAATATTCTACTTGTACTACAGATGCTAATTTTGCTCATTCTATGATGATTTATCCATACATTTTCTACATAACAAACACCCACACATGATCTTTTCCTTGTTTCTGTGCATTCATTCATTTTCTACCTCTTTATTAGTTCATTTCAATCTGGAGAGACTTCAGAAGACAAAATGCATTTTCAATGTTTTTATTGAAAGGTGGTTTGGCGCCCTAGGCCCCGGTGCGGCGTTTAGTCAGCGAGGCTCCTGCGTGAGTGCGCGCACAATCCCCCCGGGACCTAGGCACTGGTGGTGGCATTCGGGCAGCAGAAAAGAGGAATGCTTGAGGCAGGGTGAGAAAAGGAGGTGGAGGGGAGGCGGTGGTTTGCAAGGCTTCGAGAAGGCCGTAAAGTGGGAGTTTCTCCGCTTTTAAGCTGCTGGCTTGACCAGCTTAACCTTTTAAGGATCACCCTCCCTGTACAGGGAGGATTCAGATATTTTTCATTTAACAGCATCAGTATTAGAATTCACTTGTGTCAATATAGTCAAGCTATACCTCTTTTGAAAGCTTATTCCCACCTCTAAACGCGTATCATGTTAAAATAAACATTAAATATAACTAAAAGTAAGAAAAAGTAGTCAAACTGTATATGTATATAAAATATATATCGTCCTTTCTTACCTTTTCATGCTAATATTCTGGGGCAAATCACGTCTAATCCACACATGTGTGCATTCGTTTTGTTCGTGAGGGTTCATAGAATAATTATATCCAGTTGTTTTTTCTACAAAGTCATCCTTATAGTAGATATCCAGTTGTAACGACACATTTGAGTATTGAAAGTTGCACAAACGAAAATAAAACCTGTTCTTTGCGCACTGTATGAAGTAGGCATGTTACTATTTACCTAGCGTCACTGGGTATGTTCGTCTTCCTCTCAGTCTTCCCTTCAAAACAAGCCCATTCCCGAACTTTTCAGTGCTATGGTTTGGGAGGTAGATCAAGTTGACTAAAACAAGCGCACCTAAAGCCTAGAGTATACTTGCGCGGCGTGGCTTACGTTAGCGGTTGCGGTGGACCTACGTAAGCCATGGATGTATTATATTAACTGGATAGGGTATTACTAGCTTGTAGCTGAATAACTCACGTGCTCAGGGGATTCTCGCGGTACTGCAGACTGAACCAGGCTAAATTCACGTGGGCCACCCAGAAATTTTCCCCATAGAACTCAATGCATATTAAAACAGCTCAACCTCAGCTGACAGAGAACCTACAGCTTTAATAAAGATCGGATTTTGTGGGGATTTTAGTGTCCCTTGTCATCCTGAACTTTTTTTCTTCTTAAATCCTTCGGTTTTGTTTAAATCCACACTTTAGTGCCACAAACTCTGCTCCTCTGGCTCTCTCTCTAACTCCCGCTCTGATGAACTGCTCTGATTGGTCAGAGCGCGGCCGAGCCCCTCTGTGCACGTGCGTGAGACCCGGTGTGAGACCCACACACGCGTGTTTGGCGCAACGCATTATGGGAGATCATCCACTGCGCAGAACCGGGAGGACCAGACGATGCCCAAATACAGGCGAGTTTCCCATAGATCTTTGCGAGTTTCAGGCAACTTCCGCTAATCTTTCAGCCCCCATGCTGTCACAAAGCGCCACTGAGCACAACCATTCATTTGAATAGGGCGCCATCTTGGATCGCCGGGGCTTGACGTAAGCACAATTGATGTTATACTGGCGCGTTCCCCTTACGGAGTTTTGAGGAGAATGTTGTAATCCCACAACAAACCACATGAGGGCGATCACACAGGAGCGGTTCCATTTACGCTGCTACTTTGTCCTCTTCAGAACAACATTAGCAAACAAAGCTGTTTGAGTTCATTACATGTGTTTCTACTGCAGGTTTGTGTGATAGTTTTATGGATTCATTATTTTATAAGTCATTTCAACTGTGATTCTGTGAATAAAGACACAGTTCTTGTTGGAAACATAGTTATTATTAAATAGTTTTCAGCACAAACAGCAAAACAATAATAGTGGTAAATATCTGACATAAACGATTTACGAGTGCAGGAGGAAAGCAACAAACGCAGCTACGATTCAAACAAAGACAGGAACAGTGCAAAACAAACGACTGCACAGTTTATAAGTTATATATATGTTAGATAGTCCACAGTCTCCTGTTTATCAGGCTCTGAAGATTCAAGATGGCGCCTCGTACGGTCGACATGGCTCTTTGCTGCTCTCTTTTTCTTTTGTTTTTACTTTTTAACTGTGCATCTGGCTGTTCCTACACCCGTGAGGAACTTATGAACATCCGACCCACCGTTCCCATGGACCTATTGCCTGTTTTCTTGGCATCTGCGGCTGATTTAGTTCATGTTCTAGCCAAAAAAGTGTGGGCCCGTAAAAGGGGAAAGCGAGGAGGCCTGCTCGTGCGTCTTAGGAGGAGAGGAGCGCGCACGGCTCTCCCCGGCATTTTTCTCTCCAACGTACGCTCACTGGGCAATAAGATGGACGAACTCAGCCTGCTCATGAGAAGAAACAAGGACTTCGCCACATCCTGTGTCCTCTGCTTCACTGAGACCTGGCTAAATGAGCGGATCCCGGACTGCGCTCTGGAGCTGCAGGGCTTTGGGCTGTTTCGCGCGGATCGCCATTGTGCGCTCTCAGGGAAGAGCAGAGGCGGAGGGCTCTGTTTCTACGTCAATACAAACTGGTGTAACGATGTGACAGTGATCTCCAAGCACTGCTCTCCTGCTCTGGAATATCTTTTCATTCATTGTAAACCATATTACTCCCCGCGGGAAATTGTTTCATTCATTCTTGCCTCTGTTTACATACCGCCATGCGCGGACGCGCGCGAGGCTCAGCGCGCACTCGCAGAGCAAGTACTGTGTATGGAACGCTTATACCCGGACTCTCTGATTATTATCCTGGGGGATTTTAATAAGGGAAACTTGAGCCAGGAATTACCCAAATACAGACAGTTTATCAAATGCCCGACCAGAGAGGAGAACACTCTGGATCACTGTTACACCACCGTGCGCGGAGCTTTTCGCGCTGTTCCCAAGCCAGCCCTCGGCTTCTCAGATCACTCCATGATACATCTGGTTCCTGCTTACAGACAGAGACTAAAGCTCTCGAAACCTGCAGTGAGGAGCTCCAAAGTGTGGTCTGATGAAGCTGTGGAAGAGCTACGCGCATGCATGGAATCTACAGACTGGGACCTTTTCAGAGCTGCCACAGACAGCTTGGATGAATATACGGACACTGTGACGTCATACATCCACTTCTGTGAGGATAGCATCATTCCAACAAGGACCAGGGTCATCTATAACAACGACAAACCCTGGTTCACTGCTAAACTCCGGCAGCTCAGGAAAGCAAAGGAGTCTGCTTTCAGGGAGGGGGACCGCAGCGGCTACAAAGCAGCTAAATATCAGTTCAGGAAAGAACTGAAAGCAGCCAAGTCCCGGCACAGAGAACGACTACAGGAGCAGTTTGGTAACAACGATACTGCTTCTGTCTGGAGGGGCCTACGGGAGATCACCAACTACAAACCCAAAGCCCCCCCCTGTGCTGATGACCACAAGCTAGCTGACGATCTGAACTTATTTTTCAGTCGCTTTGATGCTGCCCCTGACACCTCTCCCTCCCCCACCCCCCACTACTCTAACGACCCACCCATCAGCCCTGCCCCCAGCCTAACAATAGCCGCTAAAGAGATTAAACAACTCTTCCTGAGGCTGCACCCCCGCAAAGCTCCTGGCCCGGACCACGTGTCTCCGGCCACTCTGAGACACTGCGCCAGTGAGCTTACTCCTGTGTTCACGGACATTTTCAACTCCTCTCTGCAGTCCTGCCATGTCCCGGCCTGCTTCAAATCCTCCATCATTGTCCCCGTCCCGAAGAAGCCCAGGATCACAGGACTCAATGACTACAGACCTGTAGCACTTACGTCTGTCGTCATGAAGTCATTTGAACGCCTGGTTCTCTCCCATCTCAAGTCCCTCACCTCCCCCCTCCTGGACCCCCTGCAGTTCGCCTACAGAGCCAACAGATCTGTAGACGACGCCATTAACCTGGCCCTCCACCACATCCTACAGCACCTGGACTCCCCGGGGACCTACGCCAGGGTCCTGTTCGTGGACTTCAGCTCTGCCTTCAACACAATCCTGCCATCCCTGCTCCAGGACAAGCTCTCCCAGCTCAACGTGCCCGATTCCACCTGCAGGTGGATCACTGACTTCCTGACGGACAGGAAGCAGCGAGTGCGTCTGGGGAAGAATGTCTCGGACTCTCGGATTATAAATACAGGAGCCCCACAGGGCTGTGTTCTTTCTCCCCTGCTCTTCTCCCTGTACACCAACCACTGCACCTCCAGCCACGACTCCGTGAAGCTGATCAAGTTCGCGGACGACACCACCCTCATTGGACTCATCTCCAACAACGATGAGTCCGCCTACAGGAGGGAGGTGGACCGGCTGGTGTCCTGGTGCAGTGGTAACAACCTGGAGCTGAACGCCCAGAAGACAGTGGGAGATGATTGTGGACTTCAGGAAGAGCACTGTCCCCCCGCCCCCACCCTCCGTGATGGACTCCCCCATCACCTCTGTGGAGTCCTTCCGTTTCCTGGGCACCACCATCACCCAGGACCTCAAGTGGGAGCCGACCATCAGCTCCCTCATCAAGAAGGCCCAGCAGAGGATGTACTTCCTGCGGCAGCTCAGGAAAGCCAAGCTGCCTGCACAGATGTTGGTGCAGTTCTACACGGCCATCATCGAGTCCATCCTCACCTCCTCCATCACCGTGTGGTTCGCTGGAGCCACAGTCAGGGACAAACAGAGACTACAGCGCATTGTGCGCTCTGCAGAGGAAGTGATCGGCCGCAGCCTTCCATCGCTGCAGGACCTGTACGTCGCCCGAGCTCGAGGCCGGGCTGGTCGTATCACAGCCGACCCCTCTCACCCTGCACATGGACTATTCCAACCACTCCCCTCAGGCAGGAGGCTGCGGTCCATCAGGACTAGAACCTCCCGCCACAAGAACAGTTTCTTCCCCTCTGCTGTTGGACTCTTGAACACTTCTTAACCTGTCCCCCCGCCCTTTATAAAGTCACTTTACTGCCCATCATACGTCACTTTACTTCACTGTACTGCTGTCACCTTACATTGTGTGCACCATGTGCACTTGTATATTGTAAATAGTAACTGTAACTCTATTTTAAATTTAAATTTATTCTTTAGAAGTGTTTTTTATTCTTATTTTTATTATCTCTTTTTGACTGTTGCACTGAGCCAAAGCAATTTCCAAGTCTGTGACCTCCCGTTACTTACGTTGGCAATAAAAATGATTCTGATTCTAAAAATGATTCTGATTCTGAGCCCAAACTGCTTTTCCTTCGAAGCACAAAGCTCTCTGCTCCATAGTGCCTCGTCCATGTCCCTGCTGCAGCCGCTCCATGCTTCCTTCCAATACACACACACGGACCAATCACAGCGGAGATTCCTTGCGGCGACCCTTACGTAGTTAGAAAATTTCGATGCTGCAGGGCAGGCAACGTAAGGGCCTTGCGGTGACCAACGCGTTGCGCAAGTGACGTCACGTCACCTCCGTAAGCTCCGCGCCGCGCGAGTATAAACTAGGCTTAACTTTACCGCTCCAGTCATATAGATATCTGTGCGTCACGACAGCATTGTCTTGACTACCATTGGCCGATTTGGATGTCAATCAAACCATCTTGTAGCCAATAATCTCAGGTTTCAGGCGATGTGTCGGACTTCAAGGTTCCTCCCACTGTTCGAGTCTTATTATTATTATTATTATTTGAATGCGTAAGAGAGGAAGGCGGAGCATTTTCACGGAGAACACGCGCTACTATACATAGTTCCCACATGACGTCACTACATACGGGGATTTGCCGACCCGGCGCCATTTGTCTTGGCATTCTGTGGGCAAAACAATAGAAAAAGAAGCTGAAACGTGTTAATGTTGTGATAAAGTTGAAAATGGTCATCTCCTGCTGGGTCAATGGATGTTCAAATCGTGCCGGAGGTTCCGTTAAACTTGGATTTTACAGTATACCCATCATTAGACTTCATGAATGTGAGAAGACTAAGCTTTTGTCAGAACAACCACGGAGGTTATGGCTTGCGAAGATAAACAGGCAAGAAACTCCCTCAAAACACGCAAGAATATGCTCGGAGCACTTTGTGTCAGGTGCGTATCGTATCTTATAATGTGTTGACAGACGTAATTTACTCAGTACTAACTTGTGTATGCTGATATCTGGTAACTTGAGAGTTTCATTATTTAGATTACTTTATTATGAGGAGGATCGGTGTCGCGTCCGAGGCTCTCGAGGGCAACGTAAATGTATTAAATAGATAATAATAGTTCTATGGTGGGCTAAAACAATGTTCACAAACAGCATTGCTTCTGTAAAAAGATCTGTGTCATAAAATAAACTGCTCTTTACGCCTGGAAAAATCAGTTGCCCACCATTCACCAAAACATACGGTCAAAAACGCGGAAATAAACAATAACAGCAATCCAGAGTGTCCGTGTGGCATTAGCATTAATTAAATTAATTGTTAATATAATTAAAATAATTAAATGGAGCTCCAACTGGTATTAAATCTAAAGTTTTTGAGAAATGTTTGCATTGCTTGTTAATTTTTGCTGCATAATTTGATCAAATATGTAAAACATGTCCGTAGCACGTTAAACTGTGGTGCCATTGTATTAATATACAATTATTTGCTCAAAAGTTGCCCTTTTTTTCCAATTTGCGTTTGAATATCTACATTTATTCTCATTCTTCTGTTTAATGGAATGCACAAACACAGCAGCGTGCCATCAAAGATGGCGTCTCCGAGGAGGTCATGTGACATTCATTGGTCTGTGGGAACTATGTATATAAATAATAGCTTTTCTGCAAACATTTCAATATCTGGAAAAAATCCTATTTATAGCAAGAGTAATAGCCAAAAAATGATATAATTTGATTTTTGGTGTAAAAACATTGATAATTTGCATGTAAAACCCTTTGGCACAATTGGCACAAAAATGGACCACTTGTGCCGAATGTGCCCATTAGTCACAAAAAAGCCCCCGGCATCAAAAGGGTTCCACCTAAAGGTCTAAAATTTCCTACACTTGTTGCCAAAACCACAGACATCTGCTCTGGTGAGTTTGAACAACATACCATAAAGTATGTCTTCAGGAGATTATTTTGAAATTTTTTCGAGACAAAAAAAACTAACTTTGACTCATGTTTGAGAAGGTGTAGTGCAGACTGGGAAACTCTAACATACATTTCCAGAAACTAGAAGGTGTTACCTTTCAAATGAGGCATCATAACACAAAATCAGACACAAGATGTCCACACAATAAGCATTTCCATTTGAGTATCATAATTCAAGAAGGAGCAGTCGAAATTAGGTGATCCCTAAAGGGATAAGTTGGTTGGAAATGGGCGTTTGCTGTGCGATAGGCTGAGGATGCAAGGCCGGCCTTGAAGGGGTGGCTTTAGCCGTCAGTCTTCCAGAGCTGAATTTCCGCGAGGCTGCATTTCTGGGTCGAGGGGGTGACAATCAGAGCTGCCACCCAATGCTCATAGCACTAGTCCCTTGCTGATCCTCCGGCAGGTGGTGAGTCCACAGGCAGACGGCTGCTACGTCAGTGGTGCCACAGCCCTGGTGTTTCAGCGGGAGCTTCAGGCAACGCGGGGTTAAGTGTCTTGCCCAAGGATAAAACTAAAGTAGACATTAGTGGGAGCAGTTGGAGTAGGTCCCGAGGTGCGCTCGAACCTACAACTTTCAGGCCCAAAGGCCAATGCTCTACCAACTGAGCTACTGTGTCCCCAAGATATCCTCTTAAAAAATGTGTGTCTATCTTTTTGACAGACTTTTGTAAGAATACTTTTTAAAAATGCACCAAAAACAGTTGTTCCAATTGCAAACACTGCTTGTTGACTCTATGCCAATGAGATCTTAGTATTCAGGATACTCTGAATTGAATAAATAGAGGACAACATTCTTTCAATCTGGAGAGACTCAGAAGACAAAATGCAGTTTGAAAGTTTTTAATGATAGGTAGTTTGGCGTCCTAGGCCCTCGTGCGGCAATTAGGGCCAGCGAGGCTCCTGCTGAGTGCGCGCACGATCCCCCCGAGGCCTAGGAACTGGTCGTGGCATTAGGGCAGCAGGAAAGAGCGCACGCTCGAGCAAGGAGAGAGAGGCAGAGGAGGGGAGGCGGTGGTTTGCGAGGCTTGAGAAGGCCGTAAAGTGGGAGTCTTCGCTTTTAAGCTGCTTGCCTGGCCTGCATAGGTTGGCTGGGAATGGGCGTTTGCTGTGCGATAGGCCGAGGATGCGAGGCAGGCTTGGAGGGGATAGCTTTGGCAATCAGTCTACCAGAACCTTTGCGAGCTCCATTTTAGAGCAGATATTTGCTTCTGTGTTTATATAAAGAATAAAACTTTGCTTCTTTTGGCAGTGAGTGTGCATGGGTACTGCTCTAATTTATCTTGTGATTTGGAATTACATGCTTACAACATCAGTGTAAGTGTAATTTTCAGAGGTAACGCTTTTTTTATTACATTTTTTTTGCTGTATTTGTTTGAATAGTCTATTTCAGCAGTTTTAAATAATTATTTGCACAAATAAATAGCAGGCGGCAGCAGAGGGAAGCTTATGGGCTTCAGCTAAGGGCCTGTTTGTGTGGGGCCACACTGTGAGGCTGAGGTCATAGGCCCTGACCCTACACCCAGAGGACAGATGGCTCAGTCTGCTCTGTCCATGGTTTTACATATTTTGCTTTTATATCATTGCACATACTTTAATTTGCAGGAGTATTCTTTATGCAGTTGTTGTTTATTCAAGGACTCTTTTAATTGTCTGTATTTTTAATCTGCTTTTCAACAATAATGTACATCTTCCAAGATTTCATTTGAGGATTACATTCAGCCAGACTTCTAGCTTTACCTATATATACTATAACAGGCACACTTTGAATACAGCCAAAAGAAGGACATAAAAAATAATTTATCAAAAATAAATTATGTAGACGTCGAACGGTGAAATAAAAGCCAAAGTGAAAAGTTGATAATCAAAACTTGAAATCAAAGTGTAACTCAGCTTTATTTTTAAGGGTCAAAGATAGCACCTTCACTCCCCCGTGTGGGACCTAGAGCATGTAGGAGATATTGGGAGCCATGGATAAAATGTAAGGTAGTAAATGCTTCCTAAAGTAAATTTACTTGAGGAAGCAAGGAAAGTTTCCATATCAACAATGGACAATTTTTTACAATAGATAAAGACATTTTAGAAATAATAATAAAGAAACTAAATAAAGTAAAATGAAGTAAGGAAACAGAAAGTTTACTGAAATGGGACCAGCAAGCCAATAGCCATGTTGTAAATATTTTTTTTTTGTTTTTCCACCAATGCCACTACGTTTAGACTCTACAATACATATAGAAGGTAAAACAGTTAAATACATAATACATTTGTGAGAGAAATAGCCTAGGTATGGACCTACTGTCTCACCACACTGTTGGCGAGACAGTAAGTGAAGGGGATTATACCTTATGTGGCAAGCATCTGTCACATAAGGTCCTCAACCCCCAAGTAGTCCGAGACTAGAAAAGCAATTCAATAGAAAAACCTGGAAAGAAAAGACGACCAGGCACGATAGGAGCACAGACAGCTCACAGGACCTCATCTCCCAGAAACTAGCCACCCCTGGTAGCCACATACTTCTACATGCCAGACCATGTAAGTCCAGCGTCACCATGACACAAAGTGCTCGTCGGAATTATGGAAAAGGTCCCATGCACAAAGTTCAAGCAAATCTGTTCATTGTCTGGTCTTTGAGAGGAACAGAGTAGTATCCCAAAGAGTATCCCAGTCAAAGTCCACAGGTAGACTTGGAATATCTGTCCTCCATCTTCTTTCTTACAGTCTGTCTTCCCCAAAAGATGAGACTACATTTTAAAAAACGTACTTTTTAATTCACATTTACCATCTACAAATTTTAACTCTGGATGTGGCTGATTGAACTTAACAATAAAGCATTTTTGTAGCATATGTACAGTATGAGGAGGAAAACTTGGATCACTGAAAGCCAGTGAATACTGTCCATGCACGGCTTAAAGTCATGCGGTGATATTTTCTTTTTTGTGTAGAGTTCCTGGGGCTTGTCAGGGGCCCCTCAGACGCACTAAGCTCCTCACAAAGCAGTCTTTCTTACACCATCACATGCAGAGTCATTTGAGCTCCATCCATGTTTACTGCCAACAGCACTGCACACTTTAGGCCTGTCCCAAACTCATTTATTCCATTCATTGTCTGGTGAAATGACTTTATAATATCTGATTCTGACCATTTAGAGGTTGAAATATGGTGTCTGGACATTTTCAAATAAACAATGTTGATTGATTTTTATTTTTAACATTTGGACAAAATACTGTACCTGTATTGGATCCTGTTTGGCAAGCTCTAAAGTGTTCTTTCTTGTTTCGCAGCTCACCAGAATCTGATCCAAAGAAGTCCATATTTACTTTGGTGTCTTCTCTTGATTTTGTACACTGACTCACATACACACGCTCCTGGGAGTGTTGATCAGGCTAACTTGTCTTAATGTAATGGACTGTAGAGTGTAGATCCATACATTTACAGGGTAAAAGAATCAAACCTGTGCATTGTAATGACCCATCATATTCCGTACATTGTAATGACCCATCATATCCCATCCATCCATCTATCTTTATCTTCTTAATCCATTTCTGGGTCGGGGGGTAGTAGTCAGAGCTGCACCAAATTCACAAAGCACCAGCCCCTCACTGATCCTCCAGCAGGTGGTGAGTCCACCAGAGGATGACTGCTCTGTCTGTGACGGCACAGCCTTAACCCATCAACGCATCATTTTACAATTATTGGGAAATTCAGGAAATTTGTATGTTGCAAAAAAGTTCACTTATTTCCATATCACAACTTATAATGTGAAACCAATATGATAGTAACTTGTGGCATGCAAATTACGTAAAATCTTTGTTTGTTTGAATTTTGATTAGTTTGTGGATTGCATTTTTTTCAGAAGGTCAAGGGACTGGTGATGATCTGGGACATTTAAGGACATGGGTAGACATCTATTCATATTTAGGGACATTGGTCCCCTGCCGCTTATGGACCAATGGCTCTATGAGTTTTCTATTGTTACAAATCCTGTGTTTGAACTCTTTGATACTGTTTGATAGTCTTCACCATCATGGGGAAGACTGCTGCTCCAACAGTTGTGCAGAAAGCCATTATTGATACCCTCCATATGGAGAGAAATACTCAAAAGGTAATGACTTTGAGAAACTCACTTTAAGGCACATGTATAAAATGTTAAGAGAAAGGACAAAGTCTAGGGAAAAAAGGTACACAAGCTGCAGGGATGACAAGCTGGAGAGGATTGTCAAGAAAAGACCATTCAAAAGAGTTAGGGACCTTCAGAAGGAGTGGACTGATGCTGGAGTCAGTTCCTCAAAAACACTTCACAACGACGGATCATGGACATGGGCTATTAATGTGAGCTAAAGGCTGTTGTGGAACCTGGTCTGTTACTCAGTGGTTCAAAGTTCTCTTTTTTAATGAGAGCAAATGTTACATCTCATTTGGAAACCAAGTTTCCAGAGTCTGGAGGAAGAATGGAGCAGCACACAATCGAAGATGTTTGGGGTCCAGGGTGAAGTTTCCACAATCTATGATAATTTGGCGAGCCATGTCTTCCACTGGTGCTGGTCCACTATCAGAAAGTTGTAGAATACTTAATAATTCCTTCAGAAGACAAGCTTTAGGGAGATGGAGACATCATTTCCCAGCTGGGCTTTGTGGACACCTGTCCACACAACAAAAAGTACCAAAACCATCAGATTATTGTGCTTGATTGGTTGGCAAACTTATCTGACCTAAACTCTAGAGAATGTACTGTATGTGCCATTGCCAAAAGAAAGATGAGAGACATGAGCGTGAACGATGCAGAAGAGCTTAAGGCTGCAATTAAAGCATCCTGCATGGTCTTCAACACACCTCAGCATTAAGGCAGGGGTTCATGCAAGAGGGCCCAAAAAAGTTTTATTTACATGTGCAGGATCACAGTTTTAGAGGCCAACATATCCCTGTTTACTTTTTGTAAAATGCTAAACTTCTGAGATTTGGAAATAATAATAACCTTCATTTTAAATCTGCGTCTGTACTATGTGTATTTTAACAGTAGGCTGTAAAAAGGTTCTATAATACAACCTAAAATGTTAGACTAATACGTCATGGATAAGTTCAACATTTTAGGTTGTATTATAGAAATATATACACATGTTCAGAGTGCAGTATATTAGACCCATAAACGTACAGTGTAATATTAGACCCATATACAGTGCCTTGCAAAAGTATTCGGCCCCCTTGAACCTTTCAACATTTCACCACATTTCGGGCTTCAAACATAAATATATAAAAATTAAATTTTTTCAACAAGTGGGACACAATTGTGAAGTGGAACGAAATTTATTGGATAATTTAAACTTTTTTAACAAATAAAAAACTGAAAAGTGGGGCGTGCAATATTATTCGGCCCCCTTGCGCTAATACTTTGTAGCGCCGCCTTTTGCTGCAATTACAGCTGCAAGTCGCTTGGCGTATGTCTCTATCAGTTTTGCACATCGAGAGACTGGAATTCTTGCCCATTCTTCCTTGCAAAACAGCTGGAGCTCAGTGAGGTTGGATGGAGAGCGTTTGTGAACAGCAGTCTTCAGCTCATTCCACAGATTCTCGATTGGATTCAGGTCTGGACTTTGACTTGGCCATTCTAACACCTGGATACGTCTATTTGTGAACCATTCCATTGTAGATTTGGCTTTATGTTTTGGATCATTGTCCTGTTGGAAGATAAATCTCTGTCCCAGTCTCAGGTCTTTTGCAGACTCCAACAGGTTTCCTTCAAGAATGGTCCTGTATTTGGCTCCATCCATCTTCTCCATCAATTTTAGCCATCTTCCCTGTCCCTGCTGAAGAAAAGCAGGCCCAAAGCATGATGCTGCCACCACCATGTTTGACAGTGGGGATGGTGTGTTCAGGGTGATGAGCTGTGTTGCTTTTACGCCAAACATATCGTTTTGCATTGTGGCCAAAAAGTTCGATTTTGGTTTCATCTGACCAGAGCACCTTCTTCCACATGTTTGGTGTGTCTCCCAGGTGGCTTGTGGCAAACTTTAAACAAGACTTTTTATGGATATCTTTGAGAACTGGCTTTCTTCTTGCCACTCTTCCATAAAGGCCAGATTTGTGCAGTGCACGACTGGTTGTTGTCCTATGGACAGACTCTGACACCTCAGCTGTAGTTATCTGCAGTTCATCCAGAGTGATCATGGGCCTCTTGGCTGCAGCTCTGATCAGTCTTCTCCTTGTTTGAGATGAAAGTTTGGAGGGACGGCCGGGTCTTGGTAGATTTGCAGTGGTCTGATACTCCTTCCATTTCAATATAATTACTTGCACAGTGCTCCTTGAGATGTTTAAAGCTTGGGAAATCTTTTTGTATCCAAATCCGGCTTTAAACTTCTTCCTTTGTCTTCCTTCTGTGTTCCTTTGTCTTCATGGTTCTCTCTGGGCTTTAAACAGACCCCTGAGACTATCAAAGAGCAGGTGCATTTATACGGAGACTTGATTACACACAGGTGCATTCTATTTATCATCATCAGTCATTTAGGACAACATTGGATCATTCAAAGATCCTCACTGAACTTCTGGAGTGAGTTTGCTGCACTGAAAGTAAAGGGGCCGAATAATATTGCACGCCCCACTTTTCAGTTTTTTATTTGTTAAAAAAGTTTAAATTATTCAATAAATGTTGTTCCGCTTCACGATTTTGTCCCACTTGTTGTTGATTCATAACAAAAAATTCAAATTTTATATCTTTATGTTTGAAGCCTGAAATGTGGCGAAATACTTTCGCAAGGCACTGTATGTGCAGTGTATTAATAGACCCATGTAGAGTAGACCCATACATGTTGTATGCTAGATGCATACAGGTTGTATGTTAGATCCATACATGTAGTATGTTAGATGCATACATGTTGTACGTTAGATCCACACATGTAGTATGTGTTGTATGTTAGATCCACACATGTAGAGTATCTTAGACCCAAACATGTTGTATGTTAGACCCATACATGTTGTATGTTAGATTCATACATGTTGTATGTTAGATTCATACATGTTGTATGTTAGATTCATACATGTAGAGTTTCTAAGACCGATACATCTTGTATGCTTGACCCATGTAGTACCATGCATACAGTGTCCCTTTAACAGCGCAGGCGCTGCTGCAGCACGCACCCAGTGGAGAGAAAGAGCGGAGTGGATTGCGGCTGCGCGCCTCCGCGACCTGCAGCTGTAGGATTACGGAGAGCAGCACTGAAGCTCCCCTGGATCTACCACTCCATACGAGCTTCCCTTCAGCGGAGAGAGTGCACCTGCTGCTGCCGCTGCGCACAGGGCGTCTGCGCAGTCTCCAGGACAGAGCTCCATCATCTTCAGCATCATCAGAGCGGCTGCAGCATCACCTCAGCCCGCACTGCAATGGCGTGTTAGCGGCACAAGGCTGGACCAGACTACGGGGACCGGAGCGCAGACGCTGACTTGTTCAATGCTCGTGTTTTGGATGACGCTGCTAGAATGACGCGGAGACGTCTGGGTCTATTGCTGTTGTGACGGGCATCACGCGCGGTGCTCTGTTGATGAGGGATTCTTTGTCATACTCGTACACAATGCAGGTGAGAGAGAGTTGATGTGATGAAGCGTGTCTCCGCGTCATATCGGGTACGCTCATGCTCCTGATGCTCTAACTTTGTCCGCGACAGGCTGTGCAGAGGTGGACTGATCACAGCCTCCACACTGCAGGCCCAGAGCAGGGGGCACAGGGCACAGTGAGCTGTGCTCTGGAAGTGCTTCCAGTCACTTGTGTTCAGTTGTTTGGTGAATCATGTGAAATGTTGATTCATAGCAAAAAGCCTCTGGCCTACAGAGCAGTAGACTACGGAATTGAATCCAAATTGAGCCATCGTGTCTTTAGTAATCTGCTCAATAAATCGGTTGTTGACCAATGTTCAATTATTAGTCTCAATAATTTGTTTATTAAGAAGTAGCAGAAGAGGGGACAGAAGGCAGGAGACAAGGCATTGGTGAGTTAAACAGAGTTTGTTGGTGTAACTTTTTGATGAATTGTGCCAAGAACCTAAAAAGGTAATATGCATCTTGAATATATCTTCAATATAATATATATATATATATATTATTATAGGAGGCTATCCTTCAAACCAGAGCTACATGCTTTAACTGAGTGTAATACAGTTTATATCGTGACAGTATCAGATTCTGTGTTTTGGCCTGTTATGTCTGGCTACAAGCTTACAGATCAGTAAAAACAACAGAAAGTGTTATGTTTTAAGTACAATACGATGGCACAATGGTTAAATAATAAAGTGTTATTCTGGAATCTGGAACACATTCTACTGGTTTGATAACATTCGGATTGATCCGGATAAATTCAATAACGTTTACATGAAAAGAATATGACACATCAAAGTCTTTTATCTTTTTACCACATATCTCTAATATTGTTCGGTGTGTGTGTGTGTGTGTGTGTTGTGGCGTGCATGCATGACTGTGTGTGTGTGTGTATGTGTGTGTTGCACAAATATCATGTTGGAAAATGTCCTTGTGACAGAGCTGTTGTTTACTTGGACATGTTTCCCAGAGCCTCATCACACAAGTCCAGCACCATTCTGTTTGTGCACTGACATACTTCTGTCTCTGGGTCAGACGTGCGCGTGTATGCACATGCACATGTCCGCACACATAGTCATTCATGTCACTGTCCTGGTTTTTTGAAGCAGAGAAGAGTTCATATCTCCATCAAACGGAAGTTCATACTCTGTTTCAGGATTATAATGGACAGAATTATTGATTGTGATGAAGGAGTTTCTCACAATAGTTATTTTTCCTGACTGTTAATACATGTTTCCGAAATGATTTGTTTAATCTATAATTAGAAAACTTGTAGTAAATGTCTGCTGAGGTGACATCAAGGCTGAAAGGGTTTGAAAGCATTAAAAAAGTGAATGTTTGATGCCTTTTTGATAGTTTGTCCCTCCAAAAATATAGATTACAGATTACAATTTTTGCAAACCACACACTGCTCACCCCATTTGGATCGATATTCCTCAAATCAAAGCTGACAAGTTTCACTTGTAATTGTGCGTTTATCGACACCATATGGAATTTTAACACGGCGCTATGGCGTCATTCTCTTTGCACCATGTTTGTAATATTTAATTACAAGCCTCTGTGCAGCACGTGGTTATTTCTGTTTACCTTTCATTGCTGAGAGACCAGAGAGAATCCGGTCATTTTTCAAAATAAAAGGTATTTTAGACTTGGGTAATAAAAACACAAATTATTTATTCTTCCCTTGGCTGCCTTGTTTGAATGTCCCATGCCCTGGTACCGGTCCACGGACTAGAGGTTTGGGACCACTGCCCTATACTGTGTAATATCTGGTCCTCCGCATGTGTGCAGGTGGGCGCTAACCCATGATCCTCTCAAGATGATGAAGACGGAGCCCTCAGGGGAGCGGACCCTCCGCAGTGCCTCCCCTCATCGTAACGCCTACCGTGCAGAGTTCCAGGCCCTGAAGAAGGCCTTCGATCAACCGCACAAAGATGGTGACGCCAAACCCAAGGAGCCCAGGCAGCCTCGGGGCCGTCAGTATGGGGCCCATGTCAGCCGCATCAAGGACATGTTCATGCAGATGGGCACAGAGAACCCAGCTGCCAAGACCAGGGGCGGAGAAGAGGTTTCACCGCAAAAAATTGCAAAACCTACAAACTTTGTAAACAAGACGGACGGTTCAGTCGTAAAACTGCAGCACTCGTCTTCATCCGAGCGCATCGGAGCACCCGGACACAAGTTCTCTGAAACCAGGAAGCTTTTCGAACAGCAGTCCAGGGACCAGTCGCAGTCGCCCGTTTTCCCCTCCAGCCGGGACAAGAGGGGGTCCCACGAACAGCTGGACGACTGGAGAGGGCCGCGCTCAAACCGGGGCAGCCAAGACTCACTGGACTCTCTCTGCTCCAGGACTGACGCAGCCTCCCCCACAGTCAGCCAGCTCAGCGCAGTCTTCGAGAACCATAGCCAGGTACTACATCTCGCCACAATCCACTTATTGTGTAACAAGGGATAGTAAATGTAAACGTGTGAAAGGTTTCTGCTATTTTGTTTGTAATACAATGACATGTTTTTTAAAGCCCCAAACTAGACCATGGGTGTGACGTCTCTCAAGAGTCGCACTGTGCTATATTTTCTGGATGTCTTGCTTTGTCGTGCCCAACGAAAAGGCAAACAAATTGTGTTGTGGGCACTCTGCCTAAAACCATTTCAAATTGGAGATAAACCTGTAGTACTGAACATCCAAACAGGAAAATGTTTTAGCGATGTAATGAAATACATGTCAAAACCATCACTATTGTAAGTGCTTGTGTGTCCAGGCCCAGAGCAGCTACCGTAGCCCAGGCAGGCGGGCACTCTACTCCCCTGATGGGCTGCAGAGGCCTGGGGAGGTGAGCGAGGACGACTGCCGGCTGTCCCCAGTGCGAGGAACGTACCGGAGCAGGACGGCCGGAGGGAAGTTACCCTCCTCCATCTCTGCAGAGGAGTTTCGGAGCCTCAGTCCCACTGTAGAGGCCAGAGAGGTCCGAGCCAATGACTACTCCAGGAGTCCCAAAGATGTCCCCAACGCCAATACTAATGGGACACAGCTCAACGGCTCATATAAGAAAGGTGATTTCTGTACAGTCCAAATTATGTAACAAGTTCCTTTGTCTCGTCATCAGTAATTACATGAATGTTTGTCATTAGCACAACCACAGAGCAGCTTTTACCAGAAACTATAGATAGTAGTAGACTATAGACATGCTAAGTGGACATATCGAGTGACGCCACCATAGTGTTTGCTGAATGCTGAAGAAACAGATTTGAACGTCAACAAAGTAAGCATCGAGATTTTAAGGTATTTGGTAGCATATTGGTTGGATGGGAAGAAGTTTTGGTCACAGCCAATTTTTATCAAAGCCTGACACATAGGACAACCGCTATATCGGTCATAGCAGTCAGTGGCATTGCAGGATGCGTCAATGGCAGATGACACACTGAGGAGTAAACCTTTTTTAAGAAACATATGGGAAGCAGAGCCAATCAGACAATTTTAGTGCAGTGCAGCTCTAAATAATGGATCTGTTGAGAATAATCAATAATCATGTTTCAGCCCAAGAAGACAAATCCAACAAGGATCTAGATGAAGCCAAAAGCCCCGAACGGAGCCTGCCCACCACAGACCCAGAGCCAGTGAGCGACAGGGGCGGGTCCGCGGAGGGGCCAGAGGAGGAGGAGGACAGCAGGGGCCCGCGGGTGGTCTATACAGCGGATGGGGACGCATGCTTCCAGGGCTGGGGGGAGAGCTGTACGGACGCGGAGGACGAGCTATATGCAGACGACGAGCACGACTTTGTATACGACCCGGGAGCAGAGGTGCATCAGCTGCCCGGTCTGCCGCCCGAGAGGCTGGAGGAGATACCAGCCAAGAGGAAGATCAGCTTCAGCACAGGGCCCATCACGGTACGCCTACATTCACATGATACACGCAGCATTTTGACACGTTCCTATCTTTCTTGTGGTGAAAATCTTGTGCAGACAACTCGCCCCCGTTTCCCTCTGCTGTTCCCGGCATTTCAACCCAGGTCAAAAACATAGGACTGGAGTATGTAAAGGTCACAATTTATATGGGATTTGGTCTAGAAACCGGCTTGTCCTGCTCTGAGGGTGGAGGTGAAGGCCCTCAAATGAGTTAATGAGTATAGATTTGAGCGCCAAAGGTCTGTCGTCATTAAGTCCAGTGATATAGTGATCTTGGGGACAGGAACAGTGATGGAGGACTTGAAGCAGGCCGGGATGTGGCTTGACTCCAGGGAGGTGTTAAAAATAACCAATGAAAATGTCTATGTGAATGCGCTCATGGTGGAACATCGGTGTGAATGCGTTTGCAGTGGGAGAGTGTGCTTTTGGGACGTTGGTGTGGATGGGCTTGCAGTGGGACAGTGTGTTAGGACGATGGTGAGAATGCGCTCGCAGTGGGACAGTGTGCGGTGTTGAGTGGGTGCGAGTTAGCGAAAGGCCTCAGCGCTGCCCCCCACAGGCTGACGTGTGAGGCTGTTAGTCACACTGCGCCCACACACCGCTGCAGCCTCCTCAAGGAACACGGACGCGCTTATTTTTGGTGCTTTGCTTTTGCATGTATCAGGGAACCTAGTGGATCTCTATGTTTCCGACATTTTAGCAATTTAGGAGAAAAAACAAATATATGATATTAATTTAAATTGAGTGTATGTTAAGTGTGTATTTTACAGACATTTAAAGAAGACATAACATGTTTACACCTTCTCTTAAAGTGACTATGACTGATCTAATAGATTACTTTAAAAATCTCAATATTGAGCTAGAATAAGATTTAACACAACAAGGAAAAAACACAGTTCACAGAGCATTGAAAACATTCCAAGACCCTGCCATTCTCCCTGGGCCTTGTCATGTTCTACTGACATTTGAGTTAGCATGTTCTGCCCTTTAGCTCTGGTCTTTGTATGTGTGTGTGTGTGTGCATGTGTGTTTAAATTGGAGCGATATGTACCTTGTATTTTTTTTTTTACATCGCCTTATGTTAAGAATCCATGAGAGGCATTACATTCTTTTGATTCATTTTGGTTGAAATGTTGGGATGTTTTTGATGTTGGACGTCATCAATCAATCAAGTTTACACAGCTAAATGAAGCGGTTTTGATCCTAGACTTAAACAATACCAAAGATGAGGCCTTCCATATCTTTAGGAATACTGTTTGCCCCAACTGTTTTTGGGGCAAAGTCAGAGCTGGCTCACGTGTCACCAACATGGCACTGATGTACTTAGGGGCGATGCCATGAAGAGACTTGTACACAAGCAGAGATGTCAAAGTCTTTTCTCTGAGACAGGAAGCCAGTGCAGAGAACTGGCATCCTGTGGCTTGAGAACAAATGTGATCATACTTTCTAAACTTTATTCTGTAGTCCACAGGAAGCCAGTGAAGGGATTTTAAAACCTGTGTGTTAAAAGTTTGTGTCTATTAAAGTTAAGGTCAGAGTGTATTCTTACACCAAGATTTCTTACTTCACTGGTTTTAAAGGTCCGATATTGCTTTTCTTCATTTTCCTGCCCATTCTTTGCACATGTGTGATAATAGTTTGGGTGATACATTATACAACACTGAAAATGTGTGAGATTATAGCCATTTCTTGCATAGAGGTGATGTCACCTCAATTGAAACAAGCTGATCCTTGCTCCTCTCTGCTTCTCTGCCTCTGAGCCCGCCTCCCCCCACCCGTGGGGAACTGTTCTGGAACAGTCTTTGGTGAAGCGTCACTTGCAGAAAAAACAGATTTGTCGCAGATTTCGGAGGTAAATCCCTCCGGGAAAGATGTCCAGCCTCATTCAGGGCAAAACGTTTTTTGAGTGTTGTACTTTTGAGAAATTATAGCCATTATTGCCCTAGAGGTGATGTCAGCTCTAAACGCTTGGATCTATGCTCCTTTCCCAGTTTCTCCAAGTTGGCATGATGCTAACACTTCTAATCGCTGTCACTAGCAGAAAACAGCAGAGAAGCGAACACAGACTGTGGCAGCGGATCCATACAATGGCAAAGGCTGTGCGCGCTGATTTGCTGTTTTGGTTTCTTTTTACTGTCAAGCACCTCGGGCTTCTGGAGCTCGAGCTGCATGTGAAAGTGTGCTACGTAACATAGTGAATCAGGTCGTCTTGCTTCCTCTCAAGAATGAAAGAGAGAGATCGGTCTCGGTCTCTAACTAAAGCTTGAGGGAATCAATGAAAAAACCAACCCACTCTGGGCATGTGGATGAAGGCCATATAGCCCTGCAATGAAAAAAAAAATCATAAAGCATAAAATGGGACCTTTAAGGAAAGAGACCTGAGGTAACTGTTCTTTCTCTTTGTTTCTGTGGGCCAAAAAAAAAAAGCAAAGGAAATTGTTTTGCATCCACTCACTGATCAGCGGAATACAGTGGCAGAGTGAATGCATGGATCCATATTCACCTGCTGAAACATAGATCTGGGTGTCATCTACGTCAGAAATCAGACTGTGGACATGTTTGTTAAGGAAATGTGTTGAACTTTGTTATGAAAATGATAAACAGAAAAAAATGTATCGTCAATCGTACTGCACAGGATTTCCTTTGTAAAAGATAAAAAGATTTGGGTTAGAGGTAAAAATATAAAAAATAAGACAAAGTTTTATATACAGTAAATAATGCAAATAGCATAAATCACTTGATAAATATGGCCATGTATTATTATTTCCATCATTTTCATTTTTCTTTCCATGACTGCTGGTGATGCAGTGCCCCACCTGCCTCCCCATAACTGATGTAAATGTCAGACTTGTAATAATGAGCCACGTAAGTCACTGTCTATGCTCTAGGCTGAGTGCACAGTATTCTCTTTCGCAAAAGAAAAGAATTTCAGTCTAGTCAAAGAGCATTTTAAATGTCAATATTGTCAAATACAATGTGATTAGAGGTGAGTCTGTATCATGTCATGTCCCCTTTAAGCAATAAGCAATTAGGTTATGTGGTGTTAATAGTGGGACTAAATATTAAACTATCTGGTGTAAACACGAATACGTGGCCTGCATCAGCCTGGGACCTTTACCTTCAGTCCGTGGAATGCGTAAGCCTGTGTTTATCTCCTATACGTCTGGAAGCTCCTTACGCCATCACATGTGCACAGATGTAACGGAGCATACACAGCTTAAGCAGGGGCTACAAACAAAAGGCCCAGTGTGCGCCCGGCCCGACACCTGCAGGATTTGGAAGATTATACAAATATTTTCCAGAATTATTTCGAATTTGGATAATGCCATACATGCACCCGGGTAAACATGCAGTATTGTTGGCTTCTCCCACCTGTGTGTTGGAGAGTTATTAGTATGAAAAGTGATCATCTTTATTATTAGTAAGTAATAATACGTGTTTTAAGGGATACATTTTATTTTAAATAATTTTTACTTCCACATTGATATCAGAGACCTCTGGGACTCATCCCACTGTTCGCAAACTCTGCTGTGACAAATACTCACTCTGCAGTTTTAGATAATGTTGGAGCGCTGTTATTATTGGAAAGTTATTGAAAGTTGCTGGACCAAATCTGATGCATGTTGTTATGCAGTGAGGTTTTGTTTAATGATTTGGAAAATCCTTTCTTACAGCTGGCTACAGACTAAATAAAAGCTTGATGTGTGCCATTTTTTTTCTCCTCATGTGCTGTGTGAACACTAAATACAACACCCAGTACAATAGATCTTATCCTCTATACTTTAAAGTTAGAAGAAAAAAATTGTGGCTTGTGTGCACAGCTGTGATTAGTTCAGAGGACTTCTATGGTCTTCCAGTATCCCTAAAGGTCCTGCTCCTGCCCCTCAGCACAGTGTCCTCTGCAGTCCTAATTTACAGTATATGCACGGCTTTTGTTCTGTGTTCTGTTGAATTGACCCACTTTAGCCACGTTGCTCCAACAGTTTCCGTATTGATTTTTCGCTGTATTAGTTTGAATTGGGCAGCTGAAATTCTCAGCAAATAATCTTTTATAGACTTCATGGCCATGGCAGGCCACATAAGGGTGGAGCAGTGTTGACAACATTTAAAAAGCTATATGTCTACAGTATATACCTGTATACCCGTTTGTCTAATATATTATAGACTTAAATTCATCCAAAAAAGGAATGTGAACACTTCCATGGACTATATAGGAATACACTATTTTATATGTTCTCTTGTTCTCAATACAAATCAATGGGCTTCTACAACAGGCATTTAGAAACAATCAGAAAGTCGGGTTTTTGGTCAAATAGTTAATTGTAGTCTTACTTTTATCAATCATTTTAAACTTTGTCAAACACTATGTAAAACAGTCCTTGCTTTGAATAATGTTTCAGCAACACTTGTTCATAAAAATATATGGATAACAGTGTCTAGCTAGCAACACATGATGGCTGAATAATTATTGGATAAACACCACCCCTGGAAAATCTCGACTTGGGGCTTGATGCTTTGCAACCAATTTAGCATAACTATGAAACGAAGAGTATAGACTATGGGGAATAATTTAATACATACTTGTGAAAAAGATATATATATATATATATATATATATATATATATATATATATATATATATACAAATATATTCCTGAATATGTTATGGCCAGTAGAGAAGGCCTTGCTGGCCTTGAGGGTCCACAACTGAGGGATAAACACGGAGAATAGATGGCTTGAAAGCCTCAACACTCCAATTACATTTGGCTGTATTAAAAAATGTAACCTATTGTGACAGAAGTTTCTGATATTATTGTGGATAGTCTTGTAACTTGGTAAAAGAGTCCTTAAAAGCATGAGAATTAGTTGAAGTTTTCCCTCTCAGAACTTTGTGGATACTTCTCATCTTGGCACAGTAGCTCACGCTCAGGATCACAGATTATAGATGAGACCTGCCCCCTTTACACACACTCACAATTAGACATGCTCCGCCCACTGGCGCCAAAGACCCGCCCCCACACACGACTGACAGCTGCTGCTTTGTTCCTGCTGCCCCCCAAACACACCAATCTTTATGATAATGACGTTAGAATGGGCCGTTTTCTCTTTTAAACCAAACCTTGTGCTCTGAGAGCAGCCACTCAATAATCCAAATTTAGAAACAGACGGTGTCACCCTGGTGCCCCAGGGTATCCCATGGGTGCTAAGGCTGGACTTAGCCGTCATGCTGCCCACATGATGAAGGATGGTCATAGGTTTGACCAAAACCTGGTCATCTATTTGGAGAAGCATAATTCCAGATGTATTCTTGCAGTTTAATGTGTCTGAGGCTCTCTGAGGCAAACGATTATGTTAAAGATTAGATTTACCTTTATTCGTCCCTCTGCGGGGAAATTTCAGTAGAGGAGTGTAACAATCCATACCCTACATTTCCAATGTTATTGAGATAATCTATTACAAAATATTCTGGTCTTTTACGATTAATCGAGTAATCGCTTAGCTGAGAATTGTGTAGCAAAAATGTATTTTTTCATCACCAAAAGCTAAAGTGGCAACACTCGAGGACGTATTGATGGCGTAAACTTAAAGTAAATGTTTGTAACAGGCTCTTTGTGCTCTTTGCTGCTATCTGATTAGATGAGACAGACAGATATTCATGAAATTATAAAAACAAAGTCGGTTTTAATCAAAAATACTACATTTTCATGTAATTTTTGCTCTGTTTGAGTCCGTGTGAACCAGAAAACGATTAATCGATTACTAAAATAGTTGTCGACTATTTCAATAACTGATTAGTCGTCGATTAATCGATTAGTTGTTTCAGCCCTAGTTATTTCTGCTTGAACCTAGTACTTAACTGAACCTAGTACAGACTTTTTCACATCACGTTAAAACATCTACAGTGGTTTTTACAGATACAGTGTTACCATTATGTATAGTCCCATTCAAAGGTTAGGGTTAGCCTGATTAAATAGTATAGATCCTAGAGGTCAAATTGTTTACCTTTCAAAAATAATTATTTTACATAAGTCGAAGCAAAGAAACCTTTCAATGCATATATATATATACATATGAGATGAATAACGTGAGAGGGCGGTAAATCTCACAGTCCAATGAAAAGTTCGGTGCTGTGGAGCTCAGATTGGAGCACCAGTTAGAACCTATTATATAGAATAAATGAGCTCATCCAGAGAAGCAGTGCACCTCCATGCCCCAGGAAAAGAGCCTTTTCCAGGTCAGCTGCTCTCCCAGACCCTCCTCTGTTCCATGGACTTCTTCCACCGTCCACTCGCATGTCTTCTCTTCAGATTTGGAACACAGAGCTGCCTGCTGGAGTGGAAAAACCAATGTCTCCAGGAATAAGCGTCATCTCCTCGGCTTCTCGCACACAGAGCCAGGGCTGGAGATGTGAGGCTTTTCATACGCAGACAAAGTGATGCACAGGAGGACCCCCACATGCACCAACACTGATCATTGAACCACTTCCATTGCGTTAAATCTGAAGCGGGTCAAATGAGTCAGCTAACATTGTGTTCATGTGAATAGTTTACAGTTTAACTAATACTTTAATACTCATACTTTGGGCTAAGAGCTGATGCAGGCGTTCTCGCTCTGTGGTTGTGCCAGTGACAAACATTCAGGTGACAAATCTATTTTAATCTAATTTGCCCCTAAAGGGTTGACTATACTGGCAGCAATGTAGGCTGTAGGGATTCACAATAAAGTATACCTGAATCTTAATATGAAGATAAGTAAGTAAGTAATCTTTATTTATATACCACCTTTCACAGACCAGAGTCACAAAGCAGTTTACAATTGTTATTTTTGGGCATTTGTCCACTCACGCCACACAGAGATGGGAGCGGGGTCGCCGGTACAGGAGGCGCATGCCAGACCTATTGTGTATGTTTTTAGTGGTAGGGGAAACCGGAGTACCCGGAGGAAACCTACGCTGACACCGGGAGGACCTTCTTGCTGAGAGGCGAGAGTGCTATCCACTCAGCCACCGTGCCACATGTATTTACGTGTACAAATAAGGATGACATGACTCGACGTGAGGGTGGGTTCATAAGAATGAGACAAGAACAAGAGGAAGGGAGGAAGAATTTAATGTTACATACAAATTATCTTAAAGAGAGGAACAATGTGTGGGAGTCTTCCTACGCACCTGTGTTTCATTTGGCTGTGCAGCGTCCTCATCAAAAACTTTCAAGAATCATGTGAGAGAGAAAATCCTCAAGCGATTAAGAGTAGTCTTCTGCCACCTGATAATTGAAACAGAGGGCGAGCAGTTCAGTCTCATAGGAGGAGCTCGTAGCAGAGAAGCCAGCTGAGGTAATGAGAGGAAGAGACTCCCTGGGACGGTATTACAGGTAATGAGGAGGCCCAAGGGAAGACCCAGGACATGCTGAGGCACTATGTGGGTGGTGATCTGTTCACATGTTTGCAGGTTTGTGATCGGCCGGGAGCGTCCAGGGCAGCAGAGTGAAGTGGCCAGTCTGATCCAGCAGACTCTGGAGCAGGAACGCAGGCAGAGGGAGCTGTTGGAGCAGCAGTACGCCCACTACGACGCTGACGATGACGAGGTAACGCTCTCACCACATGTCACCAGCTTTCACCAGCTCCTACAACATTCCACCAGACCCTTTAACAATAAACCAGCACAAACCCTTGTTATCAAATATAAAGAATATGAAGAAAGGTATGAATAAAATAAAAGGCCTCACTCAATATTTCATGAGAATAAACATACACTATAAAAGACAAACAAAAAGCATCCTGCCAAACATTTGACCTCAGCAAACCAACCTGATGTGGTTGGTGCCATGGCAACAGCAGAGGCATGATAAAGATTGCTTTTTGTGGTGCAGAAGAAACACACTAGGCCATGAGCTGAGTGTTTGTTACAGGACTGCTGAACAGAGTGTGGCCTGATAGAGGAAGTACAAGACTGTTGTATCCAGCTCTATAGATAATGCACTCTGTCCGTGTGGACGTGAGCCAAGCGGTGCAGTTAGCTTCTGGAACAGGCTCCCAAGTTAATGGCCCAGCATCGATTACACATTATGTGTTTTGTAAAAACACGTCTGCCTGCAGGCGCTCTTTATTCTATCAAGGTCTTTTGCAAACATCACTGTCATATTCCCTACATTGGCATAATGTAAACGAGAGAATGCCACAATATGAGGGAAGGCTCCTGTGATAGTGGAGCTGAGCGCGAGCTGCAAGATTCACCTACTGTTTATGGTGGACCAGTCTAGCGGACAAGTATTATTACCTGCGCCCAGGAGGTAAAGTGATCACAGGCGTTTGTGTGTTTATTTGATCTCAACTTACCTCAAAAAGTTATGTGAGGATTTGGAGAAATAATGCGCAACTGATTTTTGAATTTTGAAGGTGATCCGACTGGATGCAGAATCTTTTTATAGGAAGGCAACAGTATTGTTTATGTTCATCTCGTCTCCGTAGTAGAATAACGTTATTTGGTTCTGCACTGCCTACATTATTATTATTATTATTATCCGACACTGTCTAGACACTGATAAATCCGTGCCAGAGGCACTGAATAGCCTCACTCCTGCTGTAGTGCCCAGTGAAATGAATCAGGTCCTACAGAAGGGGTAGGTGACCTCATGATGTCGAGGCGATTGACGAGCTTGTTCCCTCGTTTTCTTTAAAAAGGTGTATCATTTGTATTATACGTTACCAGGGAAACCTACAGTATATTGTTTTTGCTCAAAGATATTTATTTATTTGTCTATTGATCTCTCAACGAGGAATGCCTGGATCATAAGTCACAATCTCTGGGCTGCGCCCAGGCATTAAGGTGAAATAATTTTTCGAAATTTCCCCACTGTGGGACAAATAAAGGAATTCTTATCTTATCTTATTACTCATTGAGAAAGCAAAACCCTTACCCCTGTTGAGGCTCGGGCCTAAATAGTCAATGGAAAAACAGTAAAGCTGCAAACTGGCGACAGTCAGAGCAATGGTGTCTTCCTATAAGCTCCTCACATATGCATGAATCACTAGAACATGTTTGATTGGGGCGTGCAAAGGGAACACTTCTAACGTAAAAATCGGATTTATCCAAACAGGGCATTATTTGTGTATTGACATGAGAAGCAATGTTTTAACAGCAGACTGGGGAGTACGCCACAGATGACGAGGATACTCCTGCTGTCCCGGGACAGAAGAGCATCGAGGTGTTTGAGCTGCCCGAGTCTGAAGACGTCCTGTCCCCAGACGACCTGGACGCCAACAAGCTCTACCAGAAGTTCAAACAGGTACCAGAAGTTCACACAGCTGCACTTACTATAAGTCCAGGACAGATATTCAAAAGGCTCCTTTTGAGTTCTCTAATTACACTAATTACAAAACTAATTAGATACTGTTTTAAAATGTGTTACATTAAAACACAGTATTTCTTTAGAACATGTTTTGAGAAGTACTCAAATGATGTGCTTTCCATCTTTGTGCCCTCAATTAGACTGTGTCATGTTAGATTTGTATAATAGATAGACAGATAGATAGATACTCGATTGATTGTCGTAGGAGATATTAATGATATCAAAGGTTGTACTTCTACCACAAGATGGGGGTGTTTCACCCAAATGAACACACATAAGGCATATAAATGTTCTTAAATGGTGTGTGTGGTTATACACCCTGACATGGGGCTACTGAAGGCCCATGTACATGGTTTCAGAAAACCTCTGAACTGGGCTGAATGTGGTTTCTAGGGGTCCATGCACACCTTGGACTGGCGGGGGAGACTCCTCTGCTTCTCCACGGTTCAAACAGATGGCTCTGTGGGGACTTTCCTGCTGGTATAATCCTGATAGCTGCAACACCAACCCCCTTGAGCACTGCGTTTTCACTGTTCCCCAGTCACGTCAGCACAGCCCTACCACACAGACCTACAAGAACTGATACGACTTAAATGATCTTCATCTGGACAGGACCTGAGTGTTACACATTTCCTCCACATGATGCTGTTTTTCTGTTAACTGTGCTTTCAACAAACTCTCCAATCCTCATCCGTCCTCGAGCTGCTCTAGATATGATGTGTCATGTATAGTCACGTCTCATCCTTGTGGTGGTGGTCCACAGAGTCTGCGCAGCGCCTCTCTCACCCCACACTCTCCCCTGTCCCACAGCTACAGATAAAACACACTGTGACAGAGGCCGAGATCCAGAAGCTCAAGAACAAGGTAGGAACCACTCTTTTCACCTTTTTCATTCACATTCCTGTGCTATAACATTCATTGGAGTTTTATCTGTATTGATACTGATAATAATATTATTGAGAATTATTTAGGCTTTTCCTTGTCCTAGTCTTTTTTTGTTTATTTTAGAGTTTCAGTATAGATTACATTTTTATATATTTTTGAAAGAAACAAGCACATATCGAGTTTTTCTTCCTCCAAAAAAACATAATTATTGTTGTATATCCGCCTTTGCACTCTTCATGATAACATTTCTGAGAAATGTAGATGTGCCTGTTGAGTAAAAATAGTTATTTTAAAAGTAACATTTAGTGAACAAATCTCACCACAACATGCTGTCTTCAACTCATAAGAAAGCATGTTGTAACTTTGCATTTTCTTTGTATACAGATAGTGACTTTGTGAGTTACTATTTGACTTTTTGGGCTGAACGCTTATTCGCTAAGTGAGAGTTGTCCTTTCTTTTTTACTTTTATGTCTGAAAAAACCATCAATGATTTAACAGAGGCCAAACATACATCATGTGAATACTAGAAAGGTGTGTGGTGGGTGCAGGCATGGTTTGGTTTTGCTGAAGAATGTTTTGGTGGGTTGTAGCTGTCCTCAGTGGAGCATGAGAAGCAGCGCTGGGAGAAGGAGAAGTGCCAACTGAAGGCCAGCATCGAGGAGAACAAGGAAAGGATGCTGAAGCTGGAGGCCTACTGGATCGAAGCCCAGACCCTCTGCCACACAGTCAACGAGCACCTGAAGGAGGCCCAGGCCCAGTACCAGGCCCTGGACAAGAAGTACAGCAAGGCCAAGAAGCTCATTAAAGACTACCAGCAGAAGTACGTGCCCAGACCCAGACTCAGACCTGATCCTGACCCTGACCCTGACCCTGACCATGGCCTAGTTCCTGGACAAGAAGTACAAAATTGCCAAGAAGAATTTGTTTCACAAACAATTCTGAAATTTGTTCTAACGTAATAATGAATGGGTCTTCAGAACAGGGTTGGCTCCAGGCAGAAACATTATGTGTAAAACAAATTCTGGAATTAGTTATTGACTCTGACGATTTTTTTTCTTTTACTTTTGATATTACTTTCTATATGAGGCTTCATCATAGTGGAACAAGTTTGAAGACTGAGATAGTTGTCAGAAGGGACAGGGGGGAACATCTCACACATGACACCTGTGACATTGGGAAATGGCTCAATTGCACTGTACACATTAATCAGAGTCCAATAAAATATCTAAAATACAATCCACATAGTAGTTTCCTATGTTAGTGGTATTTTCATACCTCCCCAAAAGCCTCATGTAGTGATTTTCCCAGCTAGTTTTAGCCTAGTTTGATCCAAGTCAACTCACCCCTCACCCCCTCCCCCTGTCTGCTGCTCGCTCTGGGCTGAAGGCTGATAGGTCCTCCACAGCTTTAGTCAAATTCTGCTACACTTGCTCGAAAGTACTGGGCCATTGGATAAATACTCTTTCATACTTATTATGCAGAATGTATTTGGAGTATGAAACATCAAGATGTTTTAAACTTGATGTCTCCATCTCCCCAGAGCACACAGAACAGCTTTGAACATCTTCAGGACAGTTTTCCATTCACTCAGAGCGGGGACCTATCAGTGCTGCAGCATTGACTGACTGCATTCAGTAAAACAACATGTACTACAACTACAGCAAGGCATAGACATGTATCTACACTATCTTCATTCATCAATTTTCAACCCCTTAATCCAATTCATATAGCACCAGCCCCTCACTGATCCTTCTGCAGGTGGTGAGTCCACAGGAGGATGGCTGTTCTGTCAGCCTTGATCTTTCAGCCGGGGCTTCAGGCAGAGTGGGGTTAAGTCTTGCCCAAGATCACAACGGCCGCACTCATCAGTGGGAGTAGGTGGGAATACTCTCGTTATGATTCTCAAATGGACAATTGAAGGCGGATAAAAAACTCATCTGATGCAAAACTTGCACAGTTCTTGGTGTTTATATATAGACAAATAACTGAATATTCTGTGGCTCATCAAAGTTAGGTAACATCAACTGAAAACACTTGCAGAATGCACTTCCCTGTTCTGATAAAAGTTTGGTAGTCAGTGAGTCAATAATAATGACAAATTCACCAATGGTAGATAATCTTTTTTTTAATTTTTATTAAGTTAACTTAAGTTGTACAAAAATCATTTGATGGGACCAGATTCATCCCAATTAAAATAATATCTCTAAAAAAATTTTTAGAGGGGCTTCTGAGCCATGGCTAGGGGGGGCATGGATATGGGGGGACTGATCCCCCCCTCTGGAGGAAACCCTGATGCTGGAACGCTGAAGAAATATGTTCCACCATTAGCACGGCTATTATGGCAATGTGAAACGTATGGAGACAGACAAACAACTCGATAAAATAATTCCTTGTGTTTGCATATTGTGGGCTCCATGGTGATATCATACACAGACATGACGTCGTTCAACCTAAAAAGCCTAATTTCTGTGAAGAAGGCAAACTGAGTCAGGGAGAGTGGGAGAGGACTACAAAATATTGACTGTGATTGCGGTACCATTTTTGGCCAATTTTTTTACAAATTGCTCCTTTAAATATTTACACTATATATTTGGTTAGGTCAGTCTTGGTTGGATATTGTATTAAATAATAAATTAAATCATTTACTCTTTGAAGAGCAAAAATGTACAAATAAAATGTCATGGTAAAATGATATAATCTCAAAACCATTTATTAAACATGTGTATGTAAACCTGCACACATACTGTACTGTGTCAAGGGACATCCGCTTGTTGGCTCATATCCCAATCTCAAATCTCTTGAAGTATGAAAAGTGAATGTAGACCCCACACGCGCATATTGGGCAGCTCTTCTTCACGCGTTGAGAAGAAAATCCATTCTGTTTTGGTACGCGCGTAGCAATCATTTCCAGATCAAATAACTAAGTTGTTTATATAATAACTTATAATATATAATAACTAATAAAGAAGTTATTTGATCTATTTGAAATTTATTGGACACATTCATCTGAGAGGCGGCGGGGCGGGTGTGTGGGACAGAGCCAAACACAGCCTGATGTCCTCTGCTCATGGGCTGGTCTTTCAACGCCTCCAGCTCAGCAACATTCCACACAAGAAGCCTCTGTGCTGTTTGAATCCATAAATATGAGGTTGGTTTGCACTTTTCATAACTTATAATCAATAACATGCGCAACGGTTTGTCTATTGATAAATGCTCTGACCCCGGGGCGCACTACACACAGGGAAAGAGCACGTCCATTCATTCTCCCCCCTCTACCCTCTTTTGCAGCGGTTCATCAAACTAAAAAGTGCATCTATACACTGTAGACATTTTTTGAAAGTGGAGCAGCAGTCTCATTTCATGCAACATATTGAGATATTTTTTTTAATTTCATGTGAAAATAGTTCTTGTCTTTAGAAACAGGAGATTGTACGCATTGGCAAAAGGCTGCAAAAGGTTCCAAAAGACAAAGTGCTACTTAATTTATTATCCCCATTATATCCATTCATCCATCCAATTTCTTCCCCTTAATCCATTTCTGGGTCGGGGGGTGGCAGTCAGAGCTGCACCCACTATACAGAGTACCAGCCCCTCCATCCCCGTTCTATCTTTTGATAAATGATTATATGTTGATACATTTGTGATGATGCATATATTTTGAAATCACTACGAGACGTCACGGCCTTTTGATTAAGAACTGTTAGTGTAAAAGACTTCTGCTGGACAAGGCCTCGCGTACCACAAGATGGAAATATGTTCTTTCCTTTTCTTTCACTGCAGGTGCACTATAGATTGATATTTTGTGCAAACATTAGTACATTTATTTGCTTCTTTTTTGTGTGTCACTGAAGATATACATGTGATAGGCTTTATATATTATAATATAATATGAATTATAATATTGGTTAGAATCCAAAATAATCACATTATTGTGATGTGTGCAGAGAAGTGGAGCTGCTGCAGAAGGAGGACTCAGAGCGCAGGAGGCTGGAGGACGCAGAAAAGGCTCATCTGGCCGAGATCCAGGGGCTGCAAGTGCGGGTAAGAATGCACATAAGACTGTAGAGTCCAGTGGGGGGCCGCTGGACTCACCAGGGTTGTATAGAGCCCAGTGGGGGACTGCTGGACCTACCCAGGGGCACACATGCAGACAACTATGCGAAAATAGTTCTTGTCTTTAGAAACAGGAGATTGTACGCACACATGCAGACACAGGGGACCCACTCTATCTGTTTTTGCCTGCCCATGCCAGGGATTACTTGTATAGTTTTGTTGCACTATGTCCTATACCCTCACCTCTGGTCACAAGCTTTGGGGAACAACCCAAAGAATCAGAATCAGAATTTTATTAAATTGCCATTGTGAGTAACAGGAGGTCACAAACAAGGAAATTGCTTTTCGGTGCAAACAAGCTATAATAGTAAAAATAGAAAAAGGCATGCATAAAAATAGATCACGGTTAAAACCAGGGGCCAAATTTAAAGAGTAGTAGGAGGTCAGGGGCCAAAACAATAGGAGCTTGGAGTAGATTCGCTGATTCTCCATGTCGAGAGGAGCCATCTGTTTGGGATGTCTGCTGTGTTTTGGGTCTCTCTCCTTGTCCCACTGGGACACCACAGCAGGAGTCAGTAAAGCTGAGGAACAATAGTTGTGTTTTTCATAAAGCAGTTTTCAAAATAAGAAATTACATGTTATCCTTTAATGAAGCACAAATATATCTTTCCCGTGGCACATACGTGCTAACACCCCAAAACAAGTTGTTTGATCGGTGCGCCCCCTAGAGGCGGTGGGTGTGTGGGACAGAGCCAAACACACCCTTATGTCTTCTGATCAAGGGCTGGTCTTTGTACGCCTCCAGCTAAGCAGCATTCCACACAGGAAGCCTCTGTGCTGTTTGAATCCATAAATATGAGGTTAGTTTTCACTTTCCATTAGTTATAATCAGGCAAACCTATGAGTGTAATCATTACATATTTTTTTTACGTTACACTTTTAGCAAGTAAGAAAGTCATCTTTATAATTATAGCGCATTATTTACAGACCAAGGTCACCCAAAGCGCTTTACGATGTCAAAGTTCAGATATTGTTTCATTCTTAAACAGTGATGACACACTGGCGCATCAAAGCCCCGCCCAACACCATCCATTCATTACATTCATATTTATTGTGCAGGTTTTTAGTGGTATAGGGGAAACCGGGGTAGACACGGGGAGAACATGCAAACTCCACTCAGAAAGGCCCTGTTCCGACCGGGATTATATTTATAACTAAGCTCATATATGTATATATAGTATACAGTCATCTTGTCTTTAGTATACATGTGGGGCTCCTCCTCAGCCCTCCTCATCTCTCCTTAAAACTCTTTCTTAGCCTCCTTAGCCCTCCTTAGCCCTCCTCCGTCCTCCCCAGTCCTTCTCAGTGTGTGTGTGTCTGTGTGTGTGTGTGTGTGTGCATATGCAGATCTGCAGCTTGGAGGCGGAGCTGGTGCAGCTGATGCAGCAGAATGGTCTGCAGCTCAACAATAACAACAGTAATGCATGTGAGCGGAGAGCCTCAGCGCCCCCTGGAGGTATGTGCTGTCTTCTACAACAGTATCGGAGGTATTGCGTTGTGTTCAACCTGTGTTTCACCTGTGTTTACCAGTGCGTTTCATCTGTTTTAAAAAAAATTTAAACAGGTTTTGCATTGGACAAACATGACAAACGTTATCATATATTACAAACCAGATCAGATCAGATTCATTTATTTGCCATTTGCAGTAAAACCACATTGGAAAAACTGTGCAAGACTACCCCGGTGTGCGCCAGACAGAGACGACACACACCAGAGCTCTTGCCACGGCGCCATCTTTTCCGGCGCCATGCGACAAACAGTAGAATAAACAGCAGAGAGCAATAACATACAGGTTACAACAGACAGTTGGATAGAAAACATTGTGCTTTGTATAAACCACGGATTTTTTTACGGGATGAGCACCTTCAGCAGCCGGCCCAATGTGGCTGTCAGAGGGGGGCGGGGTCAGGGAGGGGGTGAGTCGGAAACACAATGAGGAGGGGAGGGGAGGGAGAGATCAGAGGGAGGCGGGGGGAGCGGGATCCAAGCTGGAACTGACTGAAAGAGTGTGAAATTGTTGTAGAGTCCAGATTTATTATGATGGCCTTGGCCCGAGGAATGTGAGATAAGAGTGGAGGGAAGACACAGCAAGGAGAAAAACACATCTTCCTGTAACGAGGGACAATATTGTATGCATTTTAGCAGTCAAAAACAGGCAGATATTCGCCTATCGACTCTATTCATTTTAATACATGTCATCTTATTATTATGTTTTCACCGAAAATATGTCTCTGCTCTATTGGTGTATGATCGACAAACTCTTCTTGATATTCAAACTGCACAAAGTTGGACGGCTAAATGTGATGTGAACAACGTGGAGTCTACCCCCGCACCTGTCCAGTGTCCCAGCGTACCTTTGGCGTGTGCCAGTCCCAATGCAGAAAAAGCGTCCCAGAAGGCGCGGTAGACGTGCTGGTCTTTTGGTCAAATTGAGATTGTCCAAAGCATACAGCTCTTCAACTTACTTCACCCGCGGAGGCTCCACTCACAGACTCTTCCCAGGTCTGCGCTGGATTCTACCCATCTTCCCTGCTCCAGAGGCCGCGCAGATGCGCTCGTGCCACCTGCCACTGGAGACGCTCGTCCTGAGGAGACGCAGAGGCGACCAACGCAGAGTGGATCTCGGTGCACTCCGGCCTCTCGCCCGCTCCTCCTCGCTTCACCACGAGGACGTAACTATTTGCTTGGGCCTCATGAATGTTAGATCGCTAACAAATAAGACTTTTCTTCTCAACGACCTGATCGCGACACGGGATTTGGATATTACTTTATTCACGGAGACATGGGTCCAAGCTGGTGAGTCCACGGCGTTTTCCGAACTCCTTCCACCAGGCTACTCATTCATTAGCTCCCCGCGTACTAGTGGTAGGGGAGGTGGGCTTGCCACAGTGTTTAAAGACTCGTTTCCATGCAAGCAAATTCCATCTGAAAGCTTTTCAAGCTTTGAATTACAAACATTTATGCTTGAACGCGCTCCTGTCATCTGTGCCTTAATGTATCGTCCTCCTAAAATTCATAAGGATTTTATTCAGGAATTCACAGACTTTGTTACAGGGCTCGTGCTGAAATATGACTGTTTTATTATTGCTGGTGACTTTAATATCCATGTGTGCTGCGAGTCTAAACCATTAGTCAAGGACTTTTTAAATGTTTTAGAAACGTTTAACTTGGCACAGCTGGTCCCTGGCCCAACACATGAAAAGGGACATACGCTCGATCTTGTGCTGTCTTTTGGTCTGAATCTGGAGATTATTGATATCTGTGACACGGGTATCTCAGATCACTACGCCGTGCTCTTTACTCTGACGCTTCCAAAATCTAACATTAAGCCGTGTGCCCCTGCGCGCAAAGTGCGCACATGCAACTCGCAAACTGCACTCACATTTTCGTTGGCTTTCTCTGACTTTATACTGAACAACGACTGCGGCAGTGATTTAGCTGTGGAAGACATGGTCTCTTTATTCAACGCTACATGCTCAAGCATTATTGATCTCGTAGCCCCATCCAGAGTCAAATGCGTAAAGCCTAAAGCTGAGCCCTGGCTTAATGACACAACACGGGCTCTGAGGCGCATCTGCAGACGTGCGGAGAGACGCTGGCAAAAGGACCGTCTGCAGGTGTCACTGGACATGCTGAAAGACAGTCTACAGTCATATCAGAGAGCAGTTAAAACTGCCAAGTCTAAATTTTTGTCCAACGTTGTTACTATCAATTGCCACAAACCCCAGGTTCTTTTTAATACACTGACCTCTTTGATTAATCCATGCACTTCTCCCCCTGTAGTGGCCTCTTACAAACTATGCAATGATTTTATTGTATTTTTTAATGACAAAATTGCCTCCATTAGGCAGTCTCCGTTGTGTAAGCCCAGTTTTATGAATATAGATAATGGCTGTCAAAATGTATTTAGTGTTTTGAAAATGTGTCCTTAGCATTTGTGACAGACATTGTAAAAAAGCTACGCCCGTCTTGTTGTCCCCTTGACTCCATCCCATCTCGTCTGTTTAAGGAGGTGTTCAACACAGTGGGGATTTGGGTCCTTAACATAATTAATGCATCTTTAAATTCAGGATGTGTACCTATCACACTTAAACATGTCGTGGTACAACCTCTTCTTAAAAAGCACAATCTTGACCCTACATGCTTGTCGAATTATAGGCCCATCTCAAAGTTGCCTTTTATTTCTAAGATCTTGGAAAAGGTTGTTCTCGTTCAACTACAGGACCATCTTGATATTTACAGCATCACTGAGAAGTTTCAGTCAGGTTTCAAAGCCAAGCATAGTACTGAGACTGCTCTTCTTAGAGTTCTTAATGATCTTTATTCAGTCTCAGACTCAGGCCGCCCTTCTGCTCTAGTTCTCCTAGATTTATCGTCAGCGTTCGATACGGTGGACCATGATATTCTTATTGCACGCCTCGAGCAACAAGTGGGCATCACAGGAACTGCACTTAAATGGTTCCAGTCCTATCTGACTGAGAGAACCTTTTCTGTTCAATTTGGCCAGTTCTCCTCTCAAGCGTCCAATTTAAAGTGTGGAGTGCCCCAAGGCAGTATTTTGGGCCCTACCCTATTTTGTCTTTACATGCTTCCCTTAGGAGCTATATTTGAGAAGCATAATATTTCCTACCACTGCTATGCTGATGATGTCCAAATATATCTGCCCATTCAGACTAGCAGCTGTGTACAGACACTTGTTGATTGTTTGAAGGAAGTTCAGGAATGGATGCAAGATAACTTCCTTAGTTTAAACAACAGGAAAACAGAAATACTTACCTTTGGGACTTCTGACCCTCTGCTGAACTGTGACAGTGCTATAGGACCTCTTATGGTTTATGAAAAGCCCCACGCCAGGAATCTAGGATTTATTATTGACAGCCATTTTAAATTTGATAAGCAGATAAATGCTGTTCTTAAAACAAGTTTTTATTATCTCAGAGTTCTTAGCAAAGTAAAATCTTATATTCCACATGCCCATTTTGAGAAGGCCATTCATGCTTTTATCACTTCCAGGCTTGATTATTGTAACTCTCTCTATGTCGGCATTGACCAGGCCCAGCTCAGCCGCTTACAGGGAGTGCAAAATGCAGCAGCCCGTCTTTTAACAGGGACAAAGCGCAGGGAGCACATCACTCCTGTTTTGCAATCCCTGCACTGGCTCCCGGTATATTTTAGAATTCATTTTAAAATTCTTATTATCGTTTTTAAAAGTTTTAATAGAATGGCACCTTCTTATTTATATGAACTCCTCCAGCCTCACCTTCCCTCCAGAGCACTGCGCTCTGCAGATCAGCACCTTCTTGTCGTCCCTAGGACCAGGCTGAAGACCAGAGGAGACAGAGCTTTCTCTGTTATAGGGCCAAAGTTGTGGAACTTTTTACCTTTGCACATCAGAACTGCACAATCACTCGAGCACTTTAAATCCCTGCTTAAAACGCATCTTTTTTCTTTGGCTTTTACTACCAAGTAGACAGAGACAAATTTTTCGATTTCTTTTTGTATATAAATTTCTGTATTTTATGTGTTTTTGTTTTATAATTTTTCCTCGCTGTCTGTTCAGCACTTTGGTAAGCCTAGGCTGTTTTAAATGTGCTCTACAAATAAAGATTTGATTGATTGATTGAGATATTCTATTAAATCCAATTAAACCGAATTGCGGCGCCCTCAAACCCCGTACACAGGGGCCAATCCAAGCCGGGTCAGAGAGTTCAAGCGTGACAAACAATGTCATTCAATCTCAATTCCAGAGTTTTATGCCCATCAAGTGAACGAGCTGCGAGATCTCTGATCAACTGTTCCACTAACACCACTCTTCTTTGTCCAGCCACAGCGCTCTCAACCACGACTCGGTTAAGCTCCTTGTACATCCCATCAATTTTGTTGGCCAGCAGGTCGTGAATCTTGCGAACTGCCATGCCTCCGAATTTATGGTAGAATAGAACCGCTCCAAGCCCAAACAGGAGGATCCCCACCACCAAAAAGCCAAAGATATATACGTCTTCCGAATCTTCAATGGACAGGGTCGACAGACAGAGGGGCTGCCACTTGTTCCAGCTGTCAAGCGTATAACCCGCTGGTGAAGTCCCGTCCGGGCACTCGGGCTCTCCAGACCCGCGCTTACGTGTTGAAAAGATAGAATCAATTGCGTTAAACAGCTAATGTTTTTACCAACATTAGTTTCAGTGTTGGTAAAAACCCCTCTCTGCTGCTTCTTAATAAAACATTTTTTTTAGAAGCAGCAGAGAGGTATTTACAAGTATGTTTTTTTTAATCATATGAATCAATTTCCTTGACAAATAGTTATGATGACAATATGTGAATGGAAAGGGCAACTCAAGGTTTTTGGTCAGTGTGAAAACCGCTTTTTGAGTGTCCAGGAAAGAGCTGTAGCAAAAGGAATGCTCTATTATTATCATTAGATTTGAGGCATTTCATCTTTGCACATTTTATTTTCACTACATTTAAAGGAAACATTCTAGTGAGTAAGTGATCTTTATTTATATAGCACATTTCATAGATCAAGTTTACCTACAGTATGTTTCAATGTTTATAGATTTCAGATATGTTGTCTGCACATGGAATTGAACCTAGGACCTACTTGCTGTGAAATACAAGGTCTCACTGCTGAACCACCTAAAAACATTATATAAAAACATATTTTTTGAGCTTTATCCTGCCTTATAACTTTTTTACTCATCAATAACATCTGCTTTGTTGGACGTGGAGAAGTCAGCGGATGACACATATGTTGGCTTAATCATTGAGTAATACATTTGAAAACAGAGCATTTAGACACAAAGGGCGGGGGGATGTGTTTGTGCCAAAGGTTCTTTGTTCTCCATCTTGTAAGAGGGTTCAAAACTCCAAAAAGACAGAGTTGCACACAGCAATCAAAGATTCTCAGCATGTTTGAGGGAGCATGTTTCAGAACTTCAAAATGAGCATGAAGTAGCTGTATTTAATCTCCTCAGTGCCATCTACTGGTGCCTGTGGGACTTACAGCCTCTAAGTGCAGCCATTTGAAACAGTTGATGAAGTATGTTTCTGTGTCATCTAAAATGTTGTGTGGAAAGTGTTATTCAACATAGATGATGAGTACTATGTACTCATGGGGTGTGTTTGTGTGTGTGTGTGCGTGTGTACACGTTTGTGTGCGTGCATGTGTGTGTATGTGTGCTTGCTGTGTATGTGTTTGTAGAGATGGAGGTCTCTGCTGCGAAGAACATGTGCAGAGGACTGGGGCACCAGGCCGGTTCTGCAGAGGGAGAGGTGTGAGCCAGCATTAGAAGGACACATACTGTACATACAGACACAAACACATATACACACACACACATACACACACACACACACACACACACACACATTTATTTGCCTGAGCAGCCCAACCAATTCACTCTGACAAACATGTTTAATGTTTGTGTCATCAGCATTTCATTAATTTTATTATTTTGCATATTTCATTTGATCAAATGTGCAGGCGTCAGAGGCAGGCTCCTTTGACGAGGTCCCAGCCAGGGGCCCCGGGAGCAGAGAGGGCTCCCCCAGGAGCCAGGCTGTCCCAAGAGGGTGCAGACAGCAAGGTACTGAGGGAGTGAGAACACACACACACACACACATACATGCAGACGCTTTTAACATATCAGAGCTCTAATACATGTGTACCTGAAGCTTATATCTGGTTACAGGGTCGCCGCTGAGGTCCGGCCCCTGCGGTGGAGCAGAGCAGCCCAGGTGAGACATCTGCATCAGCCCTCTCTTGTTTCAGTAAACATGCAGGCTCAGACCATTCCCAACCCAGTATACATGCAGATTTCAGATTTCTGTACTGTAATTGTGATTTCTCCAAGATAGACAAAAAGTAAGTAAGTAAGTAAGTAAGTTTGTATTTATATACCGCCTTTTCACTGCAGATCTGAGTCTCAAAGCGGTTTACAATTGTTAATTTTGGGCATTTGTCTCTCACTCCACACAGAGATGGGAGGGGCCAGTACAGGAGGCGCATGCCAGAACTATTGGACATATTTTTAGTGGTAGGGGAAACCGGAGTACCCGGAGGAAACCTACGCAGACACGGGGAGAACATGCAAACTCCACTCAGAAAGGCCCTGGTCCGGCCGGGATTCGAACCCAGGACCTTCTTGCTGAGAGGCGAGAGTGCTATCCACTCAGCCACCGTGCCGCTTACTTACTTACTTACTTACTTACTAAATGTAATTCATGATGTTTCTGGTCGGTTTTAGGCGTTTCACGTGGTTTGGTGCATGAAATTCACTTTTACAACAGAATCAGTTCAAATGCATAGAATCATACTTGTTGAGAGCCAAAATGTAATTCATGATGTTTCTGGTCCGTTTTAGGCGTTTCAAGTGGTCTGCTTTATGAAATTCACTTTTACAACAGAATCAGTTCAAATGCATAGAATCACACTTGTTGAGAGCCAAAATGTAATTCATGATGTTTCTGGTCCGTTTTAGGCGTTTCAAGTGGTTTGCTGCATGAAATTCACTTTTACAACAGAATCAGTTCAAATGCATAGAATCACACTTGTTGAGAGCCAAAATGTAATTCATGATGTTTCTGGTCCGTTTTAGGCGTTTCAAGTGGTTTGCTGCATGAAATTCACTTTTACAACAGAATCAGTTCAAATGCATAGAATCACACTTGTTGAGAGCCAAAATGTAATTCATGATGTTTCTGGTCCGTTTTAGGCGTTTCAAGTGGTTTGCTTTATGAAATTCACTTTTACAACAGAATCAGTTCAAATGCATAGAATAACAGTTGTTGAGAGCCAAAATGTAATTCATGATGTTTCTGGTCCGTTTTAGGAGTTTCACGTTTTTTGCTGCAAGAAATTCACTTTTACAACAGAATCAGTTCAAATCAGAATCACAAAAAGCGTTTGTCTTCTGTTTAAAACTTTATTTTTTTTATATCAAACAAGAAGGTTTGCAGATCTTGAAAGAATATGATGACTTGGAAAAAGTCTTGAACCAAGTGTTCTTTTGAATGTAGAACTCCAGCAGTCTTGTTCTAAATTGAAGCAGAAATAGACAAAATACACAAACAAAATCCTCTTACAATAAAAATAAATCCTCCCCTTATACTTTTTTCTTTTTTATCTATTGTTTTTTGTTTGGTAATTCACTGCAATAATAATATACTGGCCTTGTTTGTTCAGCTTGTCTCCTCGAAAATCCAAAGTGTTGGGAGGTGACAGGTGAGAAGTGTTTTAGCCTTCTTTCCCCAGCAAAGACGCATGGTGAGTCTATGGATTCATAGACTGCTACGGTATATGGAAGATATTTTCAGATCTGCTCTTGAAACTGCCTCCTACCTGTTGGTGTCCAATTTGTTCACATATGTCAAATATGTGAAAAAACATGCTATTTTGTATAATAAAAGAAAATTGTAATGAAGTTCATCTCAAACTGTGTTCTATATTTTACTACTAAGTCAGAGTGTGGGACTCTCTCTGTGAAAGTCTCTAGGACGGTCTTTAAGATGTGTTGGTACTTTGTCGCAGTAACATTAACAGTAGTGGTAGTAGTATCATCCATAACAGTAGGAGTTGTAGTATAAGCAGTAGTTGCACTAATAATAGTATCAGCAGTAGTCGTAGTAGTAGTAGTAGTTGTGGCAGTAGTAGTAGTAGTAATCTGTGAGTGTGTCTGTGTTCAGGTCCTCAGAGGCCTCAGTTGAAGACAGTCCAGGCAAACTGAAGGCCAAGGTAACCACACACACACCCACTAACACACACAGACATACATGCACACACGCACACACGCACACAAACAGCATTCCCAGTCAAAGTCCAGTCCAAATGTCCTGTCTGAACCCGGCCTGAGTCCCCCACATTAAAACGTCAGGGTTTCTTGTACCTGTTCTGAAGGTTAATAACAGAGTGTGTGATCAAGCCTCTATTCATGTGAGTCTTTTTTTTTTTGACAAGAACAATGTAGTCATACATAGTTACATTAGGAAAGATGCAGCTGATGCGACACATACAGAGTGTGAAGCTTATGCTAATTTTCAACTCCTGTCCCTGGTTGAGCTTTTCCCTGTAGTGCAACACATTATGCTGAATTAATAAAATAGAACTGCCCCTAAAACACATATTTACAACGGTGATCTAACATTAAGACATTCCCCCCACCAATGTCAGCTATACGGACAACACACATTCACAGTCTAGAACACACGCTCACAAACACACACAAAATACTATTGTTTACAAGTTTAGAAATGGGTGCATGTTTGGTTTGCTTTAAGCCACAGCTTGATCTTTGAGGTGACCTCCTTCAATTCTAATATGTTTTTCAGGTCAGTGGGCAGCGAGTTCCACAGTTTTGCCATTTTATGGAGAAAGCAGACTGACCAAATGTGGTTCTTCTCTGTGGGATTGCACAGTTGTTGTGGGAGGAACTTCTGGTGACTCTGTTGCTGGTCTGTCTCTATATAAATGAACTTAGTGCCAGGTTATTGATGCATTTGAATGTTAATTTTAGAATAATTTTCTAAAGTTTTCAAAACTTAGTAGATGACAATTTTTGAGTATATTGCAGTGGTGATATCAGGTTCGTTTCTTGTCCATAATTTTTTATGCTTGTTTGTAAAAAGAACCCATGCACTTTGTGGCTGAGGGAGCTGCCTGGGTCCATGCTGTCATGCAGTATACGATAAATGGGAGAAGATCATCCCATGCATGTACAGCAAGGCCGCTTGATTCGTAATAAAATGTCTTATTAGTTTGAAACAGTTGAGATTGTCGTGTATAGTTTTGCATAGTTTTTGTATATGTGTATCCAATTTTAGTTGTTGATCTAGAACCAACCCTTGGTAATTGAATTCTGTTATTGTTTTGATTTGTTAATTTTGTCATATGATTTGAAAATGTTGAGTTATTTTCTTAATGGAAAAGCACTGTTTTGGTGAGTGATTTTGAGTGAGCCACTGGCTCACCTCAGCCAGGCAAGGATCTTATTATGGAGTATTTGAAAGTGTAGATTTGTTTTGGGCTATTTTAACGCACTGTGGTCTGGTCTGGAGGTAGGATGTAAACCACTGTATTGCGTCTGATGAGATGTTAAAAGAGGACATTTTAGAGAGAAGAAGATTGTGAATAACAGTCTCAAACGCTTTTTTCAAATCTAAACAAATTCCGGTGGAGTAACCTGCCCGAAAGCCAAACTGCTGTGGGTGTGAAGGTGGTGGGCCTCCAGGTGATCAGTCAGCTGAGTGGCTACAGTCTTTTCAATAATTTTGGACATAATAGGTAAGATAGCCGTGGGCCTGTAGTTAGACATACTGTGCACACGGTGATAGTGCTGCTCCTCCATCGGCCGCGGGCCCCACAGTGGGACAGCCCTGCTGCTCAAAGGTCATTCCGGGTCCAGGATTAAGATGTATATCTGTCTTAACTTCCTGCGATGAAATAAGTAATAATGATAATAATGCATCAGTTTCATAAAGCTTATTTTGGTTAGTCAAAAACGCTTCACATGATTTTATATTATCTTATAAACTACTACTGTAGCCACAGCTGCCCTGGGGAACACTGAGACACGTGAGGCAACCAGTATGTCCCATCGGCCCCTACGATCACCACCAACCATTCATGTGCACACCATATTGATTCTAGACAATTGGGGGAAGTGTCTTGCCTCAAGGCACTATGGTTTTTTTTCCTTTTTTTTAAACGTAAACAATAAAGCAAGAATACACACAAAAACAAACAAACAGAAAAAACAAAAACTATGTTTGTTCGCCCAAACTTTGACAGTTTGCAACTTTACAGCCACATCTGTCGCAGCCCCCCCATAGTGGCACCTAGTGTTCCGAGAGGTCTCCCATCACAGTACTGACCTGCCCTGCTTGGCTTTAGAGATCTGACTGGACTTTCACATGCAGGCACCAACACTTGATTCTTGATTCCTCTTCCCAGGCATCATTCGCATCCACACAGTCTTTACCCTCTTGTTAAGTACCCTAGCTTGAAATCTAACTAAAATGTGCAAAATCTGCATTTGTTTGTAGAGCAAAGAAAATCATGCTCATCCCAAGTGCGCTGGATTTTGTAAAAAAAATAAAATAAAAAGGAAGTTCCAGGATATTTAGCTCTCAAGTGTCAGTTATCAAAAATGTCACGTCTTTGTGTACTGTTCGTAAATGACACATAACTGTGTGGACCTTCTCTTCTACAAACTGGACTTTTCACAGCCTCTGACCATCATGTTATAGTGTTTTTTTCTGATTCCAGAGCAATCAGTATCTGACTCATGCATTCTCTTACCACTGTACACCATTGGCAGTTTTACTTTGTACGGTAAATTTATTTATTTAGAGTCTTTGGTAGAGACATCACATAAGAAGCAGAGCAATACAGTGAGTCAGAGTACAAAAGGGGATTGAATTATTTGTCATGTTAGATCAATACTGAGATATCACATTCTTCACACTACAGAGATGGAGCTGCTTTCTTTTTTATAACCTTGTGCACTGAGGTCAGACTGCATGTTTTTGGTTTTGGCCTTGGATGGGTCAGATGGGGAGAGTAACGCTGTGTTTGTTTGGGCAGACTGTCCTCACCTGGCCACATTTCTTCTCCTACTCATACTATGTGGTACTGCAACCTTTTCTCATACACTCTCATACAATACAATCAAAACACTAATGACAAAATCCGCTGTGATGAGTGATTCCTGTAACCTTGAGTGACTGCAAAATAATGGATGTATTTTAATCATTCATTATTAATCAACACATACAGTACAGTGTTGGCTAATTGAAAGACATATTACCAGCAGAGGCAACAAGATTTGACTGTATACATATTAGTAGATTTGAAATTGACCAAAAACATTATTGGCCATGTCAAAGAAGTTGCGTGTCTGACCCAGTGGGAGAAGCTGGCTGGCCAATCACAACTAGTTGTCATGCTGACTGTGGAAACAGAAATATACTGTGTAACCCTATGGTGCCTCTTCATCAGTCAAAATCGACTGCCCAGTTCAAAAAACAGCGTTTGAATCTGGTTTAAAATACAGCTTTAGAGCATAGGCAAAAACGCAGCTTTAGAGATTTGTCCAAAGCAAAGCTTTAGGCCAGTCCAAAACAAGTGCGTGTCAGTGCTGGGGGTTGTATTTTTTCTAAACAGAACTATTTAGCTGCTGTGGAGTTGTAGTCATTTAGTGCCGCAGCAGATCCAAAACACATTTCATTATGTCTCCTCTGAGAGGAGGTTCAAAATTGTCACAGAATAAACATATAAGCAACGATGTAAGTACGAAATAAGGAGTGGTCTTGAATTCAGCCGGACCGATTGAGTCAAGAATTGTATTCATATGTATCACACACAAAAGGGTTTAATGCTTAGTGGAATGTTTTATACAAACACTATTGTAACTTTCCAAACCTCTGCTGGAAATGATCCCTACCCCCAATGGAATCACACTGATCTTACCCCAATGGAATCACACTGATCCTACCCCAATGGAATCACACTGATCCTACCCCAATGGAATCACACTGATCCTACCCCAATGGAATCACACTGATCCAACCCCAATGGAATCACACTGATCCTACCCCAATGGAATCACACTGATCCAACCCCAATGGAATCACACTGATCTTACCCCAATGGAATCACACTGATCCTACCCCAATGGAATCACACTGATCCTACCCCAATGGAATCACACTGATCCAACCCCAATGGAATCACACTGATCCTACCCCAATGGAATCACACTGATCCTACCCCAATGGAATCACACTGACCCTTCCCCAATGGAGCCGATCCTCACACTGAGCCGATCCATGGACTGTAACACAGACTGTACAATAGGACTATAGACTAATCATAGAATGCAGAATCGAACCATAGACTGTACATTATGATCATAGAATGTACAATGGGATAATAGACTAATATATATTAGATAGATATTAGTTATATCATAGTGAAATGAAACAAAAGTAATTGATGGCAAAGAAAATGAGCTGTGTGTCTGTGTCCGTGTGTCATAGGACCCTTCGCTCTCAAAGGACCTCAGCAGCAGTAGCTCAGTGGACGTCAGTGGTGTCGTGGACGGGTCTAGGCGGGGCCCCTCCCCTCTTGCCTTGTCCTCAGATGAGGTATGGCTGTTTCCCAAATGACAGTATTCTCTAGGCTGAATTATGTTTAAATCTATTGACATCTGCTGCTCATGTCCAACTATGTCATTATAAATGTTGCTTTACTTTAAAATCAGGGGGAAACTAGGCAAGATCTGAAGTAGTAGTGTAACCTTTCATGTATTGTTTTTTTGTTTGTTGTGCTGCGGAGAGTTTGGATATGATCGACGACGAGGTGAGTGATAGCATGTGTGTAATACTCAGTGGATCTGCCCAGAATTTCACGCTACAATTGAGTTTTTAGCCATCAGAAAAGGACCTGGAGTTGTTCTTCTTACACACTTAATATCAGAAACTCTAAATCAGGAGTTTCCAACCTGTGGCTTGGGTGCTACCAGTAGCTTGCCACTCCTTTTCAGCTAGCTCCCCAAAGGATTTAAGAATTTAACACATTATTCTGAATGATGTTTCCATATTGTGTTTCCAATGAACACAGCTCACCGTACAGACAAATTTGGGTGAACGTGGAATACTGCATTACAACATCAAGCTATTTTGGTTCACAAGTTTTGTGGTCCCTGCCCACACACCCTCCCACTCTCCCAGTCTTCCTCCAATACACCCTCCCACTCTCCCAGCCAGAGGTGAAAAAGTGGTGAAACAGTGTGTCCCCAATGGTCTCCCTGTGTCACAGATCCTGGATCAGCAGTCCCAGCCTCAGGCTCGCAGTGTGGCTGACTGGAGCCCAGAGCAGGTAGCTCTCTGGCTCATGGGCCTGGGACTGGAGCACCACATCCCTCAGTTCACTGCCAGCAACATCCAGGGAGAAGAGCTGCTGCAGCTGGACAGCACTGAACTCAAGGTATGTTAGAGTCTTTTATTTATATTTTCTTGAGAACTCTACTGATCTGTAATGTGTGAGAGGAAATGTTCTCTTGTCTAATCTTATAAGTAGGTGAGTCATATTTTGTTGGAGGTCATGAAAAGCTAGTCATCCCACACAAATTAAGCAAATGGTCACAGAAATAAATGGTCAAATGTCCCAGACAAGTGATTGTCCTTAGATTTACCTTCTTCAGTTGGAAGAACGAGAGTTTAAGGACAATCAGGAAATAAAAAAATTGAGGAATAGATCATCTTTGGTGGGACTCACAGTGACGAGAGATCCACTCATGGGACAAGCCGAAGATTCAGGACTGAAGAACAGGACTGAAGAACAGGACTGAAGGACAGGACTGAAGGACAGGACTGAAGGACAGGACTGAAGGACAGGACTCCGGCTATAGATGTGTTCAGGAATTAACTTGCGTTAATTAAATGTTTTCATTAATTGCGTTAAAAACGCAATGACGCATGTGCCGAATGTGCCATGGAGAGTGGCGATCTGATGGGCATTAGTTAGCATTAGCACAACATCTTATAAGCTGTGCAGCAATCACTGAAGAAATGTTACAAAAGCAACAGCCTGCTATCACAGAAAGATTATACCGCCAGTTTCGCAACCAAATGTAATCCGAGGCGGTCCCGCTCCCGCAGGTCTCTCCAGAGGATACGATATAAGGTACTGTAGCTATATTCACCCGGGCTTGATTTATTCTTTGATCTTTGCTTTAGTTCCCTCTTCCTCACTGTTGCGTCGTTTGGGCTGTGTTGCTGTGTATGCATTTTCCGCCATGGCAGGTATAGCCACCTTCTCCTGCCATGCTGTTGTGATTACATCATGTTTACCTGCGCTGCAGACACGAGAGGAGCCAGCCTGTTCGTAACAGCGCTGCTGCTGCCACTCGTTGGAGGAGAACCAGCGTCACGCAGTTTCTACACTGCACTTTTTATGGTCTGATTTCATACACAAGCTGAATCAATGAGCTCAACTTTTGATAAACTTTGAATACAACTTAGAAAATGTTCATTGTTGTTATAATAAACAAATACAGTGCATATGTATACTATGTATGTCATTTATTCCATTCAGATAACCATTTATAGAAAAATATGCCATAATTTTGCCAAGGCAATTAATTACGATTAATACATTTTAAAGTGGTAACTAACTCGATTATATATATTTGGGCTTGTTCACACAGAAGGGTATAAAAGTGGGACACAAGGCCAAAAATGTAATTTTAATAATCAGCAGATATATTATGTTTTTAATAAATACCTCCTCTGACCATTAGTAGTTGAAATGAGCTATGCGGAAGTTTGTTACATACATATACATGTGTGCTCTTACTACCGTATGTGCGACATGCAACATTGAAGTATCCCCACTATGGGACGAATAAAGGTTCTCTAATCTCATCTTACGTATTCTTGGGGCATGCTGTGTGTGTTCCAGGCTTTAGGGGTGAGCTCTTCCCAGGACCGTGTATTGATCAAGAGGAAGATCAAGGAGCTCAAGGTTCTACAGGAGAAGATGCTCTGCAGGCCACAGGAGCATTCCCGCCGAAGGGACACTGAACACAACGAGGAGGAGTGAGGCTCCACTACCACCCTCTGACAAAGCCACCACGAGGCAGCCATGCCCAGGGCCCCACAGAAGGGGCCACCGCTGCCCAGCTATACGCTTCAGAGCAGGGACCAGAGAGCGCAGAGAACGTCGAGTCGCCCTGGAGGTGTGAGCCATACCACCACAATGAGCTATTCATCCACTTTTATTTATTCAAAAGACGAAACAGCTTTGGGAGCAGTTGTATCCACGCTCCTCTCTCGTGCCATCAGTAGCCCTGTGTGTTTCCTAGTCACGGATCTCATGCTGTTGAACCACTTTGGAGGAATCACATATTAAATATTCCAACCCAGCCAATGTCCTCACCCTGTTCTCAAAGTCACCCTGGAGCGCTCATCTGGGATGCACTTTGGAGCAAGAATTTTGGGAAAATTAAGCCTTTGAGAAATGTTAGTCTCACTCTCAACACCTTTTATAGAAACCCTTTTTATGATTATGAATTTTCCCCCTACATTATACAGTTAAAGGCTGGATTCTGGTGAGTTTTGAGATCTTGTTCAAATCACTATTCTATGTACAGCTTGGTTTTATGTTTTTACAAAAGCATTTGTGTGTGTAGATGTCACACAAATATATCGCCAAAAACTCATCTGTCTTAGAGTAGTAAGTTATATTACAAGATTTGTGTTCATTTTGAGCCCTTTGAGAACACAGAGAACCTTACTTCGCTCCCAGGCTAATCCCTCCGACTCCTTTCCCTGACTCCTCCTTATAGCTCCTCTGACTACTTTTTAGTTGTAATATTTCCGTTCTCTTTCTCCCACAAAAGATTCAGCTGCAGAGGCATGTTTGCTCGAAGAATAACAAATCTTCTGTTTGCAAAACATTTGAAATGGTTTAAAGGGGTGGAGCACAGAGTAACGGGGCAGGACTGAAAACGCTCATGCGATATCTCATGTCTATTGTTACATTAATTCAGATAAATATGGACATTTCAAAGGTGCTAAACATGTGCCACAGGTGTTATACATTACCACTATAGCAGGCAGAAGTATTTTGTGGGAATGGGGAGGGTCATGACCAAGACTTGTGAGTCCATCGGTTCTACAGTCCGGTTTGAGGCACAAGGACCACTGCCCCGGGCACTGGGCGCCTGCTTCAGGGACAGCCATCTTGTGTTTGGAAACTGTAAAGACATCTTAGATCCCAGGATGGAATAACCGACAAAAAGTTTTTGGGAAACATTTTTAACATGAAGAACCTGAATCTCAGAACAGAATGTTTTTTAAAAATACTGCCGTAGGAACAGGTATAAGAAATGATTAGTGTTATAGCATAGATAATTATGTACGGCAAACTTATCTTGTGTTCATGTACAATTTAAGGTGCAAGATGTCACTTCAGGTGGAGGGCCTGTCTGATTGTTCCTATGTAAGACAGTCCCACTGAGAACACCAAAAGAGTCCTGGTTTTACTTGTGGGGAAACCTTAATCTGCACACCAAAAATTAAGGAACAGTACACAGACCCAGGCAGAATATGCAAACTGCACAAAGACACAGGGAGAACGTGCAAACACAGACACGAGAACATGCAAACTGTGCACAAGCAGAACATGCACAATCACTAGGAGGGCATGCAAACTATAGTGAAACCCAGGACATTTTGTTGTGAAGTGAGTGCTAACCAGAACAAATTATCAATCCCTGATTCTGTCAGATCTCAGAAGCTAAACAATGCAGTGGCTAGTAAAGTGATGGGAGACCAAGGGGACACACACCATGTGTCATCATGTCTGAAGTACGAATTTGCACACACATACAGTATTCTGTGTATAATAGTTGAGTGTGATATTCTTATACTTGGATTAAAATGTAAAACATGTCTCTACACACATGTAGATGCATACATTATGTGGTTGACCGTGACTAATACAAATATTACACTTGTACAAATACACCAAATCACACAAATAATTATACTAAGCATGGATTACTCCAAAACACCTTTGTGTTCTTACAGTATGTGCATAAGTTTGCCTCATCTAGCCTGACACTCCACCAGAGGAGCGTCATCTTGAACCTTTACAAAAGTGCAGACATAAGAGTTGGCAGGTACTCAACAATTATGTATCTATGGGCATTTCTCATGGGCCTGGCTCTTCAGTGAGGGAGTGCAGCCCTCAGATATATTGGATTCACATATGAATAGAGCTGATCTTTGGGGAGGGAGCCACCACGCTTGAACAAAACACCTCACAAGGGCATAGATGACGTCAGGCTCAACTGTGTATAGGCAGTAACTCAGCAAAATAATGCTCTTCTGTGATTGTGTTCAAACACCATAACTTTTAAGAATAATACATGGGCAAAATTACATCTATGCACATAAGTCATCCAGCAAACAGCCTTACCTCTGTTACTGTACCTCGGCACAGGCAAGCTGAAATAAGTATCTGCAGAGTCCAGTGAAACAAACATACATTTCTGATCGCTACAATAAAGTGGGATCCTCGGATCAAGATTGAAAACCCGTAATATTTAACCAGTGTCTGTGGATAATATCCAATCTCCCCCCCCAACTAAACGTGTACAAATGTAAAATTACAGTGTATATACGCCTGTGCAGCGGATTGCCACACATCATATTTATTGCATAGGCTATTTTTTATTTTTATATATGATTAAATTTCCTCAGCATATTGGGCTGTTTGCTTACCTCATGTAAATTTCCTCCAATGTCTGTGTGGGAGACGGTAATCCGTCCGCAAACCGAGCCAGTCCTAGCCCTGCTCTATAGCTGGGCCCAGCAGCTCGACATTACTCACTTTGAGAGTGTGATAACACATAAACTGAGCAGAGCAGTGCAGAGTCAGGCCCATGTGAAAATGCCTTGAATTATTTTTTTATTTTTATCAGGCCTACCTCAATGTGTATTGCGACTTGGAGTGGGTTTGCATCTGCACAGACCCTAAGGCTGCTGTTATGAGGTAGTATTGTTCCTCTGGCATTTATCTTCCACAGCAAATATTTTTTTCAACATTGATAGTTGTAAAGTGTTGCTTTAAGTACAAAAAGTCCCATCATAGAGTGTCCTTTGGTAGGCTGCAATGTTGGGGTTAGGGGTATAGCGTTTGCATTCACACTTTTGCAGAATGTTAAACATTTAAAATGGGTTGAAGTTCTATGTTCAAATCCTATCTTGTGTACATATTTATGTCCCTGCTGTCCTGCACATGTTTGCTTTGCTCCTTCGCTTTGCCCCGGAACTTAGGATATGCTGCCTGAAAGCCTCTTCCACACTAGACTCCTGCACTACAGACCACAGACTCTACAAGAGCAAGGGTGTCCAAACTGTGGCCAGCGGGAAGCTTTCCACCTCACATGTTATTTTTACTGGGGGCATCCTTGCCTTCCCCTGGTAACTGCTGTGGATGTGTGTAATGAGGTGCGTCATGCAGAAGTTGTGTCAAGGAAGAGTTCTATTAGCTAAGGGAGGATAAATAAAACTAAATCTAGACTCAGATCTACATCTACAATGATAATATGATTAAATATACATACAATTTTGTAAATTATCCAAGCTATTGCTCCAATGCTATGTGGGAAAACTGTGGTTTGGACACTCCTGCACAAGATATTTTTTCCTATTTTAATAAAAGGATGGATGGACTGTGTATAATATATCAACTAATGTTAATTTACATACTGGTATTTTTAAATATTTATAACGGAAGGTTATGTTCTGAGGTGATTGAATTTCATTTCATGTGTCATTTTTTTGTGTTATAAACTGTTGAAGACAAGATTGGTTTACTCCAGTGTAGAGAAATATAAAGCCATTTAATTTTAATAACATGATTATTTATTTATTTATATATTTAATAAAAAAATAAACGTTATAATTGCTTATGAAGCAAACATCTAATCTAATGACAAATCATGTAGGCTTTATATAATCACATAGCTGTGATGGCAAAAACTGTTGAGGTCCAATGTGGAGAAAGATTTTGACTGAAATAAAGAAATATAAACCCAGATTGGACCGTCATTGCCTTTCAGTCCTATACCAGCATGGAATAGATTAGATATAACGCCATTTATCCAATAGGAAATTCTTATGAGCTTCCAAAGCCAGCGGCTATCTCAAGGGCACTGCTGGAATACCCGTGCATCACCAATCATATGTTTTATTTGATTTGGTTGAACAAGAGAACAATATTCACCTCAACATTAATTCGCATTTGCTTCTGTTTGGAGCTGTCCTGCAAACCCTTCCCCAGGAGGGGTTTGTCTATGAGCAACATAACTCAACAAGTTATGGGAGAATTTGGTCGAAGCAGGAATTTCACCCGAATTGAGCAATGAAGAAATGTCGTGGAGCATCGCTTCTTTGAGTCCATGGACAAGACAGGCTGAGGCTGTAAATGAGTCCAGGACTGAGGCTGTAGATGAGTCCAAGGCTGAGGCTGTAGGTGAGTCCAAGGCTGAGGCTGTAGATGAGTCCAAGGCTGAGGCTGTAGGTGAGTCCAAGGCTGAGGCTGTAGATGAGTCCAAGGCTGAGGCTGTAGGTGAGTCCAAGGCTGAGGCTGTAGGTGAGTCCAAGGCTGAGGCTGTAGGTGAGTCCAGGACTGAGGCTGTAGATGAGTCCAAGGCTGAGGCTGTAGGTGAGTCCAGGACTGAGGCTGTAGATGAGTCCAAGGCTGAGGCTGTATGTGAGTCCAGGACTGAGGCTGTAGTCGAGTCCGGAAGTGCCCTTTCAGAGCTGCAGAGACGTGCTCCGCGTGTTGGAGCCGCAGGTCTCTTTATTCACTGTGTGCGCATCCGAAGCACATTCCAAAGGAAGAGCTGATATCCGCCATGTGACGAGCATGCGCGTGCACGCTCCTGTGTGCCGCTGGTCATCTGAGTCCAAATACACACACACACACACACACACACACATGCACGAACACGCGCAGACGGGTAATACATGTCCGCACGTGTTCATGTGATGTATGTGCGCGTGCGTGTTTGTGTGTGATGGATGTGAGGGCGTGAGGCGGGTCCCTGCTCCCCAGCGTCTGTCACCGCTCTGCCGCCTTCACAGCTCCATGCCTCCGCGTACCTCGGTGTACCTCCTCCTCTTCCTTCTCCATGCCTCCTGTGCCTCCCTCCTCCGCGCGCCTCTGATCTCCTCCAGCAGCAGCTCCACATCCCCGTGACCGCCAGTCCATCGCCATGTCCGAGCAGCAGGGAGAGCAGAGGCTGAGTCCCACTGCTGCTGCCGTTGACCCCGCGCGGAAGGACGCAGTCACCAACGGAGCTTGCGGACTGGCGGACTCGGTCAGGCGGGTGCAGAGTGAGTGCTTGAACGAGGCTTGGGACGGCGCAGCCGGTGCCAAGTCTGGCTCCCAGACCATCCCGCGGCGCAGCAGTCTGGTGAAGGTAGGCCATGGGATGTGCATGGGGAACTTGGACAACAAACTGTTGCCTCTGCTGCTGCCTCATACTCATCATGTTCTGTCAGAGTGCTCTCTGGGCATCCTTTTGGCAGTCATGGGGAGAGGGCTCACTCTGCATCTATTGGGATCACTCCTCATGGCAGTTATGGGGAGAGGTTGCAAAGGTATATGGCTGTATTCGTAAAATACTTGAATATAGTGTCGTTATATAGTTCGTTTATAGTTACCTATAAGCTTCACAGTGTTGGGGAGAAAAACATGAAAATGTGTTTAGATAGAGAATGCATTCTCTAAATGTATTTTGTAACACCGCATAGTTGGAATATTTTACCCTCCTTTGCAAAGGCTAAAATTATATGTAAAAATGCATGATTGCAGTGGACCTTTGCTCTTGCACGTTTGTTGCATTTCTGTTATTTTCAATTGAAAAGACACTCACAAGCATCACTTTCTTTTTCAGGTTCTTTTTCATTCCTTTTTTGATGGAATGACTAAATTGCATGAACATATATTTTGTTATTGTTATGTTGTTATGACATGCCATAACATTATGGCATGTCATAAACCAATTTATGAAGATTTTATTTTTGACTTTTTACTTAGCATTCACACACAAGTTCCAAACAACTGTGAAATGATTAATGATTCTGTTGGGACCTGCACAAGTATTTGTGGCACACGTGGCTTCACTTTTCAGAAAGGGATGCTCGTTAGACTTTACTTTTAGAAGTTTGTGTAAGCACTCAGTCAAAGGAAGGTTTCTCACCCATCATCTGTATTTCTTAGCAGGTTTTCCAGACGTTTCATCCTTAATCCAAAGAAGGTTTTCAAGGGAATTAAATCTCAGACCGCCCGTTGGAGATGTATAACCTATGGGTGTGGTTAGACACACCCATAGGTTATAGATCTAGACCACTCGTAACTCATGACGTGCAAATGATTTAGGAGTGGTTGGACCCGCACTCCACTCGAGCAATCTCAGTAGACAATAGATCTGTGACATGCCAATGAGTTAGGATCGTTAGAAGGTCGTTAGACCTGCTCCCTATCACGTCTTAACAGACCTGGATGTGTTTATAGCTAGCCTCAGGATTAGGGTGTGTCTGGGTGATTCTCGCGAAATCAGACTTACAAGGTGGCATGAAGAATAAGATGAACAAAGTAAATGCAATGGAAATTATAATGATACATTTATAAACATGTCATCACAGGCTATGTTGCACATGATTTAAAGTGAACATTATAAAAATATTTTTATTGTTTTTTCCATATTCAATAGTAAATTTCTCATTACCGCAACGCGTCCATTACTGAATTTGAGAACTTTGAAATACAATTTTTTAAACAAAAAAAAAATGAAATGTATAAATTATCAGTGCATGTTATACTATAAACAGTTACAATAAATAAACATGTGATATTGCGTATTCTTGTATAAAACAAGTTAAAGTTTTAAGGAAAATAACTTTTTCTCATTTTTCTCATCCTCCGCAACAATTTTCAATAATCGTTTAAGTCCACAAGGAACTTACAAAATCAAAGAATTCTGAAGGGAGGAACATCATTTCCAGTGACACTCAAAATAGCTACCAGATAAGCACCTAATTTTATTTCTCTCCAGATAAAAGTTAAAAGTTTGTTCATTACAGCAGCTACACGACTTTTCATTTCTCATTACCGATACGCAACGTTTTTACCATTGATATTTTTTTTTAATTTAAAAATTCTTGTTTATTATATACTTCATTATGGTCCAAAAATAAACAGCTAGCTAAAGTTTAGCTAAGCCTTGTGGTGCCTTCGCAGACAGCGGAAAATTTCAAGGTCACTCATACTCCGCAACAGCATTATCATACACCGCAACAGTTAAAGGCATGTTGCGGTAGAGAGATTCACTGTTTCGGTAATGAGAAATTGATATGTTATACCAGGAATTAACACAGATATTTTTAACACATTTATGAAAAACACTTAAATAACAAAATAATATAGCTTTTAATTATAAAGTATACCAGTAAACCTTCCAGCAGAAGTCATTAGTTTCAGTTGGCTCAGTTGGTAGAGCATTATTAGCCTTTAAGGCTAGAGGTCATGGGTTCAAGCCCACCACAAGACCTACTCCACCAACTCCCACTGATGTCTGCTGTTGTTGTATCCTTGGGCAAGACACTTTATCCCACTTTGCCTGAAGGCCCCTCTGAAAGACTAAGGCTATGCCATAGAGCTGTGCTCTGTGTAATGAGTGGCATCTCTGGCCACCTTCCAACCCAGGAATAGATTAAGGGGAAGAAAATGGATGGATTATTTTACAGAATATTATGCCCCCCTGGACTACCACCTTAACGTGGTAAGGGAGTTTGAGTACTCTGATGATCCTGGGAGCTATGTTGTCTGGGGCTTCATGGTAGGGTCTCCCATGGCAAACAGGTCTCAGCTGATGAGTCCAAAACCCACCATGTATAGCATGTTATTGAGAACCGTGACGTCACCCGGCATGGCGCAGCCGGGGCCCCACCCTGGAGCCAGGCCTGGGGTTGGGGCTTGTATGCGAGAGTCTGGTGGGCCTTAGCCCACGGGCCCCGGCCGGGCTCAGCCCAAAGGGATGACATGGGCAGGCCCTCCTTTGGACCCACCACCCACAGAGGGATCCGTGGTGGAGAGGTGCTGAGAGGACTGGGCAGCAGTCGAAGGCGGTGACCTCAACGACCCAGTCCACGCACACAGCATATGGCTCTTGGGACGTGGAACGTCACCTCGCTGGGGGTGACACACAGCTCGGGCACCGCAATCCAAATCCTGGACGCTCCACTTTTCTGGTGTTTCTCGCGGGGAGAGGCGGCGAGCTGGGGTGGCCATTCTCATTGCCCCCCATCTCAGCCGCCACGTGTTGGAGTTCTCCCCGGTTAATGAGAGGGTCGCGTCCCTCCGCCTCCGGGTGGGGGACAAGTCTCTCACTGTTGTGACGGCCTACGGGCCTAACAGCAGTGCAGAGTACCCGCCCTTCTTGGAGTCCTTGGGAGGTGTACTGGACGGTGTACCGCCCGGGGACTCCGTTATTCTCCTGGGGGACTTCAACGCCCATGTGGGAAATGCCAGTGACACTTGGGAAGAACGGCCCCCCTGATCTGAACCCGAGCGGTGTTCAGTTGTTGGACTTCTGTGCTAGTTACAGTTTGTCCATCACAAACACCATGTTCCAGCACAAGGGTGTCCACCAGTGCATGTGGCACCAGGACACCCTAGACCGGAGGTCGATGGTCGACTTTGTTTTCGTATCATCTGACCTTCGACCGCGTGTCTCGGACACTCTGGTGAAGAGAGGGGCGGAGCTGTCAACCGATCACCACCTGGTCGTGAGTTGGATCCGCTGGCAGAGGAGGAAGCCGGTCAGACCTGGCAGACCCAAGCGTGTAGTGAGGGTCTGCTGGGAACGTCTCGCTGAGCCCCCTGTCAGACGGACTTTTAACTCACACAACTCACTGGGAGAGCTTCTCCCAGGTCCCGGCGGAGGAGGGGGACATTGAGTCTGAGTGGACTATGTTCTCCGCATCTATCACCGATGCTGCAGCTCGCATGCGTCAGGATGAAGAAGGAGTCCTATCAAGCCATGATGGTCCGTGGGACTCCTGAGGCAGCTGTCCAGTACCGGCAGGCCAAGTGTGCTGCGGCCCGGGCTGTTGCAGAGGCAAAAACCCGGGACTGGGAGGAGTTCGGAAAGTAAAGAGGTGCCTCGTCACGTCCTCTGGACCGGAGGGGGGTTTTCTTATGAGTTTTTCCTTGCCAATGCAGGAGGGTCTGTTGGGCAGTTAGTGTCCAACTAGAAGGACTGTGGTGATGATCCAGGACGTGACGACTTTAACATTCTAGAACAAGTATGGACATTCTTCAACATGTGTTCTATTTTTATTAAGTCCTCTGAGATTACTTCTGTTGTGATTTAGGGCTATACAAGAATAAATTGTATTGAATTGGGGGCAGAGGCTGAGGATGTCGGGGCGGATTCTTCCATCTCCCTGGCTGAGGTCACCAAGGTGGTTGGCAGCCTCCTTAGTGGCAAGGCTCCGGGAGTGTATGAGATCCGTCCTGACAATCTAAAGTCTCTGGATGTTGTAGGAGTGTCTTGGCTGACACGTCTCTGCAATATCGTGGCAGACCGGGGTGGTGGTCCCTCTCTACAAGAAGGGGGACCGGAGGGTGTGTTCCAATTATCGTGGGATCACACTCCTCAGCCTCCCTGGTAAGGTCTACTCCAAGGTACTGGAGAGGAGACTACGACCGATGGTTGAATCTCGGATTCAGGAGGAGCAGTGTGGTTTTCGTCCCGGCCGTGGAACACTGGACCAGCTCTATACTCTCAATCGGATACTCGAGGGTTTATGGGAGTTCGCCCCAACCTGTCCACATGTGCTTTGTGGACTTGGAGAAGGCGTTCGACCGTGTTCCCCGGGGTGTCCTTTGGGGGATTCTCCGGGAGTACAGGGTCCTCTGCTGAGGGCCATCCATAAATGATACTTATGTGTACCTCTTACACTAATATTAATTTCTGCTAAATTTCCTTAATGCAGTTTAGAATTAAAAAAAAAGGTGTTTTCAGGGCTTATTTGTCATAGCCTGGCTATGCCAGACCCTTGTAGTTCCGCCATGCTCCACCAGAGGCGTTTGGCTGAACCACATGGGTCTGGTATCGACGCCATAGCGAACGCATTCCCCAGATTATTTTTTAATCGACCAATCAGGATTGCCGGTGTTACGTGGGGTTTGCACTGCCTTCTCAAGCTTCTCTCATGCAGCAGCGAGAGGAATCCAAGATGGCGGACGTAAAGTCCGCAAATCTTTTTAAAAAAGATCGAATTAAGACACGGATGTCACTTTTAATGCAATTAGAGGCGAGATGTTGATGGTTCTATGTTGATATATGTGTGTCAGAGAGTCAGAGTCAAATGTTCCTGTAAAGTTAGGTTGAAGCACTGGTTCAGTGTTCCTGTTTACACACTATGCAGCAGGGTTGCCAGGTTTGGTGGTTCCCGCATATTTTTTTCCAAGAGACTTGTAGGTATTAAATAAACAGAAAGACAATAAACAGAATCATGATAGTCCAAGTTGATTACATTAAGTTTTTAGCCAAAAAATCATTCTGAGTGTTTTTTTTTGTGGGTATTCTCGCGGATTTTGGGTTGGAAAATC